CGGACGGCTTTTCGATATCCCCTCGAACTTTGTTCGAATAGATAATTAGCGCTATATCTGTACCTACATGTATAGTCAAAACTTTACCAAAGGCGAAAGTAATTTTACATAACAAAATGCCAGATGAGCAGAATATCTAACTATTGATAATTTTGAAAAAAAATATAAGGGGAAATTCTGAATGAGAAAGCAATACCTTGGTTATTATGTCAACGTACCTCAACATTTGTGGGAAATGCTTAAAAAGAAGTAAAAGAAGTTTTTATATTTGTAATACTTGAGTGTCAGGCTAAGGAATCATCATATATTCGCACCAATGTACCACTGCCCCATCCTTGGTAAGGGTATTTTGATTCTTACCATATCTGCTATAGCAGTGACAGGGGCGTAGCCAGCTTTCAGTTGGCATCCTCCGATCACAGGGCTTCAAAATCCAGAATATATTCTTTCTTTTTACCCTGTGTGATAAGCAGTTACTATTTCCCCAATTAAGAACTCGCAATCTGATTGGCTGTCGCAACACTGCGACAGAAATCATGTATAAGTCATTGCGCATAATTAGATCACATGATTCAGTTTAATCGGGCGCTTCCAAATCGGTTATAGCAGGGGGAAGAAGGAAGTACGGATTCTGGATACCTGCTTAGGAGGATGTCAGTTGGTTGTCCTGTAGTTTGGACATGGTCTCAACTAATCCGCTGTATATTGTCTATAGATATTTATAAATGTTTTAGATCACAATAAATCTGCACAAATGTAGAGGTTATCACATAAACTGAGTAATTACTCCTAGTCTTTTACAACGTATTTTTTGTTCTTTATGCCATCTATCGAATCGCACCCATCGCACTCTCCCCTGGCTACGCCTATGAGTGAAGCCTGATCTTAAAGGATGGTGATGGTGAAGATCATGCACATAGGCCAGGGGGGAGGGGAGGGAGCGGCCACTCTCCATCTGGCCAGAAATTCTTTCAAAATCATGCAGTTTTTCATCTTTCGCATGATTTTGTGCCAAAAACTGTCAAAAAGCTCCCCCTTGGTAAAACTGCTCCCCCCCAAATAAAGCCTGGCTATGGGCCTGAAGATCCTGTTTTGGGGAAGTACAGGAAAAAAATCTGTGATGTGTGGCACAGTGGTTGTACACTGTACAGTCTTGTCAATATACTACACAGAGATAGTATAGGACAACAAATATGCAAGTTTGTAGCGAATTGACAATTACACTTAATACCCGAAGATGACTCTGCTTGACTATCAATATTTTTACTCTTTTGCTCTCATCCAGTCACACACTGTTTAAAAATACTAGAAATACCGACCAATTCTAGTCTAATATTCCTTATTATCGTCAACATGGGGACATAAAAATTCTAATACACGCAAAAGGTAGCCGGGTGATATATTAAGCTTAGAAATTATTCCCTATGGTTTGCTTATCAAAATGTTACAATTGGTAAAAACAATTATTAATGCAGAACATAATTATGATATCTCATGCTACGGCAGATGTGCCCCCCAAAGATTAAAACATTCACGTTACATTTTTATAGACACATCTCGGCTGTCAAGGCATTGATAGCTTTGTTTACCTGATGTTCAAAGAACAAAACCATTCAATATTTAAGCACATCATTAAAATACAAAAAGATAATAGGCAAAGCTTAATGCAAACATGAATCAAATGAAGACGGTATTTGAAAACATGCTAACATGTCCGTTTGATTCTCTGGTAAATTTACTCTCATAATTGCAAATAAGGAAGGCTCAGTCAGCCCATGCTAGCCAAACATTGCGACTGATAGGCAAATATTGGCTCCTATTATCCATTCCTTTTTCTACTTTCCATTTCAATTACGTTCCAACTTATACCTTTTAAATTCTATTAGTATGGTACCTGCCTCTGGAGTCAACTGGAACATAATACCAGATGAATCCCAAAGTAATTCCTTCATTTTCTAAGATATATATGCTCAAGGAAGGTCTATGCAATGATTAAATGATTTTTCAATTTCTTGATTGAAATTATGGAGAAAATATGCAAATATAATAAAGCAGAAAATGGAGAAGATGAGATGAAATCTGATTCTTTCTTATCATCAAATTAAGCAGCAAATAAATGTGTTTTAATTTTCTTTTGTCATTTCCCAAATCAAATCAGAAGATAAAGCCAGAAAAACCCAAGAGATAACGCCAACCATTTAAAAAGTGAAATAATCGTATACAGTTTCTAGACTGTGTCTGTAGAAATATAAATGATTTGGAAATTACAAATGTAGCGTCCAACCTGACTGCTCATTTGGCAATTTTAAAAAGAAATTAAGACAGAATTAAAAATATTAAAATTAATTAACTAATTAACACCAACTCAATGCTGCAATAATCAATTATGTGCTGACAAATAACTTTGCATGACAAAATTTACATGCTGTGAAACCTGATAGGATAAAACAACATGTTCTAAATAGCCCCTGCAAGTGCATCTGCTTTTGATTAAAAAATATATATAAAATAAAGTGAAAAATTGAAAAAGCATGGAACAGTGTGAACAGATATGAAGGCCATTATCAGAACAATAAAGAAATGTCTCAAACAATATTTGTTCAAGGTACAAAGAGGGTATGAGAATGGGATAGGCATGCAAAGGATAATGTTTTAAAGCATAGATTGTGAGAAATAACAGAACGAAACAGCATGTGTGAATAGAAATAGAGGAGTCAATTGCTCTGGGACTTTGTTTTTAATTGAATTTACAAGTTTAGTGAAGATGATAGATTTAATTATGCAAATGATCCATACACATCTGCCCAGGTAGAACAGGGAAAAAAAGTTATAAATAAACTCCTCTACCCTTCATTTAAATATTCTCTTTCTTTTATTGTGATATGAAATAATTGTTACATTTTGTATCAATTTTTAGATGTAATATATGCAAAGTACTATATAATAAGCCTAAATTTTGCTACACTAATGAAGAAATTGTTATATAGATTCTTAAAGGGTGTTTATTGAATGGTATCATCTTCACAATGAATGAAGCCACAAGCCAGAACTATGGGAGCATATCTACTTATTAGATAAAACAGTAGAGAAATATGATACAACAGAGACAATTACTCATCCTACTACAACAAAAAATAAATGTCAAAAAATGTTATCGTAACAAAAGTGAACCCAAAACACTGTAGAACAACAGCAATTAGAATGGCACAATTTGTGATTAGTAAAGGTGAGAATATTGTACGATGTGCCTCGAGGCAACTGCCATATGCAGATACAGGACGTATTGTGATCTACGCCTCCCATCATTCCCTCAAGAGCCACTTGTGCTGCTGTTGCCATAAACGAGCCTACTTAACATGAATGATGTCATAAGCATGGAATACCTTGCTTTTATTCAATACACCACAGTACTGATAATCAGCACTTGATGTTTTACCTCTTCCTTTGTACCTCTGATTGATTCCCTCTTTCTAATAAACATTTCAAAAACAGATTCTCAAGTTTTGTGCTAATTACACTTTAACTCATATTGGTATAAAGACATGAAGAAAAATTATCCCTGAGATAAGACAAGCTTTGAAGATGAGAAACAGCAATTCAAGACGAAGAAAATTTCTATCTCAATATAGTACCTTTGGTTAAGATTAAACTAATGGAGGGATTGCATATTATACGGAGAGTGGTTTCATACCTTATTTGGAGTCTGTTCTACCAGAAAGAATTTTGTACGTCATAGAGCAATGAAAGGTAGAAATCGATGATCAATAGCCACAAATTCTGCCCTGTCACTTATTAGAAAATTTGTTGCTTCTATAGAAAATTGGATATGGGATAATCAAATTATGCCATTCAGTGGATCAGCGATTTTCACGTCAATGTATTCGTGTAGACGTTAATGTCTTTATTTCACCCGCTCATAGCAAATGTCGTCAGTTTTAATCTAATTTGAAGATATTAAGTCACCGCTAAACAATCAATGACCGTGTGCCATACAATAGTTTGTCGATGATGGTGAATTATCCTTAGACATCTTCACCTTCAGGCTATGGTCTGCTTGGTCTTAATTTCTAGAGAAAATATGCAATAAGTAAACTGTTACTCTGATCCTTTTCCAGTGTTTCCAATGACTTGGTTTCTGGCTATTAAAGTTATATTTTGATAATTACTAAATAAAAGCTGAAAAGGTTGGGCATTAAAACAAAGGCAATCAATTCTAAACATCAGATCATTATTTGTGATTACAGTTCAAAGATTCTAAAACCATTAGTTTGGTAGATGAGTTTTTGTTAATGTCTTAAGGGACTGAGAAGTCATTAATGCGCCTACCAACTAACAAGATCTGAAAATCCTTTGGAGACACCATTTACCTTTCTGCCTTGACGTCAGTATGGCGGAACAAATCACAAATCTATTTTGTGACTATACTCTCATATACCTGCAGGCAAGGAAAGTAGTGCTGTAATTTAGCTTTTAAATTAACGGAGTCTTCCGGGAATAAACTCATCAGCAATATAAAAAACATCTCAATCCACCGAATCTGGCATGAATATCAGATAGGGTTGTAAAAGGTAGAACAGTCCCAGTGGTGACATAGACGCAGGTGGAGGGATATATTTCAATCGACCAACATTACGTCAAATCTCAATGTTATAATCCAATCCTCATAAGACAGTGATGGCAGCATCTTTTAGCTGCTTGACATTAATAAGTTACCATCTGTCAATATTCTAATATAAAAACCAATCAGGTTAGAAATGGCTGCTGCTAATGAGTTTTGAATGGTTTTCCAAAATGGTGGCTAGGACTTAGCGTTTATTAAGGTATCGACCAGTTATTCCTACGCTCAGTCTACCTTGTTTTAAAGAATAATGACAGGAAAAACATTATCAATGCAGCCTAAATTGAATAACTAGCTGAATGGCGAGCTAATTTATCCACCACGAATGTTAGTCAACGAAAAGAGCTAAACTCCAATAGAAAATTGTCACTCTTTTATCAGGAAGCACTCCACTGAAAACTCAAAGTGACATCTCTGAAATTTGAAAGATGAGTATCTGTCTGTTCGTAATTATTATTTTGTCTCGTTTGGCGTTTAAATAAATTGGAATATATTGGCGATTACCGGTGGTTCCTGGTCTTGAATGAGAATTGAATTGAGAAAGAGGTTGACTGTTATTATAGGTACATTAGGGGGAATTATATTAGAACCATTCTCTGTCATTGATTCACAACTCCCTCAAAGTCAAATTTTATCATAATCATCCAGTAGGTAATGATATAATATGAAATTTGGTTGTCCTGTATTAAACAAATGTGAAAGTCATTATTTCTAAATTACCAGGGCATTTATATACCAATAGAAATTATGTTCAGATAATATGGAAAGTTATGATTGATTTTGATATTTAACTCAGGAGTGTCGGATATTGAGATGAAATAACAAACCAACTGAATCACATCAAAATGAAAAATGACTCATCATGAGCTAAGAAACAAAAAATACAAACACCATGAGAATATATATGTACATTATACAGAAAATATTATGTTCTCACAAATTTTGATTATGACATATTTAGAAGTGTCAAAAAGAAATTCTGAAAACTGTTCAATGTTTACATCATGGAATTATAATATACAAGTACAGTCATAGTCAAAGTACAATGAAACAATGGCATCATGACAACTACATAGAGTATCATGAGGCTGGATATTTCCACATGTGAGATAAAGTCAGTCTGATACATGATACCTTACCCAAGGTTGTAGTGTTTTTGTTTCTGATAAGCCAGACAATACAAGCTATTATAGATTTAGCATGAAGTAGAACAAGGATACAAACATACAAAATGTCACTACCTTGCATACAATATTAGGGAAAGTAAAAATTAATTTGGTAATTTGATATACAATATATCATGATATCTATAATTCTTTGAAATATTACATATTTCATTACCATGATAACATTACTTTTGTATATTACCATGGGCATTCAATAGAAGGGTATGCAACTCTGTGTTATTACATGTGAACTTTAAAATTAGCAGTATGCCATACTTCCCTTTTTTGGTAATATTTCAAAAAAAATTAGAATAAAGCATGGGCATTGTCTTTGAACATGCCTTCATTCCACTAATGTAATATGCAAAAACAAAATCTGGTGCATTAAGGTTCAGCTGGAAAGTAACATTTTGGTAAAAAATTGCTATACCTGCATATGTTATTTTCTGGTACAAAATTAAGTATGAAGGCATGTGTATATTTCCTTGCTTTTTCAAGAAAGTATCATTACATTGTCTACTTTTATTAAACCTGGAAACAGGTCAATGTTAGCTCCTGTGTTGTCTGGAAACTTTGAAAGAAAATTTGGAAAATAGAAAGTGTGAAATATCAGAATTTCCTGTAATGTAATGATACTTTTATTTAATGTTATTTTCCAGCTGTACCTCTACCTAACTACCCTCCTCAGCCACATTTGAGAGAGAATGGGCAGGTAACCTAGAATTTATGCATGCTTAAAGAACACAAAACAGTCAACAATCCTTTTTACCAGTAATCAATACCCTATTGCAAGATTCAAAGCATTTTCTGAGAGGTAACTCACAGTACAATAAGTACATGTACCATTTGGCATTATCATTATGTCAATAGCAAGCCTCTTATTTAGAAAGGTGGAACCTTGTCTCCTGTGTCATAAACAGTCCTGGTACAAATCATTCATCAACTACTCACATTTCTGCCTTTGTTTACACCTGTGTATCATTTATAATACAACCCCCAGTTACACAGATAAGCTAATGAGCTACTTTTGTAAACTTTTCTTATTTTCTCAGGACCTTTCAGGAATTCCAAATAGAAAATGATGACCTTAGTTTGAGTCATTTGAGATAAGGTAAATATTAACTACTAACCAGAGCACCTGAAACAATTAGAACAATTTATAAAGCCAACTTCTTTTTGCACCTATGGCTGAAATTTCTTTTAACTTTCCTAAAAGCCCGCCTAAAAGTTTGTCAACATTTTCCTCTCTCCCTCTCATGAAATTAAATAAGCACTATAGATTCAGCTGAAATATTAGGTTTTTAGGAACCTATTCTATTATAATTTTTTTATGTAAAACCGAATCTTACAGAAATAGAAAAATAATTTCTCAACATTAATTTTCTCAATCTTAGAATTTATAATCAATACAAATACTAAAAAACTACACTGAAAAATGACATAAATCATTGAGATTTAATAACATAGTGGCTTTAAATAGATGATGATGTAACAAAAGATAAACTTCTATAGGAACATAATTCTGACATAATGTCCTTGTTATACCCCAAATCACTAAAAATATATGTTCTGGAATTAAAACAAGTCTTTCATCAAACTTATCATTTTTGTTGTTTCAGAGAGATGGTAATTTTGCCTTATTAGTTATTGATGTTATGTAATACATCCATAAATAGTGGGATGTTCTCCCATGCGCCTCACCTTTTTGCACATTTATTTTTGACTTTAAGATATTTACTAGGGTGCTTGTTAGAAAGTGTCATTTATGGAGTCCTTATCTCTTATATCCCTTATATTCTGCTCTCCTTTTACCTTATGCTTAGATGGTCTGATAACCTCGTTTATTTTCATAAGGGGTACAAATGCAAAAATATGAGGAGTCATAAACATGAACATTTTAGGCATATAAATGAACACAAAACATATAGGCTAGATCTTATAATAGTCTCCCCATAAATGTGGGGGTAAGTCAACACCAACTAATTGTGTATTGAAATCTTGTGGTTGTAAAACGTTGTCACACAATGCTGAAATTTATCTAAATAACCACTAATCCAGCTTATTTTCAGCCCCAATATTTCAATAGTTCTTGGATAGTAGGGGTGATTTATCAACCCTACATTTACCAGGGTAGGCTTTATCCCGTGCCAGGACTAAGTCTTATAGTCCTGGCACGGGATAAGGTAGGGACCTAGTCTAAAGACAGCAGAATGAATGAAATGTATTCGTATTATTGATAAAAAGCCATATCTGCATAACTTTACATTCGATCTACAGGATTTTTGGTTTTGATTATCCAGATCACGCCATTACTTTCCAAAAATATTGGCTTATTTTCACTTTCAGTTCAGGTGAGGGGACAGGTGTGCTGCGATTTCTATTTCAGCTTTGACAGCTGAAAAATGAAAGTGCTGAGTCAAAACATTGAAAAAGTTAACTGAACAGTGAAAAATACGTTATGTCTTCAATAATACAATGCATCTCACCATCGGTTTTCTGTGGATTCTTCTGTTTTCGTCTCCCGAATCTGTTCATCTCTGCTTCCATGATGATTCCATTTCCACTTCCCTCTGTTACAATGCGCATGCGCATAGTACCGACGTCAAATGATGTCATTTGTACAAAGAATTCCGTTCATCTTCTCCAGCATTCTCTATGATTCCAATTTCAGCATGAGAATGACAATAGATAGATAAATAATTTTAATATTCTGAGTTTGTAAACGCGCAAATATTCTTGGCTAATTAAAGCCATAAAAAGCATAGGCAACAAGCAACAATAGCAGGCCAGTAGCCAGGGGGGAGAGGGGGGGTAGTATGTATCCAACAGAGTTGGGGGCTCGTCCCCCCCCCCGATATCTCTCAAAAATGTGGACCTACTTTTTTGCTTCCTTGAAGAAAAACTTGCTCTTCCCCACATTCACTGGGCAATTAAGATTAAAAAACTGGCAGTGCATTATTTTTCGAATTTAGGCATTATTTTTTTTTCAAAATTTGGCCCAATTTTTTTCGCGGACATATTTGTGCCCCTTTCCATTGGGCATGGGGCCGCCCCCTCCCCCTAGGATGGGTCCGGAAAAAGTGTTGGCCCAAAAATATTGTAGGACCTCTTTACTAGTGGGCCTTTTTGGACATTACATGACCTTGTTGGGCCTTACTTTTTTCAATTTTAGGCCAAATTTTCAAAAAACGGCCGCTATAAATTTTCTTAATTTTGGCCCGAATTTTGGTTTTAGGGCCCTAAAAGATTTCATGCACGGCGCGGGCCAATTTTAAGCTAAATTTTCTAAAAACGGGCCATAAATCTTCAAAATTTAGGCCCAAATATTGAAATATTTAGTGGGCCTCTTTGGGCATTAATTGACCTTTTGGGCTTTATTTCTGAAAATTTAAGGCCAAATTTTCAAAAAACGGGCCATAAATTCTCAAAATTTTCGCCCGAATTTAGGTTTTAGGGTTCGAGCCCCCCCCCCCCCCCCCCCCTTACAAAAAGCTGGCTAAGGGCATGAATAGCATAGAGCCTAAACGTGTAGGACTAGTCAATACCTTACTACTCAATCCTTGGTAGGTTGCTTCATAATCAGACACCATAGAAGCCTAGTATAAGTAGGAAGACATGGCGAACACAAAATACAGATAGGGCTACAGTAAAACTTGGCTTAGTGAACACCTCTCTTAGTGAACACCTGTCTCAGTGGACGCCCTTCCTCTGCACATACTCTACTGACTTCTGTATGGATTACCCGTTCTGTATTGAGCACCTAACTAAGTCTTACACTGAACGTTTTTTCTCGGCAAAAATGTTATATATGCACAGATTTTACTGTATAGGTAAAGTTGACCGTAGACCATACGCTTAGGCTATAAAATATGAAGCAGAGTTTTTGATGCAAGAGGATAGCCTACAATGAAGGGAGAATCAGATTTCGGGCAACCTCAACAAAATTGCAAACAAAATGTACAAATGACCTACCAATCATTCCTTACAATCTCAATAATATCTCTTAAAAGGTCCACGGTATGTTATAAATTAGTGAAGTTATTATAGGATTCACTACTTGCAAAATTAGGAGGAAATGTTGAAATTCTCCGAAATGATAATGGCAACAATTATAGAAAAATTAGTTAGTTTGGGGGATTTTTAGTAAATAGACATGACCTGATGATAAGGAATGATATGAGCCAAAAAGATTCTACCTTTATAAATGGACTGGATTAATTGATCTTAAAAATCATCAGAATTCGAATCATTTGAAAACTTTTTGTTAGAATTTTGACTTTGTATCTTAAATCAAACAGTTTTGGAGTTCATTGTAGTAGTAGTTTTCTAGTCCCTCCATTGGGGGTTACGGAACCCGCCATTTTCAAGAGATTAAAAATCCATCACATCGCAACATTGCCATCAAATTAAGTTATGCTTCATTTAGTATTCATTTTAGGTTATATTGTATTAATAAAATCATTTCTATGTTCCAAAGCTAAAAGACTCCCATTGTGGCATTCTGAAGCATAATGAAGATCCAACTGCAAAAGAGCCATCTTTACAAGCAATAAGTAAACATTTTCAAAACGAGACTGATACATGTACAAATTATTGATGTCTCGTGAAGATGTCACTAGTACCGAGTACTTGTCCTTTCTTTTTTATCGGGATAGAATCACGCCCGGTGATCGTGAAAATGGGACGGAGGGGGGGGGGGGGGGAGCAAGCAATTTCTGGTAGAAAAATGAACAAATCTGCAAAAATTATTTTTTTCAAGAAAAGGTTTATGATTTAATTGCTAAACGAATAGGCGCACGGTATGGTAAAATATGTCACGTATTCTACGAATTTTTTTTAGCCGATTCTCTTCTTAGGTATAAGATCTATTAAAAAAGGTGCAACGCCACCAACGTGCAAAAGTCAATGTTTTTGCTTTAAATCAAGCATCAACGGTCTACACAACCTGCAATAAATATTTGCTTTACTAAAATATCATTTTCTCAAAAGATTCACGATGAAACTCTCTAATATTACAGATTTCAAGAGTTAATATATTGACTTAAAAGAATCAAACATGCACATTTCTGAAAATTTCTTTATTAAGCCGTTAAGTTGCACGCGAAACTATAAATTTCGACTGACTGTTAAAGTAACCTAAAGTGACCTTTTTCCATATAAATGGAAAATAGATGGCATCATGGGTATTGGTAGGGCTATGGTAGGGCTAGAATACATGTGAATGTATTGTCAGATTCACTTAATTTTTTGATTGAAGAAGTAATTCCATTTGGATAAACTTAAAACACCATTGGAATGTAACTATATGATCTTATTGACATGTGGATTGTGATTTCACATTAAAATTGTGATCCTTGTAAGAGTAAATGAACTTTTAAAGGTTTTTCAGCATTGTGTCAATGGGGATTTAGCCCGACCTTTTTTAGACAACTAGAAAATCATTAGAATTTGAATAAAGGCACAGAACAGTGCAAATCAAAGTTGTTTTGATAGAAAATTACACAGGGAATTCAAATATGCCATCAAATGGAAGAAAATTATAGTCTTTAATGGTTAAAAATGCAGATCTCCTAAAATCTCATTAAAAACGAGACTTTAACAAGATTTCAAAGCTGTATGGAAAATGTTTAGCGATCTTCAAAGGACCCCCTGCAGAACAGTTCTAGAGCAATGAAGCCCATATTCCTAGTATGTTACAATAACATAATTATCTTCAAAATAAGAAGGATTAAATTTTTTCTTTTGGCTAGTTCCAAAGATAATGACATTTGAATTTTGGAAAATCTTCATTGGCTGCCATTATAAACCACTATAAATCTGGCTTTACTAAAGTGTCAATTTCTCAAAAAGTTTAGTTTAAACTAAATTAGATCTCGGTTCATGGAAACCCATGTTTGGGGTTCTCGAGGCAAAGGATAGATATAGATATGGTAAACTGAATTCAACAATGTTTTTCTCTTAAACCAATCATTGAAAACATTCTTTAAAAAACACGGTCATTTATGTAATGTTGACTGATTGACAACAATTTAATGCGAAAATAATTTTTATATATTTTGTATAACTGTTTTTGTTATCATTCGTTGTTTTTAGTGCAATTGTTTTTTGTTCCTTTCTACCAATGCTTGAGAATGAAATAAAATGTCCTTCCGAACCTTGTTGGAACAAAATAGCATATAAAATATTTTCTTAGACCTCTCAATATTATAGTTATGCAAAGGAAATTTAGTATGCAAAAACTTAAAACAAAACCCCTCAAAAATTGATAAAAATTAAGATAAACCTTTTATTTCATTAACAAGATACACTCACCTCCATAAGTTTGGCAACCTTAATTCCCCCATTGAACTATGTGTTAAAGCCTCTTAACCTTTGAATTTTTATTTACTTAACCTGCGATGAAAATACGCATACTTTTGATGGAAACGTAATTTTACTTTATTTCCAATACCTATTAACGTATGATACCAAGAACGAAAGAAGTGTCTGATTTGTTTTCTAAAACAATATAGAGAAAAGTAAATATATATAATTCAAATTATAATGTTGCCATCCAAAAGATGACCATTAAATCGACGATGTGCAAAATTTTCAGAATGTTTTGATGACTGGAAACGCGTGTTCAAAAGGTTCATCATATCGATACCAATCCTTTGTCTTTCCTGAGAGGACCCGCGTATAAATGGCCCCTGAATTACGACTTCGATTCGATATCAACAAGTGTTTACTTGCTTAATGACTTCGAGGACACGACTGAAAATTTCTATGCTTAAAACACCATCCTTAGTCCAAGAAAAATGAATGGAAAATGTTCGAAGTATGAAAAAAAAGAATATACTTATGTTATAGCCTAGTTGTTTACAAAAGTAAAACTGGGTGTGGAACTCGGATTCTGAGCCCCGAATACTCATTTACACTGGAATAGCTACTCCCCCGTGTTACTTCCTTAAATGATACCAATCATTGTCATTCTATTAAACTTTGAAATATTTCAACTTTGAATTTGAACTTATAAAATGTATATTTGCCTCCTGGGATTTGCCTTTACAAAGACTTTAATTTGTCAGAGCTAACACTGGTCAAAGTTGTTACTTGTCGTGTTAGCCTCGAGTAAACGGAAGCCTACTCAGTAAGAAAATATTTACTAAACAGACTGTTTCAGTTAAGGTTTCAAAGTTCGAGGTCTTGAAATTTTACTTAAATCTTTCCAAAATAATTACTCCAATAAGTGTTTATTTGAAAAATAATTTAGAAATTCAATTCCGCTTTACAATTATGATTTTCCCCAAACGGAAGTCATGAAAACAACGGCCCTTTATGACCATAGGTTAATGAATAGGGAGCAAATTTTAAAAGTTTCCAGTGCTTATGTAATGTTTGGTATTATCTGAATCTATTGTTTGATGGTGTATGACAAGGTGCGTTTTGTCCACACACTGTTAAATGCAATCGTTTAGAAGTCGAAGACAGATTGGAACAATCCCTCGCTACAAAACAACAAGGAGTGTTGGACTTATCAGGGTCGTTCCGTCTGAAAGATAGTATGAAAATGCATGTGCCTCTCACATTTGTCTTGCTAACTGTACTAATGTGTTTAGGGATGGGGAATGGTGTACCGGCATCCGCAGACAAGGAGGAAGCTGTGTAAGTAGGAATAATAATTCTCTGACCAAATATGTGACCATTAAAAATCGGGCTAGCTTTCACTTTAATTTCTCTTTAGCAACTTGGGGTGTTTTTAATGTAATATTTTTTAAGGTTTTTCAAAAATCAGTGGCCCTCATTAAAAATTAACGCTTCATTCAAAATATGGGTTCCCAGGTTCCATGTTCCGTAGAAATGACATTTGAATGTTTTTACCAACTTTGGCCATATTTAAATAATAAATGCCTTATTGGCTTATAACTTCTGAAAACGGGTTAATTTCAAAAATAACACCAAATCCTTTCAAAATCTGACATTTTTTGCTTTAATTTAAATAATGTCTGCCTCAACTGAATTTGTAGAAGATATCTGCCATTATTTTTCGAGATGTTAATTCAAAATGGCTGCAGGGACAAAATAGCCAAACGTTTCCCGAATAAATATATTTTAAACTGTAACTTACATTGAGATATGTCACGTCAACGTTTTTGAAAAATGAGACACTAGAAGAGTACCTCCTAGATATTGATACAATTATTTATAATTCAGAATGGGTCCCCAATTTGGTAAAGGCGTGGTATCGATATGGAGATTCTGTAAAAAACACGGTATTTTATGTAATGTTGACTGATTGATTTAATGCGAAAATTATTTAGAAATATTTTATATATCTGTTTTTGTTAACATTTTTTGTTTTTTTAGTGCAGTTGTTTTTGCTCCTTTCTACCAATTCTTGAGAATGAAATAAAATTTATTTCCTAACCTTGTTGGAACAAAATAGCATATACAACATGTTTTTAGACCTCTCAATATTATAGTTATACAAAGGAATTTTTGGTTGATTTTAAAAAGTTCTCCATATCGATACCATTCCTTTGGTAATTTGGTAAATACTGTATGTTGTTTTGTTCCGTTGGATAATAAAAAAGTATGTATGTGAAAGATAATGTTTTGTCCATTTATTTCTAAGAAATATGTACCATGAATATAATTATTGTAAATTGTGATTGCATCTTGCTTTGTAAGATCGATTGTACTTTTTCAGTGATAAAGTTTTCGTAGCAGCACATCAAGTAGTTCATGATGCTTCTGACATGTCTGACCGTAAGTTTATCTTCAATATTCCTTACTTAATAAAATTGTAATATTTATTTAAATACTATAGTGGTCCAAAATACAAACCTCTAATTTTAGAATAACGGTGGTATGAGAATACTATTATGTATTTTTCAATACCGCTTAAAATAACCAAAAAGCTCCCATAAACTCGAAGTTTCAATGGATTTAGTCTTCAAATAAATGTAACCTTTTGAGATTGATGATTATACAATTGAGTATAATAAAATATTATATGTTCAACCAACATATAAAAAACATATCAATTTGAATGGTTTTAACATAAGCTCTATCCGACAGTCACATAGAGTTCACACTTTCAAAGAAAATTAAAATATCAAACCTGATACACTTTTCAAGATGTAATTTTATATGTCGATTTCAAATATGAGATCACTTTAATATTTGGTGACCTAAATCAGGAATATTTCTACTTGCATCGAAGGCCATAGAATGTTATGAAAACGAATTCATTCTTGTCAGATACATGGTAAATTATCCTGAAAGATCTGAGCTACAAGATATTTTGGTGATACTTTTTCCAAGGCTCTCAACTTTACCTTTAATCAAACTATTTCCACTACAGGTGAGAAGCGTTCTACGTGTAACGTCATAGCAGACAATTTACCAACTGACGGGTGGCAGCAATACATGGTTGAGGCACACAACGAACGAAGATTTAATGAGGCCGTTACATTTGGAATTTCTGACGAGAATAAGCTGACATACAACCAAGAGTTAGCCATGATGGCTCAGTTCCGAGCTAACAAGTGTATCTGGGACCATGGGGATTACATTGAGTAATAATGATATCATATTCTAGCAATTTCACCAAAATAATTCAATCACAGTACCACTCTATTTTCACAAGTAAATGATTGACATGATTATCATCATCATCATCATCAATATCATTATGATTATTATTATATTCCATTATTATTTGATGTGATGTCTGTTTCAGTTGCAACGGTAATGTGGTTGGCCAGAATATGTACTACGTTAGTGGGTCAGAATATCATCCGATAGACAATGAGATAACCGATAGAGCTTTGGTTGGGTGGTACGAAAATGAGAAACCGCATTACGATCCAAGTTCCACCTCTTGTGCCGAGGGAAAAGTTTGTGGCCATTACACTCAGGTATACTGCTTTGCTGCTTGTATTCTTGAAGCTTTCGGCAGAAATTCTGAATGATTGAGTAAGATGATCACAATCATCTTATTCTAAGCCATAATAACTCAGATGCGAGTAGGCACTTACCAGTTTCACCACCAGGTGGCTTGTTTGGGTCAGATAGCATGGCGCATATAGTAGAAAGTTCCCTTTAACTTACAGAAAGTAAGTAACCAACTGCTCTTATTTCTTCATACTTTATTCAATTACATTGAAATTTTCACAGATGATGTAGAAAATATTAACCTATTAAACAAGACCAGGCACAATGGGTTAGCATCAATACTATTGTTATTGGTGTTCCTATGGTTTAGGGTAGATGGGGCACCCTGTTTTAAGTTGCGTTTGAAGATAATTTATAGAATTTTTCTACATGTTGTAATACCTCCAAATATATCAAATTTACATGTAAGACTACATTTTAACTCATAGTCCTTCAAATTAATCACCGCCAAAGGCAATGAAGTTGAGGCAATGTTTCACTCTGTCCTTAAACATGTCATCATTCAATGACTGCAAACTGCCATTGAAAGCTTTGATGATAGCTTTATTGCTGTCCAAACGGACTCTCCGTAACAACATCTTTGCAAGAAGTTAGGATTTAGTCACATGGGGAATATGAAAAATGAGAGCAGTTAGTTACTTACTCTCTGATCGGGCCTCGTACATTACTGTTTTAGTGGTTCAATTTTCATATCACCCTTATGTATCTAATAGTTATGCAAGTTAAAATATGTCCAGTAAAAGAAAATGTTATCTGTTCAATACAAGAAAAGATTCACTTTTTGTGATTTTATAACATGGGGTCTATGGAGAATCTGCCCGAACTAAAAGTCACATTTTCCCAAAAAATTAAGTTGATAACATTTTTCGAAACCATTTTTCTAGATGTACTTTTACATGTAGATTTCAAATATGACATCACGTTGACTGAATTTTGAATTTTTAATGACGCAGATCAAGATTATTTTTACTCGCATCTTGTTTATTGGATTGTGGCATGTATTACAGGAATTCATGATCTCGTTAATTCAAGACTGCGGACCCCTGTCTCCCTTAATCAACACAACACATGTAGTTGAAGGGCTTGTAGCTAGACGAGAGCTCGGTATATTTTAGTCATATTGTTACTACCCCGAGATGTGAAATCAATATTAAGAATTGAAGACTGGACCAAGGACGTCTATCTCATGTATGTCTTATTATCTCTTATGTTTAGGTCATATGGGCGGCTACAGAGAGGATGGGTTGTGGCGCCAGAATGTGTGAAACACTCTATGGGGGAGATGGGGTTACCGTATATAGGAATTCAAAACATACTCTGGTTGTATGTAACTATTCCCCACCGTAAGTGACATGCACTACTAATGTCTGACGACTCACTATTATACTACCATTACATTGTCAAGGGGAAATACTTCAGGCTTCCATAGATGAACTTGTCTCCATGTAAAAATCACCCTCTGGTGGTTTATCTATAGCATAGGTCGCATGGAGACCTATGAATTGTTCATCTATGAATTGTTGGATATTCTAGGGTAATTCTAGTTATGGATTTGGACATATTGTTGAAAGTCTGGCCGATCTAGCATGGCAGGCATAGTAGAAAGTTCCTTTAACATGAATATTCATCAGTTTTAGTGGTTCAATTTTCAAATCACCCTTATGTATCTATGTAACTAATAGTTATGCAAATCAAAATATGTCTAGTAAAGGAAAATATGATCGGTCTAATACAAGAAAAGATATTTCACTTTTTGTGATTTTATAACATGGGGTCTATGGGGAATCTCCCCGAACTAGAAGTCAAATTTAAAAAAAAAATCAAATTTTCAAAGTTGATAAACAAATTTTGAAATCATATTTTTAGATCTACTTTTATATGTAGATTTCAAATATGACATCACTTTGACTAAATTTTAAAAATGGTAGTATCTGCTCCGGCTATCTTCTCTTTACTTCTCCGTGCACTCTCAACTCCGGGTAACTTCTCCGCGTCTCTGGACACCCACTCCGGATACTCTACTCTGCCTCTCCGATGGATTCTCACTCCGGGTACTTCTCTGCTTTCCCTCCGGACTCTCAATCAGGGTACTTTTCCTCTGATTCTCATTTAAACTTTGCAAATTAAAAATACACATGGCTATATATTGGTTCTCAACCAAGTGTCCTGTCATTTATGAGTGTTTCAGCATCCTTGTGAAAATGTAAGAAATGAAAAATAATGACGATGATTGATGAAAGATGAGTTGAACTTTAAGATCAATTTGTATACAAGTATCGAGTCATAATTTGCTGTGGGTATCTACATGGGCAACCATACCTCATCTACTACTCTGTAAAATTATTATAAAATTATGTTGGTAAAAATCTTTTTAATTTTAGTTAGCACTGAACCCGGGTTCGAGCTGTATTTCCATTTGTTGTAACGAGTCTTAATGACTGATATCGAGGGACTGTTCCTTACAACACGATGAATTATTTTCCATGTCCTTATTTGTGCAATGGCTGGGGAATTTGAGAAAGGTTCGTGTGCAGTATTGCAAGTGATTTTAGACGGTCATATCTTTCACCATGAATACTTTCAAGGCATAAATACAGTGTTTTTTTATTAAAACAATATGTTTTCTTTCAAGTGAAGTCCCCATGATGATAAAGATATCAATCAAACAATTCGAAAAATTATAAATAGGGATCCCACGTCAACAATTTTTTCAAAATGTTGAACTTATTTGCTCAAAAGAGGATCTTCTTTTTCTGATTTTTATTGCATGAAAAGAGTATTCAACAAGGGGTCCAAAACACCTTCAAAAGTAGAATGGTATTGAAAGGCCATTCTGATATTCATAGCATATCTCGTTGTATTTATACCCAGAAAGTACTCATGGTGAAAGATATAACTGTCTAAAATCACTTGCGATACTGCACATGGACCTTTGTAGATGGTTTTGGAGGAATGTTGTATTCGTGTCGATCACCAAGAGCACGCTCTACCCCAAGATTTTGAAGATTTCTTTATATCTTGTACATAACTAGGAATCAGATTTCGCGTTACCTTGAACGCAAGAGTTTTTCTTGTCTTCTTTAACTTAAAGATTTCCAATTTAGTGGGAGTTTTCTCAAAATTCCCACAATATTTAATTCTAATTATCTTTCAGAGGAAACTATGTGGACATGCCACCATTCAGCCAAGGACCATTTTGTAGTAAATGTAAGGGTGACACCGGCTACTCTTGCTCCAACGGTGTACTCTGTAGTAAGTATAAAATACTGGGTGTGCCAAAAAATTTTGCAACTTTTTCAAAAGGCTAGAAAAGTATCATAACATTGAGGTATTGACATAAAAATTGATTTACAGAAACTTTAAGATAGGCATATTTTACCATTCAAATATTAAAGCTAATATTAAAGCTAATACCGACTATCTATTAATATATCTATTAATTATCTATTTAAAAAATGCATCCATGCATCCGCCTTTCACCTTCACTATCACACAGATACGAGGGTGGATCTGCAATGGCGCGATCCAGCGATTTTGCAGTAGTTCTCTCCAATTCTCCTGCAGAACTTCTTTTAGTTGATCAATAGGTTCTGTGGGGATTACCAATAACTGCAATAAACTGCTCCAGGTGCCCCCATGTGAGATAGTCACAGGGGTTGGCATCTGGTGTATTGGGCAGCAATTCATCAGGACTGATAAATCTAGAGGTATCCTCCTCCAGTCCAAAGTGACCCTTGCCCGATGGCTGGGAGCGATAGTGAAGGTAAAGGGTGGATGTAAGAACATGTGATTAATAAATAATTAATAGATCAGTATAACATAATACCATAGTGAGTAGATACTGATATAAAACTGTACTAGATATTGAATAGACAGATATCAGAGATTGTAGCAGATTTAGTGAACATAATGAATGTGTTATTATTGATCACATAAAATCATTAAAAGTCACATTTTCTTGGAAAAGCAGTAAATCTCGGATACATGAACAATTTACCATTGATATTCAAAGATCTGTCCAAAAAATTAGAAGTCAGTATTAGCTTAAATATTTGAATGGTAAAATATGCATATCCTAAACGTTCTGTAAATCAATTTTTATGTTAATACCGTAATGTTATGATACTTTTCTAGCCTTTTGAAAAAGTTGCAAAATTTTTTTGGCACACCCTGTATAGACTGATAGAGGATATACTATGATTTATATGAGTGTCATATGAGTGATATCGTGATAGTAGGATACTTTTTTTAATTCATAGTTTAATGATGCTTAAATGAAACTTTCCAAAACAACTGATCGACCATTTTTACTATCAGATTCGTTTAAAAGCCATATTCGATGGGCTAGTGAAAATTTGCCAACTGATTTTGTGTCTTTTCTTTCTCTTTTTCATTTGTGTATTTATAGTGTGTTTGGTGATATAAGTGCTACTTAAAACATAAATGTACATTCATGTGTTTTATCAAGTTTTATGCAATCTTAAACGTATGCCGTTATTATTTTGACCGTTTTCATTTTGTTATTTTGTTATATTATCATCATCACCGATCGAATGAAATTCCCAACTCTATTGCTATATATGCATAGTCAGCACCATCTATTTAATATCTAACAAAATATAATGAAGTCCGGTAACTTAGAAAAAAGAAAATTCTAAATATTTGCTCATGCCAGGGGCTTTGATCAGTGATATTTTATGTTTATTCAACTTTGATATTTTTGTAACTTGTCAGAAAATTTTTCTTTTAATATTTCTCGGGGATCTTTATAGAATAGATATGAGGTCATGTCCATGAGCAGAGTTTTGGCCCAAAAAAGTAAGAAATTTGTGCTAAGGCTCAATATCTGCGATTTGCAATTGATTCTGACCATGTTTTAAGTATCAAAATAATGCTTAGATTATTGAGACTCAACTGAAGTTAAAAATAAAATGAAATATACACAAACTCAGTGATTATGACCAAACAAAAACGGGAGTCCAAACGGAAGTCAAAAGAGTAACCGCACTTTCAGTCTAATAACTGAATAATGAAGATTGATGGTGGTCACTGTGCATATATGTGCTTAATTACATTCTATCATCATTCTAATCAAAAAATAATTTTCAGGTGTTATCAATTATTAAGTTCATCGAATTTATTATTACAGCCAAGTGCGATCATAGGATTGATGTTGACTGTGGTAAGTAAACTATTTAAGTATCAACAGAATTTGAAAATCAATGTTTTAATAATTAATGTTAAAGAGATTTTGTCAAATGCATTTAAGATTAAAACCTTGTATCAGTGGAGACACGTTGTCTCCATTTTTATATGCACTGGAGATGTCAGACATTATGTCTTCGTTTCAGAATGGCCAGGCTTCCGGTTTATAATAATTTTGTTTTCTCCATTTTTTTCACCTTCATCCTTCAAATTTCAATTAAATATTTGGCCCGTATAATGCGTAGGTTCCGGTTTCGAAATATGGCCATACCTAAGAAATCCATACAGTAATTGTTTGAATAATTGCAAAACGATTTCCTCCTTATGAAACAAAGACAGTTTCTAATGGAAACGAAGACAGTACATATTTTTCTGAAACAAAACGAAGACAGCACATTTCAATGATATCTGAAAGTACTAAGTAAAGGGGTAATGCAGTGTCACAAAAAGAGAAAATCTATAATGTGATTTCAAGTACGTGCAAATGTGACCCTCCATAGGGATATTACTACTTTGACACTAGTTATATGCACTAATAGGTATAAATGTCATCGTTGCAAATGAAATATGTATCCATTCAGCGAGATATGTCGAAATAATTCTCGAAATCGTTGTTCCCTCTTCAAAAGAGAAGACGCGAAAATCTTTCCTTATAAGGGCAAAATATTTCCCATGATGCAGTTCGCGGAGGAACAAATTTATACTTCCTTATTTTCCCTCATAGGTTTAACATGGGGATTTTCACACCTATTTTTCAAACGATATATTCGTTCATATTCCCGTAGGAGAGTACAGAAAAAATTATTAGAAACGATTGATCTCTCATTAATCTTAATATAACAGCTATTTTTTTCATTGTATTAATTCATAGCGTGGTGAAAACGATGATTGAAAAGTGAGAAAATATTCCGGAAGAGAAGGTCACGTGATCAGTAGACTAGTCGCCATATTGGAAAAAACAATTCCAATTCGACTTTCAATACTTTCATGCCAATTTTACCGCACTACAAACTGCGACATCGATGCAACAACTGAATAAAAGTATTCATCTTCCATTATAGAGTTACGTTGAAAACCCACAAACAACTGAACAGTAGACCAAAGAAGACGCGTCGCTATTATCTAGGTCAATCCGTTCAGTGGTCCGAAAGCAAATCTATAGTACTCGTTTCCGAATTTTGTTGTTCGTTGTACAATCTTTTATTGATTAAACTCGGTATACTGACTATTAAAGCAATGACAAAGAAGAATACTTCCGATGGTGTCATTGTTTTATTTAGCGTGCGAGTGTAAAAACAAAATTGAGTAGTTAGTTTGATTTAGAACTTTCGTGTCACGCAAATAGCTACGCGAAATGCATAGTGGGAAAAGATTGACCAATCAAATTTTGTCCTTTTTGAGTGCTTTTTCAGTGCATATTAGCGAACGTTCTGTTTCAAAGAGCGAATCGCGAAAAGGAGAATTACTTTATCTATTTTTGAGTGTAATCATATCTCAAAAATGTAACCTACGCACTACATACTGGCCAACTATTGATTTTAAATTGGATGGATCATGGATGGATGAAGGTGACAAAATCAAGAAAACAAAAGTTCCTGCCACTTTTTTTGCTATCGGAATTTATCTAGCAGGTCTGATTCATAGTATATACTGTATGTCAAATATAACACGACCACATTTCAAATTTGAATAAAAATTTCCGTGCCCCTTTAAATTCAAAAATAGGGCCCAAATTTTGAAAAGGACCACGGAAGATATCACAACAGAATTTAGACAGTCGCATGTTGGATTGTGGCTATTTTTTGATTATTTAAAAAGGTGCATGTATTTAGGCCAATGCATTATCTAAAGGCAAAGTACTCATAGAGATGATCAAATAATTTAAACTTCGGGGAAGGTGCAAATACCCCACCAACATTTTTTCATCCCCTTCCACTAGTCTTTTTTCAATGTTTTATGCATCAATATGTTGCATTTGTAGACACAGTTAACTTCTTAAAAGGAAAATACGTTTCACTATGGTAAAATAACATGAGAACTATTGTTTTCCGCTTTATCCCTCTTGAAATATTTTCCTTTTAAGAGGCCAAAAAGGCCAAGTAATGCCCAAAAGGCCCACTATTTGGTGTACCCTATGTGTTATAGTGTGTCCTAATAAAGCCAAGTGTGGGGAAAATGGTGGAACTATCGACCCAAATGGAGCGCAATGCATCTGTGATTGTGGTGACCCCTCTTTATTAGGCGAGGCCTGTGAAAGTATGTATGTATACTATACAGGGCGTATAAAAAAAACGCAACAATTAGATATCTCGTAAAATCACAAAACTAGTGATGACTACATCAATTTCATTCAATGCACCATAAAGCCACGTCTCTCCTCTTTGCAATGATATGTCATTCATTCACATGTGGTAATGGTTGGGTGAGAAATCCTTCTGTTTGCACAGTGGGTCAAAATCGGCTCTGCACCAAGTTTTAGATATTGAAAAAATCAGTGCAAGGGCTAAGTGCCAATGGAAGTTCCCCTGACTTGAAATGTTGTGACTTTTTCTTTTGGAGCTATCTCAGGAGCATCTGTGCTCACAATTCCTTCACCAGATATTGCAAAACCTCGAGTAAGAATTGCCCATGGGCTGCTTTTCTCTGCTTTAACCCAGAGATGATTCAGGGCTGAACCATGCATGACGTGGACAGATGAGCGCATCTTCATGTGGAAGGAAGTGGCGGCACTTTGGAGGGGTATAGGATGTATTCTTGCAAGAGTATGAGTATGAACACTTTACTGTCTATGCCACACCTGTCACACCTTCTCCCAATAGCCCCTATGCCCCTTGTACTGACTTTTGCAATGTTTAAAACTTGTGTCCGAGCTGAATTTTGCCCCATTTTGCAAAATTAATGATTATTCGGCCGGAGATGACTCCCTGTGAATGAATGATATTCCATTGCAAAGAGGACTAATTTGGCTTTTTAGTACATTGAATGAAAAGGATGCAGTCAGCATTGATTTTATGTTTTCTTCCAATATTGCATCGGGCTCCGAACACTAACTTTTGCGATGTTTATAACTTGGCCCAAAGCTAATTTTGGCCCACTTTGCAAATGGAATGCTTACTCGCCCAACCATGACCAAATATCAAGGAATGATATATCATTGTAAAGAGGAGACACATGGCTTTATGGGGCATTGAATGAAATCAATGCTGTTATCACTGGTTTTGTGCTTTTCCGAGATAACAATCTGTTGCGTTTTTTTGATACGCACTGTATATAGACTTGAAAAACTAATCAAGCAGCCAAAGTCTGACCTTTGAGTTTATCATTATTTTTACATATGTCAAACGTTCACCCTTGGTATAGGCAGCTAACAAAGAATTTCATCAGCTATTGCCCCGAACCGGCCCGTCTTCTCGATGCAAGCAGATTGCCCCGAACCGGTCCGTCTTCTCGCTGCAAGCAGGATGAAATTCTTTGTCACAAAGTTTGGCATTTTTTATAAAATCAAACGCGCGTCATTGAAACTCACAAGATGTAAATAGCATGTCATTTACATCATACCTTGATGGGGAAAAATAGATCTTATATGTTAGAAGTACTAAATAAAAGTTATCGTGAAAATGAGACAGTCGTTCTCGAGAGAAAAGAGCATAAATGCGCATTTAGAGAGTTTTGGTCCGTTTGAAAATCTGTAAAAAAACGGGGTACTTAAAAGCATCGGTAGGCATCATATATTTCAAATTAGACACGAGGAAGTCAATATTGAGTAAGTTATGGCTGTTTTAAATTCAAATAAAACCGTTAACCCGTACCGGTCCAGCTTTTGACCCGTACCGGTCAATTTTCGTTAGCTGCGTATACCAAGGGTGACGTTGTTGAACTTTTTAAATATAGTAATTAGTGCCTTGTCATATTATGTACTTTAAAGCTCATTCTGGTTGTTTTTAGTTAACTGCAACTCAAAACAAGGGGATGTGCTGGACGAAAGTAGTTGCACCTTTTGGAAAGGCTCTGGCTTTTGCGCAGCTGAGAGTGTTTACAGTGCGTTCATGCAACAAAACTGCAAAGATACGTGCGCGTGAGTACCTGTCTCAGTCATGCAGGGTGACCCATAAAACAGAAACGCACATTCTATAGAACGGGTTATCAAAAACACCTCAAAACATCATGTGCGACATAATCAAAACCCTTGGATGACACAGCCGTTGTTAATACACTTTTGCAATAGGGATCTCCTCCTTTGTTCTTAGACATCACAATGAAAATCGTATTACTTATCATGAAACCTTCCGAATCAGAGATTGTTCCTTGTTAGAGAGGAGTATGAGAATGATTAATTGCTCTGATTATATTTTCCAGATGCCCTTAGAAAGTAATGCTAAGGACCAAGGACATGTAAGAAGAACTATAAAGGATGATGACGATAGCAAAAACGACAAAGATGGCGTTCCGATCAAATATTCCACAAGGATACAATTCCAAATGAAATGGACTATGACTTAAACACAGTTTCCTCATATTTGACAAGAATTTTGAAATCAAATAATACGTAACAATATGAGCTATTTAGTAATTACATAATGCAGGATCGTAACATGAATCACATCTTATTTTGGCTACTTCTGCTCTAAGATATTGCTCTTGAAATATATTCTCTTTATTATACTGTGTTTATTATTCCATTATGTCGGAGACCTTTGAATATTGCGTGATGTGAGCCAGATGTAAATCGCAATGACCATGAGATACCTCAGTTTATATCCAAAATTCAAGATAGATGGTTATGAAACCAAAAATTAAAAGGAAATAATTCTAACTATGATTGATTATCCATTTAACTCTGCTACCTTGCACCAAGTGTCCTTCCAACTTGTCTACTTCCACAGCTAACTGCCACCCCTTCTACACATCCATCTCCATAAATGGTGAACTATAGTCAGACAAAGATGTTTCTTAATATATGGTAACCTTTCGTAAATGTATTGTTTTTATTAAAGTATCACAGGTAACTCCTTCATATAGTATACACAAACACAAAATCCACTAATGGCTTATGCAGTCCTGGAAAAATAGTCCGGGACTATATTATCTAGAAAAACAAGGCTGAGGGATTATACTATATTTAGGTATTTTAGTTCGGTTGCTAGGACTGTGTGTCCGGGGTGGAGTATAAAGGTTTGGGATACAGGGTTTATCCCAAGGGAAAAATCTCCCCAGAAACAGAGAGAGATACACATATTTCTATGCATCATGTGCATTTCTATGCAGTGTCTCAGGGGGCGTCTCAGGCTGGATCTGGTTGACCCCGATGAAACTTGGTGTCGGAAGTCAATAGATTTAAATGGATCAATTTTATGTGCGGTAGGGCCTTCTTTTATTTGCATTACTGAACATGACTTAGAAAATTACTGTTGAATAAAGATTTAAAACATAATACAACCGTTAAGTCATTAAAAAATGTGTATTATAATAAATATATTCCATTGATCATCGTCATCAAAATGAAAACCATATCTAAAGTAATATAATACGATACAACAAAGTTATTATTATTTATATAAGTACTTCAAACAATAAATGTAGAAATGATTATCGTAAAAAGTGACACCAAAATCATGTCCATGCTATATTGAGCGATAAGATAGTGTTTGTATTAAACAATTATTCATTAATTATTTGATTAAATTGTGATTGATTGTGCTTAGGAATTTATTTTCTCATCTCATCTCTTGGTGACAGAATACGTTTAGTAGTTTGAATATGAAAATGAAATATTTGTGTATTGCAATGTATATGCACCAAATAATTCTAGAGATAAGGTGGTATTTTATAAGAAATTGGAAAAAATCTTAAATGATATTGACACTTCTCAGAGTAACCTATTCTTGTGTGGAGATTTTAATTGTGTTGTAAATCCAAACATGGATACAATTTCAGGTGAAAAACATTGTTCATTTGAAATTGAGGCATTTAACAAATTTATATGCATGACTGATATTATAGATACATGGCGACTACATCATTTTGAAGAAAAGAATTTTACATGGAAACATAAATCAAAAAACATTGCTAGGCGCATTGATTACATTTTTACAAATGATGCAGGTTTTAATAAATTGGTATCTTCAGAAATAGTAGATATGCCAACATCTGATCATAGAGGCATAATGCTAAATATTTCATTAGATGATAGTGAAAAGGGACCATCTTATTGGAAACTTAATAATAGTCTGTTAAAAAATACTGAATATGTTAATCAAGTAAATACTATTGTCGAAAATGTAAAATTAAAAAATAGGAATTTAGATGAGCAAATGTTATGGGATTACTGTAAAACAGAGATTAGAGATTTTTCTTTGAATTTTGGTAAAAGAATTGCAAAAGAAAAAAGACAGGAAATAAAAATAGCCAAAACCAATTTAGAAAAAGCTTGTAAACAATTATGTAAAAAGCCAGACAGTAATGAGTTAAACATGAAGGTTAATGAGTGCAAAAAAATATATGATGACATTGTAAGTAATGAGGCAAGAGGTGCTATGATAAGATCAAAAGTCCAATGGTGTGAAGAGGGAGAAAAAAGCACTAAGTATTTTTTGCAACTAGAAAATGTTAAAGCGAAACAGAAACTTATTACACATTTAAAGCTTGATAATGGTGAGGTAACAAGAGACCAGACTAAAATTATAAATGAATTAAATAGATTTTATGGTGAGTTATATTCTAAAAAGATTCTATTCCGACCAGCAATTGCTGATGATTTTTTTAATAATGTACATATTCCTTCATTAAACCAAGATGAACGTTTATCATGTGAAGGTGAAATAACCTATAATGAATGTATTTTAGCTTTAAGGAACATGAGAAATGACTCAAGTCCAGGATTAGATGGCATAACTGTTGCTTTTTATAAAGTATTTTTTACAAAATTAGGTCACTTGATTGTGAACTCATTTAATGAGGGTTTTATTAAAGGAGAGTTGTCATGCTCTCAAAAAAGGGGATTAATGGTACTAATACCAAAGAAGGATCTGCCAAAGGATGAGCTGAAAAACTGGAGACCCTTAACTCTCACAAATGTGGATTATAAAATCGTTGCAAAGGTATTGGCTAATAGAATAAAACAGATTATCACCTCAATTATTCATGATGACCAATCTGGTTTTATAAAAAAGCGAAGTGCATCAAATATCTTAAGAACAATTGATGATGTTATAATTTATTTAGATACTAATAATCTTCAAGGTATAATGATGGCAATTGACTACTCTAAAGCATTTGATTCGATATCTAAGGAATTTATGTTATACTCACTTGAAAAATTTGGTTTCGGGCCATCATTTATAAAATGGGTAGATGTACTCAATAGAAATGGTCACAATCACATTTATCATAATGGTTGGATAATTGGCAATATTAATTTAGAAAGGGGCATTCGTCAGGGATGCCCATTATCTCCACTTACATTTATTATTGCTTGTGAACTGTTATCCTGCAAAATAAGGCAGCAAAATGATATCAGAGGTATAACCCTACCAAATGAAGAAATTTTAAAAATTGTACAATTTGCAGACGATACTACAATGTTTGTAAAAGACTCACAATCATTTTATAATACCATTGATGTCTTTAAAAGATTTTCCAATATATCTAGCTTAAATATGAATGTAAATAAAACTGAAGCCATGTGGCTTGGTTCCTGGAAAAATAGGAAAGATACTCTTGGTAAAGTCAAGTGGAAAATCAAACCTGAAAACTCTATTAAAGTATTAGGAATCACATTCAGTTCGGATGTAAAAGTGGTAAACAACAGTGTAAATATCGAATCTAAGTTTTTAAAATGTCAAAGTATTATGAAGTCTTGGGCAAACCGAATACTTACTATTTTTGGAAGAATTGTTCTTGCAAAGTCATTGATTATATCACAATTTTCCTATATAATGCAAGGCTTTATTTTACCAGAGAATATTTTAAACAGAATAAATACAATGGTTTTCAAATTTATTTGGGCCAAGGGAAAATTTAAGGAATGTGACTTAAAGACTGTGCCTGAGAAAGTTAAAAGAGATGTTATTGTACAAGACTATTCTGAAGGTGGTCTACAAATGATCAATGTTAAAGACATGCAAATTGCATATGCATTACAGTGGGTCAAAAAACTTAAGGATAGCTCCAAAGGGCATTGGAAATCTATTCCCTTTAGTATGTATGATAAGCTGGGAGTAAACCTCTCTGTTTTTAGAAGTAACACTTCAGCTGAAAAAATAAGTGGTCTAGAGAACTGCTCTGAATTTTATGCTGATATATTAAAATTGTGGATAAAATATTGTAATTATAAAGATGAGTATATATTATGGAATAATGACAATATTGTAAGAGCTAATAAAACTCTGTATTTTTCTAATTGGATTGAGAAAAAACTGATATACATTAAGGATGTCATTAGAAACAAAGCATTGGTACCATATGATGATATTGCCAACATAGTAGGTAGAAATGGCCAAGTATTTTTACAGTATCAGGCATTAAAAAATGCTTTAAAACCAGAACACATCTTTAGATGGTATAATTGTGAAGATGATCATGTAAATGACAAACTTTACTTCAGAAATATTGAAGTTAATAAAATAACTGCTAAATTCATTAGGAAAAAATTGGTACAAGACAGAAAGGTTGAATTGTATTATGATGGTGAGCATATCCTCAAAGATGTATGGGAAACACTTTATAAATGTACTAGAGAAACAGTTCTCTTAGAATTACAATGGAAGATACTCCATAAAATCTACCCTCATGGGGGCATACTTAAAAGATATAACATAATGGATAGTGACAAATGTAAATTCTGTGATGAAAATGACAATATGGCCCATTTTTTTGTAAGTTGTAAAAAAAATTGAACCTATTTGGATTGGAAATGAATGTAACATTTTGGAACGTCTAGGTGTAAAACCAACAGGAAAAGAGATATATTATGAAAACCTAATTCTTAAGAGAGTGGTACATTTATTGAAAATTTTTAATTAAATGTAAATAGTTTTTAACTCTGTATTGTAACTGTAATTATGTAATATTATGCATACATGTTGTACATATGTTTAAGAAATAAATAGATTTTACAAAAAAAAACAAAAAAAAAAAAAAACGTTTAGTAACAGCCTCTGGTTAAAAGGAAACATACTTAGAAAAAATATTTACCATGAAAAGTCTGTTTTAGTTCAAATTTCTAAGTTCTAGATCTTGAAATTCTATTTGAGACTCTCCGGAAAAATTCTACTAAATAGGCGTTTATTTGCACAGATAAACAGTATCTCAAAAAACGATTGCATTTTCAATAATTCTGAAATTCAATTGTGCTGTACAATATGAAGTTTCATCTAACGGAAGCCACGTACACGTTGATTAATTGTGTCTCTACGGCCGGACTTAAATGTGGAAGTAAATCTTAAAAGTTTCCGCTGCTTATGTCACGTCATGTTTGGTATTATATGACGGAGTGGTGGTATATAAAGGCGCGCCGTGCACATGCTGTTACATATGCGACTATCGGTAAGAGTAGAGATACCGACGAGACAATCACTCACTGCAAAACAATCTTGAGGGATTCATCAGGACGACCGCCTATATCAAGATGACATTTCTCTTGCTTGCAGCATTGTGTCTCGGGCTTGTATACAATGTATCAGCACACCCAGGGGGTAACTTGGAGAGGGAGGAAGTAGAAGTGTAAGTAGAAACAATTCAGATTTGTCGATGTCTTAGTATACTCATTGACCTCTACCCTATATAACTTGATCAGGTCGGTGTTTAGCTTGGATCTTCTAGGATCCCCGTAGTCAAGGTTGAATAATACTTTTAGTAAAATTGTCTCAATTTCAAAATGTTTTTGGCTCATAAATATCTTCGTCATTGCATAAAACCGCTTTTAAAGCGCAATAATGGTTCAAAAATTATTAAAGGCCCCATGTAAAGTTTTAACCACTTTGGCTAATATTGTAGTCTTACCCAATGTTATCAAAGTGTGATATGTGAAACTTTTTTTTTAAATTTCAAAAAGTGGTTTTTGATAGACTTTTTGTTCCAAAATTTGTGAATTTATTTAAAACCAACTTTTAGAGGTCACTCATATCTTCTAATTCATATCAATGCATAGCATTCATCCTCCCATGTTTTATGCCGAAAATATTAAGAAAATCGGTTGATAAACAAGTGAGAAATGAACTTATCAGTGCATGAAAACGGTTCTGAGAAAAATGCATTTCAAAATTTTAGTTCTTATAGAAACCAATGGTACAATGATATCTAAAACATAATTTATTCTTCCTTTTAATTTGGTTAGACAATCAACATTGGTTTTTATGAAAGTCTAGCATATTTAGAAAAGATTGACATCGAAAAAAAAAATTCAATTTTTTTCAAAAAGTTTTTGTTACCTTAGTGACATCACTAATTTTTCAAAATATTTTTGATAAGTTATAACATTGGTGTAGCCCATTAACATGACATTTTATTGTTGAAATAGCGTTTCTTTTGTTCAATCTTTGCATTGGTGTTAAAAAGATAATCTTTTTTGAAATGCATTAAGAAATATTTGATGATAAAGAAATTTCAACTTTTTTTGAAAAATGGCGGGAAATTTGAATATTTGAGAAATGAAATGCTCACAACTTTTTCTTGAAAATTTTTTTTTGTTCAAAAATCTCTAAAATCACTTTTTAAGTCCTGACAAATAGTAAATGAATGAAAAAAAAATATTTTCAAACTTTAGACGGGGACTTTAAGTTATGATAACTAAATTAAAGTTAATATTGTGCTTCAACAGGGATAAAGGTTTTGCACAAAGAGAAACGCCAGTTCTTCCACCACCTGCTGTCCGTAAGTACACATTTGATACCCATTCCACTGGTGATCCGCTCGATTACGCTGGTTACCAAAACGTCGAAGGTACGATTTTTATTTTTTCCTTATTTCACGCGTTGTAGGCAGAATCCCCACGATGTTATTTCACACAAACGTGTATCAACATCATATGTTTTAGAAAATGTACATGTTTGCGAAAAAATAGCTCAGAAGACAACAGAATCGTCGATTTAATTCCTCACTTAAGTTACACAAACGGTTTGGGTTAAGAGTGCAGATCTTAACCGTTTTTCGAAACCCGTTTATGTAACTTAAGTGAGGAATTAAATCGATTCTGTTGTCTTCTGAACTATTTGTTCGCAAATATGTACATTTTCTTAAACATATGATTCTGATACACGTTTGTGTTAAAAAATGTCGTGGGAATTCTGCCTACAACGTGTGAAATAAGGAAAAAAGAAAAATCGTACCTTCGATGTTCCGACATTTTGTTACCAAAACGAACCGTTTCGGTAACCAGCGTAATCGAGTGGATCACCAGTGCATTCATTGTTAGATAAGTATCGCATCTAAAATATTTCTAATAGCATGTGCAATCCAAAAATAACTCCTCCAACAGCATTAGCATGGAATATGACAAGTATACTTGTTTCTGGATTATAAATACTTTAATTGAAAATTGATAGTCTTGCTTAAAGACTGTATCCAACCCCCCCCCCCCTCGCCACCTTCACTCTCTTTACCTTGCAATATACAGAGATAGAGAGAAGGATAAAGGGGGGAGTACAGGGTCTTTTAAGTAAGACAAGAAAATTGAGACAAAACGCGAGTGTACACCAGTTCCTGAGATTCGCTCTGCTACGGAGCGTATTTTATCAGAATTGCAGGACAACTGAGACTGAACATAAATCATGATCAATGGGAACAAGAAAGGTGTCCTTTCGTCTATAACAAGGAACAAGTTTCTCCAAGTCATAATTGACTATTTTTTTTATTAATGATAAATTATTTTCTGACGAAAAAACTAGATACGAGAGAGTCAATAAGTTAGTACACTGTCACAGTGTGAGATTGAACATCCCTGAAGGTTTAAATATGGCTGTTTAAAACAAGCGTACGACATATAAAAGATACGATAAAAATGGGACCTGAAAAGCGTTCAGATTTAGAGGTGTTCGGAAAACTTTAACAGGTTTTACTGTCACTCACAATCTGACATTTTAACTGCTAATTATTGTAACCTATGTAGTGGATTATGCCTTAATTTTTGCACATGAATCACTTTCGAAATATTTTAAAATCTATTCTTAATTTAAAAATACTTTTAAAAATAGGCTATGTACATGTACAACATTAAAAATACTTCAGATGTAGAATAAGCGGAAAGTGAATGTAAACCTTCTTATCTTATTTTCAGTAGCCAGAGAAAAAAAGAATCAATATTCAAAAATGTACATTTTTTGATCATGATATAAAATATTTCAATATTTTAATACGACAATATTTCACAATTCGATACTCAATGATTACCTATACAGGAAGTCTCGTAGAAATTATTCAAAATTGTATATGAGCTGTTTTTCTTCAAAACAAGCGTAATCTATAGCCCATTATATATATCCTCAATGCTTTTTACAATCAAATAAATGTAATTGTATTTATACAGGTCAGAAGCGTTCCTCATGCAGCGACCTTCCAGATGACATCCCAAATGAGGCTTGGCAGAACATCATGGTGGATGAACACAACACACGGAGGCTTAACGAGGCCAGTGAACAGGGCAGTTCCAACGAGAATAAGCTGACATACAACCAAGAGTTAGCAAAGTTGTCCCAGTTACGAGCTAACAAGTGTATCTGGGACCATGGGGATTACACGTTGTAAGAATATATCCATAACTTTTTAAATATATCTTATATCTTACCAACTTATCTCCCTAAAACTCTACTCGGCATAGGATAAGGAGTGTTATGCTTGCATATAAAATCGAAACGCCAACATATACCAATCGCCCATACAAATGCATCGCTTAAATATTTTCCGTTCAGGTTTAGGTTGTGAAAAACACTGAAAGCTTAAACTTCCTATCTGACTTCTCGACGTTAGGAATAGTTAGACTCCTAAACTCTTATACATGACTGGTATTCAGGCCCGTAGCCAGGGGGGTTTGCAGGGTTCGTGCGACCCCCCCCCCCTGGCCAAAATTCTCTTAAAATCATGCAGTTTTTCACCATTTTGAGCACTTATCAAGTATTTTAGACAAATTTGGGCCAAAATTGTCAAATTTGAACCCCCCTGGAAATTTTTGAAAACTGACCCCCCTTGGCAAATCCTGGCTACGTCGGGCCTGGGTATTCATCACAGTCTTTACGCAAATGTTTGGCCAAATGTATGAATTCCAAACAAAGTATATCATTTTCTGGCACTTACATCATTTAAGATGATAAAAATACATTGGCAGGTCCTATATGCAGGTTTATGTTGCTTGCAATTTTGTCATCCCCTATCAGCTCTGATTCTGCCTTTGTTATGATACTGTACTTCATTTTTTCAACTTGTAGATAGCAATAGGCTTTACAAGGGTCAGTCCGGCGGGGCAAATATGCACTTTAAATTATTAATATAAAATCTATTTCAGTTGCAATGGTACTAGTGTTGGCCAGAACATGTACTACATCGGTAGGCCAGGGGGTTCCTCGATAGACTCAGGCATTGCCATGGGTGCAATGAAAGGCTGGTACAATGATGAGAAACCGCATTACGACCTAAAAACCATCTCTTGTGCCCAGGGGAAAGTCTGTGGCCATTATACTCAGGTAATAGTATACTGCTTGTATTCTAGCTTATTATATGCTCCTTCATCACATTTTCCCGACCACTGGGTGTGATTCTATCCTTATTTTACATGTAATCCAGAAATTAAATCTGATCTGATCTGAAAACGGGAAAAGGCTAGTCTAATACGCCCAATAACTTCTTCTTTTTGTAGGTCATCTGGGCGGTTACTGAGATGGTTGGCTGTGGCGCCCATATTTGTGATAAGCTGTATCAGTATAAAGATGGGGTTAAAGTCATATACAGAGACACACCAACTTACGATTATACTCTCGTCATATGTGACTATTCCCCACCGTAAGTGATATGCGTTCTTCAAATCACGGACACAGTACACCAGGGGCGGACCTCGAAACTAACAATGGGGGCAAATTTCAACTCTTAAAAAATCTTTCCGCGGAAAAAATTTTGGGCCTCTAAAACCCAAAATTTGGGCCAATCTTAGGTGGAGGGGGGGGGGAGGGGCACCTGCTAGAGCTAGCACCGTTTTCAACTTTTACCCCTAAAATTTTTTAAGAACTTTTCCACCTGTTCTGAATTTTTATAGTCTTCAACCAGGTGTTTAGCTTTCCAAGATTAGCCAGTAACCTTTTGGAGGTTTAAACTTCTTTATTTGAAGACTTTATGAGATCTGGCTACTCATCTACTATGGTTACTGGACTTCAAACAAAGGTGAAGATTATCCGCAAATCATGTACCCATCATTGCATCTAGAGAGTGGGTTATTCTATGTTTTTATATGTTTTTTGAATTGTTATTTCATTTTTTATTTGGCTAAACGAACATTTGAGTAAAAAAATAAATGATGAAGTTTCTTTAGTATTTAAAAAATCGATTGATCCCTCATAACAGACAAATCACCTTTATACAAAGGGTATTGGGGGATTAATTTCTTGGTAATTCACCTGCCTATGACGCAAAATGCAACTGAATGTTAATTACATTTAATACGTTATATGAAAGATTATGTTTATGATCAGAATTTATGCAAGAATTTAGACAGCATAAAATAAATCCTAATTATCTTTCAGGGGAAACTATGTAGGCCAAAAACCATTCAGAGAAGGGGGTGTCTGTAGTGCATGTAAGGGTGACACTGGCGTATCTTGTTACAATGATACACTATGTGGTAAGTAGCGTAAACCCAGTCAATTGTTTTTTTATAATTCCGTTGTATACGTTTTTATTATCAAGACGTCCAGTTATAACAAAAGGCACTAAATTGAAAGTTCGAGGACTATTATTTTAAATGTCAAAAGGATTATCGTGTCACTCAACATGAACTTCGTATAAATAACTATCTTCAAAGAAAATGCTTTCTGGGCGAGTATCAAATAAGACATATGGCATTTTAAGAAACCAAGAGCCGAAAATGAAAAAACTTTTAAGAGTATATATGGACAATTATGGCATCTAAAAAGGACTTTAAAAATGGCCTTGTCAAATTTCGCGTTTTATATCTGTAATTAATTTCATAAATATAATATGCTAATTTGTGCCTTGATTACTTATAAAGAACACTTGTGTATTCTGTATTTTGTTTTCGTGGTTTGAAATATATACCGTATGTCATATCTGTTACGCGGTATATGGGATACATTTATGGTTGCGCGGTATTTGTGATACAAGTGCATATGGTATACTCACCTGCGGTATCTGACATAGACCGCAAGTGAGTATGGCAAATTCCGCATTGAAATATGATATAGTGAATACCTCATATTCATCTGCGTAATATGACATATTCACTCGGAGAATATGAAATACACGTTGCGGAATATGGCATTCACCGCGCGGTGAACGTCATACGAAATTCCCTTTATTTGATTGGTTTAGCAAATCAACACTAAATGTAAAACTATAATGGATTACCATTGTTTTTATCACTTCGAGCACTAAACTATGAACCCTGGAGTGATTGAGTAAGTTTATTACGTGTGATTGGTAAATGTGCTTCTGAAAGTATCAGTAACGTATTAACCACTATCAAATACTCGTGTTTTCAGGTTTTTGCCTGGTCTTTGTAAACTGTTGATTTGGTTGTAAAGGTCACTCATAAGCTTCACGAACGTAGGTTCGTTTATTTATGTGTAATAATGTTTCCATTGAAGTGTGTTGTTGCGTGTAACACATATATAAAACAATATCAAACAATACAGGTACCACCGGTGTATGTTATTAAAGTGTACTAGTTAATATATTCAATGCACTGACCTGTTGATTCAGTAATCATCATAATAATTTATAGACTTTAACCCGTTCGTCGAATCGATGTAATTGACAATTGCGTACTTCCGTATCGCGTTCTCATTGGTTAATGTGTATGCCATATACCGCGGGTGAATCTGTCATACAACGCAAGTGAATATGCCATACTCGTTGTGGAATATGACATATATTTGAATCGTGTTTACCGCGTAACAATATCTATGTTTAAATGTTTGATAGATATAATTATATGTTCGTAGAAAGAATCTACTTCTAATTATGGTCTAATAACTTTATTGAATTTTTTTCAGCGAAATGCAATCATCTTGAAGATGAGAACTGTGGTGAGTATCCTTAAACGACAGAATTGATTAAATGATATGATATTTTCTTAATTAAATTTTCTTGAGTATGGTGTGACATTTAAGACACAAGGGCACTCTTATATTGTGCCATTTTCGAGAGTGACTGCTCCAACAATTTGCGTAACACGTTTAGCATGGATTTGTACATTCCTAGTGTTGCTAGTAACGATGTCATAAATATTAAAATGTGGTCAGCTCGTGGTAATATAGTGATGGGACACATTTTATTCATACTTATCATTGAAAATGTAAACTGCAATCTACTCTTTAAAAAGAAACATTTGTAAAATGCGTGAAACGTAGGCCTATCATATTCCCATTAAATACGAAATAGCGTGTGCAAATAAATGTTTTAGAAATGTATTTGATAAATATCATTGCACAAAATTTGTCCAATATTTCACTGCGCATGCGCAGAACCATTACTTCCGGTTTTCCAAAGCCTATGGGATTTATAATGGAGACATTTTTCGAACGCTTACTGTGCGAATGATATTGATTTGCCACCTTAGTCATCTCAGGTTTCTATAACTAGACATCAACCTTTACTGATTTAACATGTTTTAAGCAATGTACACATGCACACTTTTCGGCCAATTTGTTTTGAAAAAATCATGAGGAATTCATGCATGACTCCATTGAAATCCATTAGAAATGGCGTCAAAATGGTGAAATGAGGATATTCAACGGTCTGGTAGAGGTACTTAAAATCATATGGTATCTTAGTCATCTCAGGTTTCTGTAACTTTGAAGGTAGATCTGTTTGATTCCGTTGAGATTAGAATCCTCATACCTTTAACTTTTCGGCCAATTTCAAACAAAATATGATAACTTTTGGTGATATAACTGGTTCATTACATTGGAATGACGTCAAAATAAAATAAGACAATCTCAGTTTCTATGGCACTGACGTCATGACGTCAGATTTATCTTAAGATCTCAAATATGACGTCATGTTTAATCAATGAATGACATCTATCGGCTATTCGACCAATTCTGTGCAATGTTAACAGAAAATCAGAAGATTTAGTTGATTTTTCAGTATTTTATGATTTCAGTTTTGAATTGGTAACGATTTAATTGAAAACACATGCTGTAATAAAGAAAATATGCGTAACAACTTTAATTATCATCATTAGAATGGTTACTTGCGTATCTGAATGTAACAACTTTGTATCAAATCAACTAGCATTTACGTCCCGATCTTCTCAACTGCTACTCGCGATATCATCCATGGTCCAAGGGTTTTTCAATCCCAGGATTTCAATTTATTCGATATCCCATAAGCTGGGACAGTGATGGCCGATCTTGTAAAGGGTGCGCGATGTTCCTATACATGTAGCTCAATGATATTTTCTGGTTTGGAATAAGACACTTGCATTAGTATATGAAACAAGTTTTATAGTGTATTGTAAAGAGAAACACATCGCAAAGACGTTTATACCGCGACCAGCTCATTGCGTTATCTTAGTAAGCGTGGATACAAGTTACAATTCAAGTCGTGTATTTGTTGGAACTTCACAAAGAAACCTTCATCCTAAGATGATGTAACAAAACAGGGACTTGAGTAGCCTTGCCCAAGTCGGTCTCCTTTCCTTATATTGATTTCTAATTCAAGATCTGATAAGTAAAAAATACCAACTTGGGCAAGGCTAGGGCTTGAGTTCTTCAAAATATTTATAAGATTTCTCCCAAGCTATTTTACTACATATCAATTTAGAAAAAGCATTTTTATTTCTATTGGCCAGGGTATGATACTCTTATTATGTTATTACAGAGTGTCCTAATAAAGTTAAGTGTGAGAAAAATGGTGGAACTATCGACACAACAGAAGAAAATTGCGTCTGTAATTGTGGTGATGACAGCAAAGGGGGCGAAGCCTGTGAAAGTATGTATAGACTTATAGAAATATTAGTCAAGGTAGCATAAGGCCATCCTGGTTCGTCTGGATTTTATGCCACATATCTAACGAAACGTTTTGAATTTTAATGCCATTTATGATCACATAAAACTTTAACTACCACTAGTTACTACACCGCTAGAGTAGTCGTCCAAGTGAAGTATAATGCTACGTTACCTATACAGTTGGCAAACGGGAATAGTCATTTTATATTTTACAACAGATGAATTAGATATGGTGATAAAGAAAACGGCAATGATTCATTTTTAACGTAAACGTGCATATGTGCAATCTACGTGTGTAATCAAATGCGTAAAATATCATCTGTTCTTGTTTTGTTTTCCCGCCTAATTCTTTCAATTAATTGATGACGTCACTGATTTTTGGTCATTTCTTCACAATTTGAAGGAAAACAATAACTTTGTGCGAAAAACGAAAAAGTAGATGCCAGTGCAGGTCAATATATTGGCCTTGAAAAAACAGATTTGCCTTTAATGTTTCAGGCTGAATACATTCTTCTTAGTGGACTTGTACAAAACCTAAACCTGTTAAATTATGCTTGATATAAATAAAGCACCATTTTCTGACCAAAGTATCGTTAATACATAGTTTTGATATCTAACGAAGTGTTGAAAAGTGGCCTCTGTTTCATAATAGCAGGCCTCAAAGATTTTGGCACATTTGCATTGAGCTCCATGTTAATTTATCAATCTTCAAAAGACCCCCTGCATAACAGTTCTAGAGCAATAAAGCCCATATTCCAAGTATGTTACAAAAACATGATTATCTTTAAAATCAGAAAAGTTAAATTTTTTCTTCAACCTAGTTCAAAAGATATTGGCGTTTGAATTTTGGAAAATCCCCATTGGCTGCCATTATAAACCACTATCGATATTGCTTTACTTAGTACCCTTTTCTAAAAAAAGTCCACTATGGAATTTTCTAATGTTGTAGATTTTGATAGTTAATATATTGATTTAAAGCAAATTAAACAGACACATTTCTTTTTCTTTTTGATATATCTAGCCGTTAAAAACTATAAAAAACCTATATTGGGCCCCATGCCCTCCATCATTTTATATCGCATGCAAGACATTCGTGCTTAAAATCGGCCACAACTGATCCAACACTGAGCTTAAATTCTTTAACTTATTGCCAATGCCATAATTGTTAGAATATGTATCTCATTCTGGTTGTTTTAGTCGACTGCATCGATAAACCAGGAGATGCCTCAAGTAGTTGCAACTATTGGAAAAGCTCTGGCTATTGCGCACCCGGGAGTGTTTACAGTGCGTTCATGCAACAAAACTGCAAAGATACGTGCGCGTAAGTACTTTTTCAATCATACAAGGTGACCCAAAAACAGAAACCAACATATCATAGTGGAGTGGTTAATCAGACAAGAACCACTAGAAACAATGATTGCGACTACATTAGATAAGTTGACATTAGACAAGTCTCAACGTATCGTCAACTTTCGATTGCACACATAATTTGAAAGGGTACATGTAAATATGTCCCATTGGTTTTGATGTCATACTGTCATCCATTGATTGCAGCTTCTGTGCCAAGAAAATAAGAGGTTGTGTAGATATTCAAGTTTTTAAAAACTTGTGGGCGGTTCTGTTGTTTTTGATCACCCTGTAAAAAGAAGCATGGTATTTTATCCACTATTCTTAGAAAGAGAATGGATAGAATCCGGGTGAAGAAAACATAATATTCGTACAAAAACTATATTTAGAAGACATGACTCTCAAATGAAGTATTAGCCATCATAGTATAACATGAAAACTTTTTGAATCAGAGATTGTTCCTTGAAGGTTAGATGGGAACAGTATGAGAAAGATTCATAGCTCTGATTATATTTTTCAGGTGCAATTAATAATGGAAGTGAGAAGTGGGACAAAGACACCGATGACTTACCCACCAACTACACTTTTCAGCAAGCATGATTATACTTGAAAATGGACTATGAGTGTATCACGTTAACCTCAGATTTGAAAATAATTTAAACAATGACGTTCAGCATATGATCTATTTAGTATCACCAAGTATGATAATCATATTGTGATAAATCACCCTTTATGTAAATCAAGTTATGTTATAGGCTATTAGACGTTCTTCATGAATTGAAATGTTTTCCTTGTGACACATTGGAAATTGGAATAAAATTAACTGAAATGCATTCCAAAGAATTTTTGTCATGATATATTGTGTTTGAAAGACAAGTAGTCATGCTAAGTGACTCGAGGAGCCTGGTGATCAGAGTTGTATAAGGTCTACACCCCCTGTATCCCATTCCCGTACATGTGCCGACAGCGAAGTTGGCGTTAAGCCCTTGCGACCACTCACCTTACAAACCCATAATCTGGCACCGGAACAGTTGTCTTGAGAAGAAAATCGTGCCCGCGCCCGTATTAACCTTGGTTATTAGGAAAAACTGATATGCCTTAGAGCTTTGTAGAATTGAAATATTGTGCTTGAAAGTAGTCATGATGATGAATGATACGTGTCAGAGGGGTCATGCATCAAGCTATCGCAGTCACTGCGACGTTGCAGACACTGATTGTCAGTGACTCGAGGAGCCTGGCATCGTGGTAAGCCACGCCCTCTCCATCTCTTTCCTTCTGGGGAGACATCTGCGATGCAACAGAGAGAAATGCTATGAGTATCAGAATGGGAGCCTGGAGTCAAAATATAGTTTGGCTTTGGAATATGTTTGAGCTTATAATGTAATCAGATTGACTACTGGTTCGACTAGAAAACCCTAGAAGGTCCTCATATCCATGATAATAAATGAATCAACGTTGGAATCTGGAAAATATAGTTTTAATCATTCAAATATTACTTTTCATGACTTGAAAAACTATTTGAGAGTTTTTTTTAAAAAAGGTTGTTAATCGCCCGCCATCTAAAAACAAATGCTTTTTTCTGCATGACAACTAAAATTTCATTTGAAATAAATTCAAATTCCTTCAAAATCAACTTTTTATGTCACCACCAAAAGTGGTAACAAACTTAAAAAAACTTAACAAATACTGTTTAGACTGACTTCAGCTTTTTTAAAATCATCTACACGTTCTCAGAAGTTCAAATCTGATTTTAGATTTGAAATTTAATGACCTTCTCAGGGTCAAAAGAAGGTATAAAAGGTCGTTTTTCAACTTGCTTCAAATTAACCCTTTTTGAAAATCATCTACATGACTGAGTTTAGATTTGAGAGTTGACGTTTAATAACCTTATGGTAAAAATGTCAAAAAGGTATTTTTCAACTTGCTTCAAATCGACCAATTTTTCAAAATCATCTACAACATCTCAGGAGTTCCAATCTGACTTAAGATTGAATTGATAATATTGTGAGCAACTTGCAGGTGGTGACAATCAAATTGAACAATGCCACATACACTCAGCTAGCTGCATACACTCCCCTTCAAAAGTTTGGTAGCCCTAACGTCTCATATTTTCATAATTTGTGAATAAAAAACATTTATGGGGCTGGAAATATAAATTGACATAATTTCCAACAAGTCGTTGATTAATGACTGCAACACGTCATATGAAAAGATAGTCTTAAAAGGTAGTCTTACATGTCATAAATATAATGGAAGTAGCACGGTTGATATAGCGCTGGCGCAATCGGAAATCATGCATAACATATGTACATTTAAAGTGCATGATTTTCAAGGAAACCTTTCTGATCATTGTGCCATTTCTTTGTTATATAATTCTGAATTTAGCAGAATTTGCAAACATAAAACGAGGAAAAGTAAAGTCTATACTCAAACTCCATTACCTCCGAGATATATCTGGTCTTCAGAAAAAAGCAAAGATTTTCACGACCAATTGAAAATCGAGATTACAAATAAACGCAGCCTGTACGATATGGATCATAATAGTAATGTAGATGATATGTTAAATAACTTAACTAAGTGTATGCACAATGCTGCGTCCAATACGCTTGAAAAGAGGTTCGTCAGACATAAGAAAGGAAATAAACAAAAACGATGTAAAAAGTGGTATAATTTATCGTGCAAGCAACTGCATTCTGAAGTTCGAAAATTAGGCAAATGTTTACAAAATGATCCCACAAATCCTTATAAAAGAGGTATGTTCTTTAAAGTGAAAAAGGTTTATAAAAAACGATGTAAACAAGCTAAATATCAATATAAAGCGGAATTAATTGAAAAGCTTGAAAACGCTAGTTCTACAAATCCAACTGAATATTGGAATTTAATAGACAAACTAAAAGAGCCTGGTTCGAGAGTCACTCAAGACCGCGTTGAAATTAACGAATGGTTAGAATACTATTATAAATTACTTAACACGACCGACATATCAAATGTTGAGATTTCTTCTCGGATCGAGGAGATGCGAAAAGAACCATTCTTTTCAGAGTTAGATTTTGAGATTAAACAATCAGAAATCGAGACAGCAATTAAAGGCTTAAAAAATAATAAAGCATCTGGTTTGGATATGATTTCGAATGAAATGGTCAAAAGTTCCAAATCATTAATACTGCCATATTTGAAAATAATATTTAATACAATATTAAATTCAGGAAAATATCCGGCAAGTTGGGGAGAGGGATATATCACTTCAATTTTTAAAAGCGGAGATCCTAGAAAATTATCAAATTATAGAGGTATAACAATTAACATTGTGTTTGGAAAAATATTTAGTTCAGTATTGGATGCACGATTGCAGGTTTTCATAAATCATAATAATATTATGAATAAAGCTCAAATAGGATTTCAGAAGAAAGCACGAACAGTGGATCATATCTTTATTATCAGAACGCTTCATGATAAATATGTTAAACATTTAAAATCTCCTATTTATGGAATATTCATTGACTTTAGAAAGGCTTTTGACAGCGTTTGGAGGGAAGGTCTTATGTATAAACTTTTGTCAGTTGGTATAAAAGGAAAGCTTTTTGAAATCGTTAGAAAAATGTATCAAGATACCAAAATATGTATAAAAAACAGTATTTCAAATAAGAGGACTGAATTTAGAAAAGTGAATGCTGGTGTTAAACAAGGGGATCCAATGTCTCCCACACTATTCAATTTGTTTTTAAATGATCTGCCAGCGGTTATAGGTTACAATGACGCACCAATTTTACAAAGTTCAAAAGTAAACTGTTTGATGTATGCTGATGATGTTCTACTTTTGTCTTTGAGCAGAAATGGACTTCAAAAGTCTATAGATAATCTTTCAAAATATTGTAAAGACTGGCATTTGTCAATTAATTTATCGAAAACAAAAATAATGAAATTTATTGGAAATGGTAGAAAATGTACAGAAAATTTTTATTTTGATGGGGATGAGATCGAGACGGTAAAATCATATAAATACTTGGGTTTGACCATAAGTAGTTCAGGTACATTTAGTAAATCCAAGGACTATCTGTATGACCGAGGATTAAAGGCAATTTATAAAATAAAAAGGTCACTAGGCGATACAAGTTTAAAACCTTCAATAGGAATAAAGATTTTTGAACAATTGGTAGTTCCAATAATCTTATATGGATCTGAAATATGGGGCATGTCGAATTACTTTTCTACAAAAGATTTGAATGAATGGTTTACAAATGGCAGACGATTTCCATCTGAGAAACTTCTGTTATCTTTTTGTAAATATATTCTTAAAGTAAATAAAAAATCAACAAATTTAGCAATTTATGGAGAGCTTGGGAAATACCCACTATATATAAATATATTCAAACAAGCTACTAATTTCTATAATCACATGTTAAATACGTCATACATCTTATTATCAGAAGCACTTACTACATCAAATGACTTATCAAAGATCAACAAGTCATCGTGGATGCTGAATTTTAAAAGTGTAATGGATAAATTAGAGGTAGTATCATTTTCAGGAAATACTCCCAGCAATATCAATAATACTTTAGATGTAAAAGAATATACTATTGACGCATCCGAAGTTGTTTGTAAATCAAAAATTAGTTTTGAAGATTATTGGCGAAATCAATTGAATTCCGACCAATGTCGCAAACTGAATACATACAAAATATTTAAAAGCAATTTCAGGTTCGAACCATATTTAGATTCAATTTCAAATGGGCATTTACGACGAAGTCTAACAAAGTTTCGTATCAGTAACCACAAATTAAAAATAGAAACGGGTAGATACGAACGCCCAAAATTAAAGATCGATGAAAGAATTTGCGAGGTTTGCAATTTAATAGAAAACGAAAAACACATAATGCGTTCATGTAAAAAATACAGTATATAGAAAGAAAATGCTCGATAAACTTGTATCACACGGCAACCCAATTAAACACCTTTTCAACATGGAGGACGATTCACTTTTTTTCCAATATTGTATGTCTTGTGAAAATAAAGAAATTGAAATTGTAGCAGAATTTATTCATAAATGTAATATAACATAGAAGGGTGTGATATATGACATAAACAATGGACGCGTATCACAATCACCATTCATGTGCTTATCCATGATGCATATTTATTTGTTCATTTATTTACTTATTTATTTATTATGAAGTGTTAATTTTGTTTGTTGTTATATATACTGTTTTCTGTTGTATTGATATATTGTAAAATTAGTGTTTACTTTGTGTACACTTAACCTTTTATGGGTATGAATGTGTAATAAAGTTCATAAATCTAAATCTATGAAAAGATATTCATTCATCCGATTGAATGTTGAACTTTGTTTAACAAATATTGATATATTCTTCAGGTTTAACAAAGTTATAAGTCTCCAAAGTCAAAATTATTTTTCATGAAACCTCTCCCATTGAAATAACACAGGAGGCGAAAAATGATTTTTTTAAAATTGCCAATATAAAAAGAGGCTTTAACACATAGTCCACAGTTGCCAAACTTTTGGAGGGGAGTTTACCTCATTTTGATAACATTGCGTAAGATTATTTTTATAAAAGCCAAAGTGGCTTAACTTTACATGGGTCCATTAAAGGGGCAACTAGGACTGTAGAGAGAAAATTAGAAATTTTTTCTTTTTTCTGAGCTATCAGGTCAATATTTGGCTAACATCTTCTTTGATATACCTATTTTCTTAAAATGTATGGATAAAATATCAATTTCAGCATTAAGAAGTGTAAATTCAGTTCAAAGCTTCTCTAAAGGGAGTCCCACTTCCCAGATTTTTAAGATTAACCAAGTTTCAAGAGGAATATCAGCTGAAATAATGTTCATCCAGGGGTTTCTTTGTAGGTAATAAAAATATATGTTAGTCTACACAGGCGAGGGGCGTATCCCTGGTTTCAAATGAGGGAGGGTGGAGGGGCGCGTGTCCGGGGACATGCTTCTTCCTTAGACGAAGAAAACAACATCATTCCATCTCGTTGAAAAAATACATATAGTTTATTTCTTGCCATCCAGAAATATCACGGGTATTGTTTTTAGAAATGTTGTAGACCTCCGTTATCTTAGAGTACAATTATAACTTTAATGTCCAATGGCAAGTTTTTATGTGGTTCGCCACAAAACACTCGTGTAAACATAGAAGGTCAATAAAACCCAAATTTCCAGTAGTTTCCAAGTCACTCCGATCCCTTGCATGTCACGGTGACATGCATTGTGGTAAGCCATCTTTAATCATGTAGCCTATCCCGAAGCCTGACGATAACTTTCGGATGGAATATAAACAGTATATTCTGTATTTTACACTCGAAGATAGAGCCAGAAACCCCTCCTTGGAGTAGCTCTGTTTTCTTTTATGTGCAAAGGTACACAGACATACAGGTACACACCACAGCCTTAATAACGAGTCGTGAACCACTCAGTCAAACACCCAGAATTACATAACGCACAAACAAACTTGTCTGAACCGGGAATCGAACCCGGGGCCAAGCGACATTGGTAACCTTGACTCTCTCTGCCACTGAGCCATACCGGGTGGACTCTTTATCCCTATCATATATTGTTTTTTATGACTTTATATCATTCACAGCAAAATTGAAAGTAAAATTCAATTTCTAAACTTGCCATGTTGTTTGCTAGCTTATGGCATTTTCAAAAAGTATACATTTGTACCACATTCTAACATACAAACATTATAATCTGCTGCCGATAAAAGCACTAAAAGAAAACTTCCCAAACTTGTGTTAGTTCAAATTTCGCGGGTTTGAACTTTGGATCCTTAATACGCATGCGTAATTGACAATCTTGTGTTTAATTTCCACTGTTTATTTCTAAATTAATTTATTGAAATAGAGCTACAGTTTTGTTTAAACGAGCTATTTTTAACTTATGTAAAATAAAAATGTCATGTACTTGACATCAGAATACCATTGTGTCATTGTTTACATTTTGTGGAAACTAGATACGAAATGCTCAGAGTCGGCAAGATGGAACCCAAAAGTCAGAAAAAATTTCTGCACACTCGATGGGACGATTATGACGCCGATTGTGAACAAATCCCACTTCATGCGGTGGATGAAGTTGATGCATCATTTCACTCATTCAACAGTCCAACTTTGACACGTAAATCAGTTGATGAAACAGATGCTACGCCCGAAGATCTAGACTATACATATTTGGACGGAGCAGTTGCTGTTTTTTCAATTCTTTCATTCTTGTTCGATGTTGGATCTGATATATTTTGTGCCATAATTTATTATCGAGCGGGATTCTGGGGCTATTTTGGTATGACAGTAGGATTTATTACAGTTCCATCATTGACAATGAGTATAATGAGTCTACGTTGGTATCTTATGGATTATCGACATCACAAAAAGAAAAGGCCAAAAGTTAAGATAATACCAAGGTGGAAATGGGTTTTACGTGCAATATTGTTAATGCTACAACTGGGACAAATATTGAGGTTAGTAAGCACAGGTATATCATAAATCTTTAAAAGACCCCATTCCAAGACCCGATGGAAAGGGTTTGGGCGACATGCTATCTATTGCAAGACTTACGCCTGCCACAACCGTCGCCATGTTAAGGTTCAGCTGGAAAGTAACATTTTGGTAAAATTGCTATACCTGCACATGTTATTTTCTGGTACAAAATTAAGTATGAAGTCATGTGTGTATTTCCTTGCTTTTTTCAGGAAAGTATCGTTACACTGTTTACTTTTAGAATATCTGGAAACAGTTCAATGGAAGCTTCTGTGTTGTCTGGAAACTTTGAAAGAAAATTTGGAAAAATAGAAAGTGTGAAATATCAGAATTTCCTGGAGTTCCCATTGAACCCCTACCAGATATTCTAAAAGAAGACAATGTAATGATACTTTCCTGAAAAAAGCAAGGAAATTGACACATGCCTTCATACTTTATTTCGTACCAGAAAATAACATGTGCAGGTATAGCAATTTTTTACCAAAATGTTACTTTCCAGATGTACCTTAATCAGTGTTTTTAAGTAGCGCAAGGATCCTGCCATGACCATGGTAGTGTTATCGTATCGTGTAAGCCTGGCAACCGTGACAACGCTCTATTATATTGCAAGGCCTGTCATGACCCTGGAAGTGTTATTGTGGAAGCCTGGTGCGACCGTAGCCTTTATTGTGGTTTATAAGCGAATGTGAATATTAATGTACAGTAGTTATTTTGATTTTGACATGATTAAGGTAGTTAAACACCATGATCATAGTATTAAACTGTTTAATTGTAATGACGATCACTTAAAATTGTTAAGGATATTCCTGGCATTAATGTCATACATATTTTGGCTAACATATTTACTAATCATTGCAATACATTATAACAGTCATAGTAGGATTAAGCCTAAATTTCTACATTACCACCCTCATACCTGGCCTTGCAATACTATATTACATAATCATTGTCACGGTCATTCCAGGCTTTGCGATCCCATAATACATTGTCACGGTCATGCCAGGTTTTGAAATACACATTGTCACGGTCACTTGTTGCAATCATAAATTTCTACATTACCACTCTCATACCCGAACTTGGAATACTATAATATCACATTGCCACGGCGGTCATACCAAGCCTTGCAATACTATATTACATTGTCACGGCCATGCCAGGCCTTGCAGAACTATATTACATTGCCATGGTCATGCCAGGCGTTGCAATACACATTGTCACGGTTATAGCAGTCCTAATCGTAAATTTCTACATTACCACTCTCATACCTGAACTTGCAATATTATATTACATTGTCGTGGTCATGCCAGGCCTTGCAGAACTATATAACATTATCACGGTCATGCCAGGCCTTGCAGTACTACAGTATATTACATTGTCACGGTCATGCCAGGCCTTGCAGTACTATATTACATTGTCATGGTCATGCCAAGCCTTGCAGAACTATATTACATTGTCACGGTCATGGCAGGCATTGCAATATAATACAGCGTTGTTGCGGTTATACCAGGCTTTCACGATAACATTACCACGGTCATGGCAGGATCCTTGCGCTACTTAAAAACACTGAATAACATGGTGACGGTTATGCCAGGCGTTAGTCTTGCAACAGATAGGGTCTCGTTTGGGCTTGTAAAGTTTTTGTGGATTTTGAGTTTAAGAGACTCTAAGAGATTCTAGGAGAATCGACAGTGTATATAGTGTAAATAAACCAGTCGTAAAAAACACAAAAAAAACATATCAACTTTAGAAAATCTGAAATATAAACATTAAAATGCCAGCCACAATAAGCCACATTAAAGTAACAAGTGAAAAAGTAACGCTGTGCCAGTAATAAGTGTCAAAAAAGTACATAAAGACTAATCAAGCAGCATAAAAGTGCTTACTGGATAGAAAGAAAGAGTGGACAAGAACACAGGCAGGTATCGAACGAGTTGTCTGCTGTGCAGTGATGGAGCATGCTATTTTTCATAAAAACACTAAGAAAACTTCACAATTTATGCAATGCAATTGGTATAACATTTGTGCGCAACCCCCGGGGTGCAACCTTCACTTCTGTATGAAATCCAATAACGCTAGGTTTACTTCCTGCGAAAGCTATTTGGATTTTGATATAATAGCTTTCCCACGGCGCACTGGACAGCTGAATAATAGTGACCTTTAAAACATGAATAATGAGATCAGCGGCTTACTTTTGGTCACTAACTGTGTCTTACATCAGCGTCATCCATCCGTGCAAGTATTGGAGCGCTGAAATACTTCTTTTTCGATCAAGACTTGTAAATTGTTCATCGAGTGAATGTTTTTTCAACCCATTTCCAATATGGCGGTTTGCTAGGACTGAGATACGCAACGAACGAAATGAATTTTGAGAATGAGTTAGGTTCAGACAACCTCCGGAGATTTACGAAAATGTCCGAGCAGAAAACGCCATATTGGAATGGCAGAAAAAACATTCACTCGACTAACAATTACAAGTCTTGATCGAAAAGGAAGTACTTCAGTGCTCCAATACTTGCACAGAAGGATGATAATGATGTATGACATAGTTAGACAACAAAAGTAAGCCACCGATCATCTTCATTCGTGTTTCAAAGGTCATTATTATTCAGCTGTCCATTTCTCCGTTGGAGAGCCAAGTTTCAAAATCTAACATGGCTCTCGAAGTGCTAGGTGTAAAAGCTATTGAAAACGACGCCAGGGCACCATACTCTAAAATGTTCCATTTCTTTTTTAACTTTTTAATGGCATGATAAAGTAACACAATGATATTTACATATGTTTTCAGTATAAATCTGAAGGTATTAATAAGATCTGGATGTACATTTCTTTTTAATTTTTTTCATAAAAATTAGTGTTTAATTTTTTTGTCCGCTGTGTAGCAGTTTCAAATTTGAACTACGTTAAGAAATTCAGAATTAAAGTTTCATTATCTTTTACTGCACTTTAGATGAGAGAACGTGTCAAACCTCTTTCCCAATTATGATAAGTATTCCTCTAAAGTGTTGTTGTAAAATATAGTTCATAAATCAATGTATTTCACATTTGAAACTGCCCTGTCACAGCGGACAAAAAATTTAAACATTATTTTTTGAAAAAAATTAAAAAGACAAAATACATCGGATGATCCAGATCTCATTAGTACCATCAGACTCAGAGTTATGCTGAAAACATGTGAAAATCATTTGTTCATAAGTTGAATATAGATAAAGATACTGCTGAACTGATAACATATATGGAGCAACCTTTAAAGTCCCCGTCTAAAGTTTGAAAATATTTTTTTATCATTCATTTACTATTTGTCAGGACTTAAAAAGAGATTTTAGAGATTTTTGAACAAAAATTTTTTTTGAAAAAAAAGTTGTGAGCATTTCAATTCTCAAATATTCAAATTTCCCGCCATTTTTCAAAAAAAGTTGAAATTTCTTAATCATCAAATATTTCTTAATGCATTTCAAAAAAGATTATATTTTTAACACCAATGCAAAGATTGAACAAAAGACACACTATTTCAATAATAAAATGTCATATTTAATGGGCCACTTCAATGTTTTAGCTTATCAAAAATATTTTGAAACATCAGTGATGTCACTCAGGTAACAAAAACTTTTTGAAAAAAATTGAATTTTTTTTTTCGATGTCAATCTTTTGTAAATATGCTAGACTTTCATAAAAAAACAATATTGATTGTCTAACCAGGTTAAAAGGAAGAATAAATTATGTTTTAAATATCATTGTACCATTGGTTTCTATGAGAACTAAAATTTTGAAATGCATTTTTCTCAGAACCATTTTCATGCACTGATAAGTTCATTTCTCGCTTGTTTATCAACCGATTTTCTTATTTTTTTCGGCAAAAAACATGGGAGGATGTATGCTATGCACTGGTATGAATTGTGGCTAATTAGAATATATGAGTGACCTCTAAAAGTTGGTTTTAAATAAATTCACAAATTTTGGAACAAAAAGTCTATCAAAAACCACTTTTTGAAATTAAAAAAAAAAGTTTCACATATCACACTTTGATAACATTGGGTAAGACTACAATATAAGCCAAAGTGGTTTAAACTTTACATGGGGCTTTTAATAACTGATTTATCCTTGAAAATTTCTTTGACTTTTGATTAATAAAATAATGAATCTCATTTCCAGATATATAGACTCTCTCATATTTGGCATCAAGAGTCGACATGTAAGTATCAATGAGGAAAGACGCAAGAAAAAGTATTTGTATAAGCAAATGCTATATGAAGATGCTGATGGGACCCTTCTTAGGCTGTTTGAATGTTTCATGGAGGCAGCTCCACAGCTGGTTTTACAGCTGTATATTCTAACTACTGAAGATGCAGATGTTACGGATACTTTCATAAGTAAGTGTCTTGTTATTTACAACACTTGCTTGAACTCTTTATAATAATTAAGCTCAAATTTTTTTTATGATCCTAATATTGAAGACCCGTTGATTTTGCTACTTTTAAAGAGAGATAACAAGGGTCTGACACTCAGGGTTCACCTGTTTTTGGTTTTGGGCACAGATAAGTTAGGCAAAATACTGAAAAAACATTCAAGAATACAAAGCTTGAGGTCAATATGTAAAAACATCGGTTCGTTTAACTATGTAAGAATGGTGTTGCTAGAAAATTGCTCTCTGGATCTTATGTTCGGTAGCGATATAGTGAAGCCCTCCATCCATCTGTCAGTCTGTCCATCCGGAAGATAACTCGAATACTAGCAGATGGATTTTCTTCATATTTGGTGGAAAGATGTATACTGGTGAATAGTTGTATGCAACAAAAAAATTTCCAAGATGGCCGCCGCTTTAAAAATGTAATAAATGTTATTGTTTGAAAGGATCCGTTACCTAATGTACCTGAAAGTGCCCCCAAAGGTTTCATTGAAAATAATATGGAAATAGTTACTTTTATCAATTATGAACACATCAAAAATGAAATTAGGTCATTTGGATTAAAACTAAGGTCATTCAGTGCATTTAAGTTTGACAACCCAAATCATTCTAAATATCATTTAGGGGTATGTTAGTCTTCAATCATGATCATTTTAAGTATGTTGACCATTCCTCAATCGATATATCAGAACATCGTTCAGGTAGAACACAAAGGGCAACATATTGAAAACACATATTATAAAAAAAACTAAAAACTTAATATATCTTTTGAAAAAATGAACCTTAATAAAAGTGTTCTCAACAAGAGTACCATGATCACCTCAGTTGATATACAGTAGGTATTCAAACAAGAGGGTATATTAAAATATCATTAAGGTGGGACACAAATGGCAACATACTGAAAACACAAATTCTAAAATAAACCCTAAAAAGAATATATCATATGGTAAAATGAACCTTATTAAATGTGTTCTGAACAAGTACCATGATCACCCTTATTGTAAATACTGTAGCTTTAACCTAGGTATTCAACCTAGATACTATTATATATGTCAAAACATCATTAAAGATAGAATACAAAGATAGGTAGAACACAAAGAGCAACAGTTGAAAATACAAAACCTAAATTCAAGCTAAATCTAGTTGAGACTTTCCATTGCATTATGTTTTCATTTGGCATTGTGAAAGATATTAAAACAATGACAGATGACATAATGGTCTTAGTTTATTTCATATGAACACTTTAACAAGCAATATCCATTCAAACAAATGACTAATACGAAACATTTTTTTGATTATCAGGCTCATTGCTTACATATCACATGTTCTAATAGTATACCCCATGAACAGATTTTTGAAAAACATATTTTAAGTTACCGGTGATTTAATTGCTTTATTGCAAATGACACATGTTTCCTTTGATCTTGTTATCATTGATAATTGAATACATGTCTGTTTAGAGGTTTGAACATGGTGTTCAGAATTATCTATGGGAACCCGGGTTGGATGTCTCTGTGGCGTAATACGTTGACACAATCGTTATAGTAAATGACAGAGTTTGTTGCAAGGTTCAGTTCAGAATGTCTTTCCAAATAAGATTTTCTATTTTCGTAGAAGGTTTTGTGTTGCATCTTCCTCAAGCAATACATTCAAGGCAGAATGGATTCTTGACTATAATGGCAATTTCAATATGGCCTCCATTTTAAAACTAAAATTTTTGTTATACTTTCATATTGTGTATCTTCCACACTTAGGACCCTCTCTTATTTCATGTTTGAATTATAAAATAGTGTCAATACTAAACAATAAAGGTAAATTTAGAGGGGGTCTGGTTTGTGGAAGTGCCTCAATCTGTCAATGAATGGAGAAGGTCATTCACTGTTTACAACAAAAACACAATAGGGTGTCTTTCAATTCAATAGGATTACTAACTATTTATGCATGAATGGCACTTGAAATGAAGCTTTGTAGATCAGGACACATTGTAGTTCTTATATTGACAGGTGAAATTAAGTCTATCTACAAAACCCAAGATTTTAATCAAGGTTTTGTGAAAATATGTCAAAATTACTCATTTGAAGAGTCAACATGACATGTGTTTAGAACCACTGTTAAAAACACCTTTTTACCATATATTCCACACTATTTTTATGATTTGTTGAAAATATACTTAATAAAGATTCAAATTGCATAAAAATAATTCTGGAATTCCATTTTACCCTTTTCAATAATTTTCTAAGTTCTTATAGGTACACTAATAGGTACAGATCCTTTAGGTAGTATATTCACACCATCTATCTATTTCATATATACTCCGAATTTTTCACCATGACCCCAAGGGCCATGTATGGTGGGGAGGGTCGGGAAAATGGGAATTTGCCTTAATTTTGAGATATTTCTAAAGTATAGCTTTATTATACTCAAATGAAAGGCAATTTAGAGTAGATTGCAAATATCGCATTGGTTTTGTAATTTGAGTCTCGTAAAAATGGTCACCTTATGTGAGATTTCGCAATAATTTTCTGATCCCTTTAATGTATGGCTATATTATACTCAAATTGAAGGAAGTTTAGGGTAGATCATTACTATGGTATTGTCTTTCTGATTTGTGCCTCAGAATTCTAAATGGCTGCCAACAGGAATTTGCGTTAATTTTGAGATCTTTCTGAAGTATAGTTTTATTATACTCAAATGAAAGGCAATTTAGAGTAGATTGCAAATATTGTATCTTTATTGTATTGTATCTTTGTGCCTTTAAATGATCAACCAAATGCTTTTAAAATTGGTAGAAATTCTGATATCTCTAATTTTTCTAATGTTTATATTTTCTGTGACAAATACAGATTCGTATATGTTATAGTGTTCATTGGGATTTGCTACTCCGTGGAGTTGGTGTTTTCTAGTTGAAAAATGATGTTTGATGATATTTTATTTGTATTTTCTGCAATAAATTGACATCTATCTATCTTATAATGATGGTTGAAGTAAGTTTCAAATGATACAAAATACAAAATGCATTTTACAGGCAAAATTGATCTGGAGATCTCAAAGGCCCAAAACAATTAGCATACATTAAATGTGAATCGATACCTTGAAGACTCCCATGTCACTGTAAAGAGTTATAATTTTGTTACAAAAAAATCGGCAAATATTTATATCCATTTTTTTTATTTTCAGCCATTTTAGTTAACATTGATTTGTCCATATGTCTCACGAAATCCACTTTTGGACCATTTGCCTCAAAACCTCTGCCGATAGGATTCCTGTTTTAAGTTATTTAAGTTATTTGTTCAACATCAATACAGAAAACTCCCTTATGACTCCTGGTTCAAAAGCTCGCCTATTTTCAAAATGGCCGCCATTTTTGTCTTGCGAAATTCACTTGTGGCCCATTTCTTAATTTTATTGAGACTATATATATATTATGACTTCTGGTTCAAAAGCTCGCCTAAATTCAAAATGGTCGCCATTTTTGTCTTGCGAAATTCACTTGTGGCCCATTTCCTACCTTTACAAATAATTTCAGGTGTCCTGCATTGTAAAAAGCCATGTCACTCTAAAGAGTAGTTGTATGAAATAATTTTGTTACAAAAAATCGTCAAAAATTACATCCATTTTTTTCGGCCATTTTAGCCATCATTCACTTTTGAGCAACACCATGTGAGCCCAGTACCCACCATACTATTTATTGTTTTTTTAATATAGGAAGCTCTTGTCATCATATAATGTATACTAAATGAAAGTCAGCCTCAGCAGCCATAATTGCACTATCTTCAAATTGTTACTTCAAATAATACAACCAAATTAGTGCTTAAGTCACATTTTTCATTTGATATTCAAGCAGGATTCTGCCCTAATGTGCCAAAGTGTAAAATGAATTTCAAATATATGATATCTAAGTATGCTATACTGACATTTTGATTTACTGGTCTTTTTAGATCATATTTATATATTACGTATAGACGTATATTATGTATAACTCAAGAGTTATCTGAGGTAAACACAGCTAATGTTGTGAATCATGTTAATTGCTTTGACTAATCAATGACATATTTTAACTGATAAGATTTATGTACAAATAGTAACAAAACATAACTACATATTTTGTGTCTAATATATGTAAAACCTGTATATCCGAACACCTGGCTAATCAGAACACCCCCAGTCTGAACACTTTTTTCGCTCCCATTTTTCCTCCCATTGACCCCCATGTTTAAATAATGGGTCTTTCCAGCATGACTAAATTCATTTGAATCAAATTTTCAAATGACTGGAATGCCATAAAGCTATGTGGTCAAAGTAACTATAAATATTTATTGAGAATTTGTTCACATTTCTTCAAAATCCAGAGTCTCGTGAATGCAAAACCTCGAAATTTGAACACCTGAACACTTTTAGCTAATCCCAATGGTGTTTGATTTAGACAGGTTTTACTGTAATGTCATCCTCCGAACACAGGCCTCCAGAACTCATACCTCCTTCTTCCAAGAAGAAGGAAGGAACTTAGTGGATGATGTCTGGAACCCTGCGTTAGGACTTAGGAGGATGCTGTAATGTGTACTTTTACATAACCTATATTGAAATTGTTGCCTAGATTGAAATAATATTTTTAATATTTTTTATCAGAGAAGGATGTTAAATCACATTGTCCCATTACATGAGAAAATGAAATATTGCCAAATCATTGAATTTAAACATTTTTCAAATGCATTCCCCTTTTTGAATCATAGCTCAGGATTCCGAATATCTAAGGGTGACCCCAAAAGACAACCCTTTTATTTTGGAATAACTCTTAAGTGGAGGTATCTTTTGAATTTTCATCAATAAGACACTTGAAATAGATAGGAAGATTCCTGTAGATAACTAGTGACTTGATGTACTTTTGGAAGACTGTCCTATTAATACATTTTATGTGTTACAGTTGTGATCCAAGTGGCCTCCGTATTATCATCATTGACGTCTCTAGCCTGGTCTCTAACTGCATATCACAAAGCACTACGATTCACACGAGATGACAAAAACAATCTCAGCTATATCGCCATGTTAGTGCAGTTCATATGGCGATTTTTGACAATTGGATCAAGAGTAATAGCCCTTGCATTATTTGCCTCTAAATTCACATTCTGGTTGTTTATTGTAATCGGATTCCATTACTCTCTCATGATCACATGGATATTATGGATGAGAACTAATTTTTGTGGAGGGAAAAGGTGCGAGGAACGAATCTTCAATGGAATTGGTGCAGTTATTTACATTTTCTGTTTCTTTAATTTGTTAGAGGGCCATACCCGGTATAGGTACCTGATATTTTACACGACTGTATATATTGAGAATTCATGCATGATTTTGGCATGGTTTTTTTATCAGCCAGACTTTACGTTATGGTATAGAATACCATCGTTATCTCTTGTGTTAGGAGGTTTTTTTATTGGAATCTTGTTCATGATGATATATTATCTTTTATTACACCCAAATGGAGCGTTTAGTTTGGAATGGTACATCCAACCCTTCCAAAATGAAGAAAATACACTTACTGAGGTACCAGCCCATAATGGAATAGAGACAGCTGGGAGTAAGCATGCTTTGGACAAAAACAGAGGCCCAGGTTACTGTCAGGAAAGGATTGATCCTGTAGACTATTCAGATTGTAATTCAGTGCCGGATACTGTTGTTTATGGAACGGGCTCCATTGCTGGAACTTCAGCATATGAAATGGGGATTGGTAATCCTGCGATGGGAAGTCATGGATTCGATTCAAATTCCAAAGCAAAGAACTTTGGAACTAAGGGACAGATAGGAAACTGTAACAAAATTACTTCAGTGTAGAGCAGGAAATGTAACAGCATTATTGTTTTTAATTTTACTTACTGCAGTGTGTTATTCTAGTAAATCAACTATTTCCATGATGTTGCATATAAGAAAGTAAACAGAGCCTGTGGTAACAATAATGAATTGTCATTATACATAAGATAGTAATTTAAAAAGTATGGGTGTATTGTATGAAGATTTCATTATTTATATTCTGCTTTTTAATACAGAGAGGTTTAATTTTACAACAATCGGATTACAGATACATTAAGTTTTCACTTTGTGTAAAGAGCACAGTATCAAATATTTTAGTCTGAAAGCATTGTACCCATATGGATAAATTAAAGTACCTATATGGACTTGTAGGTAATGTACTCATATGGACAAGTTAAGGTAGCTATATGGACGTGTAGAAATGTACTCATATGGACAAGTTAAGGTACCTATATGGACTTGTATGTAATGTGCCCATATGGATAAGTTAAGGTAAATAGATGGACTTGTATGTAATATACCCATTTGGATAAGTTAAGGTACATATATGGACTTGTATGTAATGTACTCATATGGACTTGTAGGTAATGTACCCATATCTATGGATAAGTTAAGTTACCTATATGGATTTGTAGGTGATATACCCATATGGAGAAGTTAAGGTACCTATATAGACTTGTATGTAATGTACCCATATGGAGAAGTTGAGGTACCTATATGGACTAGAACTTGTAGGTTATGTACCCATATGGATAAATTAAGGTACCTATAAGGACTTGTAGGTAATGTACCCATATGGATAAGTTATTAGGTACCTATATGGACTTGTAGGTAATGTACCCATATGGATAAGTTAAGGTACCTATATGGACTTGTAGGTAATGTACCCATATGGACAAGTTAAGGTACCTATATGGACTTGTATGTAATGTACCCATATGGAGAAGTTGAGGTACCTATATGGACTAGAACTTGTAGGTAATGTACCCATATGGATAAGTTAAGGTGCATATTGGACTTGTAGGTCATGTACCCATATGGATAAGTTAAGGTACATATTGGACTTGTAGGTAATGTACCCATATGGATAAGTTATTAAGCTACCTATATGGACTTGTAGGTAATGTACCCATATGAAGAAGTTAAGGTACCTATATGGACTTGTAGGTAATGTACCATATGGACAAGTTAAGGTACCTATATGGACTTGTATGTAATGTACCTATATGGACAAGTTGAGGTACCTATATGGACTAGAACTTGTAGGTAATGTACCCATATGGATAAGTTAAGGTACATATTGGACTTGTAGGTCATGTACCCATATGGATAAGTTAAGGTACATATTGGACTTGTAGGTAATGTACCCATATGGATAAGTTATTATGGTACCTATATGGACTTGCAGGTAATGTACCCATATGGATAAGTTATTAAGGTACCTATATGGACTTGTAGGTAATGTACCCATATGGATAAGTTATTATGGTACCTATATGGACTTGCAGGTAAAGTACCCATATGGATAAGTTATTAAGGTACCTATATGGACTTGTAGGTAATGTACCATATGGACAAGTTAAGGTACCTATATGGACTTGTATGTAATGTACCCATATGGAGAAGTTGAGGTACCTATATGGACTAGAACTTGTAGGTAATGTACCCATATGGATAAGTTAAGGTACCTATATGACTTGTAGGTAATGTACCCATATGGATAAGTTAAGGTACCTATATGGACTTGCAGGTAATGTACCCATATGGATAAGTTATTAAGGTACCTATATGGACTTGTAGGTTATGTACCCATATGGATAAGTTAAGGTACCTATATGGACTTGCAGGTAATGTACCCATATGGATAAGTTATTAAGGTACCTATATGGACTTGTAGGTTATGTACCCATATGGATAAGTTGAGGTACATATTGGACTTGTAGGTAATGTACCCATATGGATAAGTTATTAAGGTACCTATATGGACTTGTAGGTAATGTACCCATATGGAGAAGTTAAGGTACCTATATGGACTCATAGGTAATACAACTTACATAGAGTACGGACTATTGAAGGTAGCATATTTTATAACTGAGAGATGTGTATATAGAATTTTGAAGGTTGTGTACCCATATGGACTATGGAAGACTATGTATAACATGTTCACATATGGGCAATTTTGTCAAATCAGGTGATAACCAACAGTATTATTAAACTTTGTATATATTTGCTGATCCAGCTGGGTAACTAGTTGCAGTATGCTTCATAAATGAGTATGAAATTGTTGGGACTTTTTTATCCCATCGAACGAAGTTCGGAGGTATATAGGGAACGCCTCCGTCTGTCCGTACGTACGTCCGTCCGTCTGTTCGTCCGTCCATCCGGGCAATAACTCAAATACCGTTGGTCCGATTTTGTTCATATTTTGTACACATATACCTTATGGGGGTAGAAGTTCTGCTCGAAAGCCGATTTTCAAAATGGCCGCTCATTTCAAAATTGCGGCCATTTTAGTGCTGATTTTACAGTAATTTAGGTGCAATATGTAAAACTGTTATAGCAATATGTTTTAAATGTAAAAAAATTATAAAGGACATTAATAATGCTACAAATGTAGATATTAAAGAAGCACATGGCAGCCATCTTGAAAAATGGTGGCCTTTACTCGTCATTTTACGATTTTTGCTATAACTCAAAAAATAGTGGAGCGATTTTGTTCATATTTTGGTATGCGAATACTATAAGCATTGTACACTGTCTTAAGACACTTTTGGTAGAAGGCGGCCATTTTGAAAAATTTTAACGTATTTTACTATAACTCAAAAAGTAGTGGAGCGATTTTGTTCATATTTGATATGTGAATACTTTAAGAATGGCACATTTTCTAATAAAACTTTGGGGAGTAGTCGGCCATTTTGAAAAATGGCCACCATTTTTATGTGTGTTATTTTACAAGTACGTGTGCGATTTTTCAAAAGTTTTAGAGGTGGCTACTGAAAAGCATATTATTTCTTCTGATGACAACTTGGCTAGTGAGCAACCATTTTGAAAATGGTGGCCTTTCTTATGTGTGTTGTTTTATGATATTTGCTATTCGTTTGTAAAAATGCCAGCCATTTCTGTTCGATGGGATTCGCTACGCTTTGGCGTTGCAGTTGTTCTGGTTATTTACTGTAATTTCCCCAAAATGTATTTCTATTTTTGATTTTATTACTTTTTTTCTTCATTATTTTTATGTTACCACCAAGATGTGATGAAATATTGTTAGTGTAACCTCTATCCATTATTTGTGACCAGTGCTAGTTAGAGGCTGATATCCAGTGTTAAGTGTTGATATAAAAATTGTTACACTTTAGTTATCATTTGCAATAACTTAAGTGATGACAGCTTGTCTGGGTAATGTCTTGTTTGTCAAACTTTAATTTCCAGGTGAATAATTTAGTAGAAACACAAACAAACCAGGGGATTCACTAGAATTTCTCACAACAGGCTAAATAAATGAAAACAACAGGCAAAATGAATGGAAATCATAAATTTAACATGGAAAAGTTGAAAAGTCCCTAAAAACAACAGGCGATTTTGTGAAAAACAAACAGTGAAAATCGCCTGTTGCCTGCTGCTAATGAAACCCCTGCAAACATATTCTTGGCATAAAAGATCTGATTGGTATTCAAATGTGTACAAAACCGTAGAACATTGGGAAATCATGCTATATTGCTTGTATTTTAGTGATAGATAAATGTTATTCGGCATATATCATAGACATTAGGTATTGTGTCCATGTGTATAGTATGTACAGAAAACTAGTACCAGAATATGATAAACTTGCTAATTTATTTTATTTTCTTCGTCTTTCAACATTTCTTAAAGGAATTAGAAGGGACATGAGTGAAAAATGCTGGAAATGATCTTCTCACTTGCCAATGCTTCCCTTACAATTTTCTTTTGAAATTTACTTTAGACTCCATTTTATCCCCCTAGTTTCTAATTAAAGAAACTATATAATGGATGTTACCATGTTTAGCATTAGACAGGGCCATCATTTAACAAGGGTTCAATTTCCACAATCTGGTTAGAGGAGGTTAGAATCATAATTGAATGCAGCTACTGAATTGTCTTGCATTGAGTCTCTGTGTTCCCCTTATTCTTTCTAAAACATGTTCTAGTCTGCTGGGAGATACCAAAGATATGAGCGGTGGGGGTTGATCAGAGACGTCATACAAGACTTCTCTCAATCAATGTTTGTTAATATTATCACATTATACTAAGATGTAACAGTTAGTATTGTTCCAAGACAAGGAAAGCTAAAAATGTAATGTTTCAAGAGCCTGTTTATCGGAGATCTTTTAAGTTTCTGCATTGTTATCACCTTCATTTCAGGGGATGAGTTATAAAGGTTATCTGCATGCAAAGTTGATAAAAAGTTATGATGTTTGCTTGTACATATGACTGTATACTATTACTAGTCCTGCAGACCTTTTAATACCTGTATAGTGTATGAAGTGTATACATAGTATTAGTGTAAATGTTCATGTACCCTAGTAGTATATAATGGAGTGATCAAATGATTTATAGATGCTTTTTGATCAATTTTTAAGGCACTGACTTTTTAAGCAATTATGAGTGAATTGGTGATGCTTATTGAGAGAAATGAGATGAGATAAATCATTTTTTAAGGAAAAGGCATTCATAAATTATTGACCATGCCTCTTTTAGTCAAGTAAACAATAATGTAGAAATATGAAAATATAAATATTGTATTTTATTTTGTTATATAACCTGACAAATCAATATATTAAATGCATTTGTAATTTTAGTTATTTAATAGTCAGTTTCCTCCAACTGAACAAAGTTGGTCTTACACATGGAAGAAAAGTAATTGTTCCAATCCCAGGGCCTTGTAAAATAAGCACCAAGGAGGAAGGAAATCAGATTTAGAAGACTAAAACTTACAAGACAGTTCCTGGTATTGATTTTGTAAATTTGAGGAGGTGGGTCAACAATAGAACAATGTGTTTGAATGATGTGGTGTTATGATAAGTTCATTTGGGAATCTGAAACTGACTATGACAAAGGGTCGTGATAACAAAACTAGAATAGTAATAATTATATTTTAAGACAGACATTGGTAATTTGACCCAACCCCTATGATCAAAATAACACAGAAACCTCATTATCTATTTAGATATTATATCTTTTAAATATCTTAATTTATATGTCATTATTTTTATGATCCAACAAAAGCATGTGTTCAGAGCTTGGGATCCTTCTTTTGATCATATAATTAAAGGACCTTATACACCCTCCATTGGGATCTCCCCATGAGAAAAAAATAATTCATCTGATTTTTCAAAATAAAAATACTGCTTTTATTATAACATTTATATGTACACTAGTATCTTTTTGACCTATATTCAGCACTGTACAGGGTGTCCCGAAAGTATGGGGCCCCCCCTAGGCAGACATATACCAGTGTCGTCATAGTATGTGTCATATATCATTTTAAAGATTATCCAAAGTTACATTGATTCCCCAAGTATCATGGTTCAACTCTCAAATGAGAAAAAATTACAAGCATTTCAAAATTTAGTGTTTGGTTAAAATTAAGTTCAATTTTACACCAAGTCACTAGTCAATGTGTCCTCCCAGGCCATCTTAACAGCAGCAATTCTTTTCGGGTCGGATGGATATTGAGTTGGAAAAAGAGAACAGTGAGGGTAGAAACTCTAAGGAAACTCTTCTAAAGTCCCTTAACAGGTTTTAAGATGGTTATAAAATTCTACACCCCTATTAGAAGGGCTTTTAAGGTCATATCTGAAAATAATTGCTGCTGTTAACATGGCCAAGGGGGGCACATTGACTAGTAATGTGGTTTAAAATTGAACTTTATTTTGACACAACACTAACTTTTTAAATGACTGTAACTTTTTCTCATTTGGGAGTTAAACCATGATACTTGGCAAATCAATGTAACTTTGAATAAGCTTTAAAATGATATATGACACATACTATGAGGACCCTGGAATATGTCTGCCTAGGGGGGGGCCCCATACTTTCGGGACACCCTGTATTGATGAATGGGTCACTTATTAGGGCCAATATTCAATCATAAAGTGTACAGGGGTCGAGATGCCAAACCAGGAAGTGTTTTTGTGTCTGTCAAAATCCATTTGCATCCTACACATCCCTACATCTTATCCAAATATGTTATTAATTAATGAAACATAACAGTATAATCTTTGGATTTACAAAGTTGTATGGAATTTCATAAGTGTAAAAGTTGCTTTTGAAGCATTTTCCTATAGCCATTTTGTAGGAAAAAAATGATGAAAAAAATGTCTAAGCCTTTAATTTGAAGTATGACCTGAATCGATTGCAAACTTTATATTTGCACATCTGATGTGATATACCATTTGTGTCATATTGTGAAATTATTTAATTTGCAATCGATTCAGGTCATAGTGTATTTTAGGTATTTTTGTGAAAATCAATAGAAACCAAGGGCCTCCATTGGAATCTGATGATATCCACATGTTAAGTTAATGGAGCACATCCAATGGCAAGTCAATACACCCTTGCTGAACTTAATGACCTCAGCCCATGTGGGTCCAAACGCTTAAATATTTTCCACAGTATTATGTGACATTGTATTCTTTATGTTACACCTAAAAATGATTCATTTTGTTCATGGGGAGATCATAATGGCGGGTGCACTAGATCCTTTGTTCATTAATTAATTGTTAGTTAAATATGTAGAAAGGATGCTTGGCAAGTAAACTAATTAGCATAATACTTCAAAGATATCAAAACTGAATAAACCTGGCACCTACAGCTTGAATATATGATATGAGGACATTCATTATTATATAATCAGACTTTCTGCCAAAATCATGTTGTACAAGTATATTCTTCACCTTTGTCCCTTGAGCTAATGTCTTTGAGCCTCAGATAGCAGATTTATTCACTTGATTCCATGGTATTTACACTGTTTGGCCAACCAGGAAAAGTAGGAGTGCTATGGACTTTGGAAGGGCTTGTGATATATAGGAGTATGTGACACCGGTTTCCTTTTCCTCTCTGGCTTTTATTTCCTTTTGTTGGTAGATTTGGCTATTAATGATAGCAAACAAATGCAAAGTTGTCAATAAACTTAAGAATTATATTCAAGTTCATATTATGCCTTGAGTAGCATTACTTAATAGAGGCACGTGTTAAGTGCATTAATTCTAAGATTTTATGGCAGTAGATTCAGTGGATTGAGAAGCACTGTAAGGGTATTATTGTTTAAATAGTCTTGCAACAAGGCCCTGTCTTGCACCTCTTTCTCTCAAACTGATTTCTCAAAAGGGTTGGCTACTTTTGGTTAATTGCTTCTTTGTTATGAAACCCTTGATTTATGTTAAAATCGTATATTATTTGAATGTACATGTACAGTGGAAGTTTGTGTGTACATGACTGGGCACTCCTCTTAACACATATCTAAATTGTAGACATTTCTCTTGTTTATTTTACACCTATCCACAACGAAATCAAATGTGCAATTATTGAACAAATAAGAAAAGAATCTACTTCAATTTTATTATTGATACAATACAAATATTTCATTGAGTGTACCCATGTGCGTACTCTGCGTGTGTACTTTGCGTACATGTACGTGACTGCATTCACAACCATCCTTTATGAGCATTAAATAATAACAATGTCATGAAAATCAATGTATCCATCTTACACTACTCATTTCTATTGCATCACACAAAACACTGGACATTTATTTTTCTGCATTTATTCATTCAAATCAACCCTCAATGATTTCCACTTTATCAAGATCCAAAAAACACTTTGTCTGTGTTATTATATATAGTTTGTGCTAGTTCACTATAGTCCTCTTGTCTTGCCCCAGCCATCACTTCAAGTACTTGCCTGTAATGAAACAATAACATTATCAGATGTGTGAGATAGATAAACATAAACAATGTCACCACCTGTCATTTGTTACAAACGCCAAACACCATCCACAACAAACTAGGAGACTATAACAATATTTCACCACTACTGATGGTGACATAATCTATTATTGTCCTGATATTATAATGGTATTATACAGTACTCTCTGTGCTGTGTTTGAGGATGCCTTTCAGATCCCGTGTCTCAGACATTGTCGCATGTGTTTTGTGCCAACTTCAGTCACTTCTTGAATAAATGCTATATTCAATAATATTATAAAAAATAATACCAGTAAGTTCCTTAACTCTACATGTAAATTCAAATTAATTATCAGACCTAACAACTTGATAACCATTATCAAAGGATTCTACAGTACACTATACTATAGTACACATGTATACAATGTACTTTTGAGTGCAAAGTCTAGTTACAAACTAACTGTAGTAGAAGCTTTCTTTTAAGAATCAAAGTCAAGTTCTTTTTTAAAAAATATTAAACAAATGTGATGGGGCAGTATGGTAATATCCTTTTAGGTAGACTTACACTATCATTGCAGGTTCATTCCTACTCTTGACACACAATCCAGACTCCCATTTTTCTTTTTTCTTTGACTGAAACTTTGTCTTGATGTATTTAGAGCCTGCATGTGTAGGTCGGATCTCACACCATGGTGCGTCTGAAATGCAGAACAGAATTAAAGAAAATGTGTACAAAATGTCCCCACCAATGGGTGATCCCATCAAATGGTTATCCTGAAAATGAGTAGACAAGACTTTACCAACACAATTTTAATTGATCCGTCACACAGTTAACTAGAAAACATGTAAACAAGACTTTACAGACAAGATTTTAGGATGGAAAATCCAAAATGGCTGCCTTGACATTTACCCAGAATGTCAAAAAACTAATCTGTTCCTAGATTGTCATACTAAGAATCATCCCTGAAAATATGACATTGATCTACCAAATGGTTCAACTGAAAACGCGTAGACAAGACTTTACAGACAAGATTTTAGGACAGAAAATCCAAAATGGCTGCCATGACATTTACACAGAATGCCAAAAAACTAATCAGATGTAGATTTTCACACTAAGAATCATCCCTGAAAATTTGAAATTGATCTACCAAACGGTCCACCTAAAAATGTGTAGACAAGACTTTACAGGCAAGATTTCAAGACGGAAAATCCAAAATGGCTGCCTTGACATTTATCCAGAATGCCAAACAAGAAAATGCAGCAAACTCCTCGAGTCGAGGTCTCCAAGTCAAAAAAATGCCTGACCCTCTCATATATCTGTTGATTATCCCTGTTTATAACTGATTCAAGAGCGTGACACTGAACACTATATGCCTATTTGTTATTTGTTTAGTTGTTGGTTGGGTAACATGTTAATGACGTCACAAATGATGCGAAGAATCTTTAAACCAATCAGTGAAGTCTATATTAATTGTTTGTTTAGTTGTTGATGTGGCAATACGTGTCTGACGTCACGGGTGATTGCATCATATTCCAGTCACGCCATTTTACGACATTGCATAATTTTAGCTGATTTTGGCTTCATTTCACTTTATTTAAAAGACTATTAAAAATATATCAATGAGTCAGTATTTTTTCTTATAAATATTAATATTTGAATTTGAGGTCAAAGTCCGAAAATTTGATCAACTGATTGAAATCACATTTTAAAGAGGTGAAGAAGTGAATAATTACAGGAGCAAACGTGATCAATGGTTTGAGGTCTCCCGCAAAGTAGTCGCTACGCTCCTACTTAGCGCTGCCTTCGGCAGAGGAGACCTCGAAAAAACTAATCAGATCTAGATTTTCATACTAAGAATCATCCCTAAAAATTTGAAATTGATCTACAGAACGGTTCACCTGGAAATGCATAGACAAGACTTTACAGACAAGATTTTAGGACAGAAAATCCAAAATGGCTGCCTTGACATTTGCCCAGAATGCCAAAAAACTAATCAGTTCTACATTTTCATACTAAGAATCATCTCTGAAAATTTGAAATTGATCTACAAAACGGTTCACCTGAAAACGCGTAGACAAGACTTTACAGGCAAGATTTTAAGACGGAAAATCCAAAATGGCTGCCTTGACATTTATCCAGAATGCCAAAAAACTAATCAGATCTAGATTTTCATACTAAGAATCATCCCTAAAAATTTGAAATTGATCTACAGAACGATTCACCTGGAAATGCATAGACAAGACTTTACAGACAAGATTTTAGGACAGAAAATCCAAAATGGCTGCCTTGACATTTGCCCAGAATGCCAAAAAACTAATCAGTTCTACATTTTCATACTAAGAATCATCTCTGAAAATTTGAAATTGATCTACCAAACGGTTCACCTGAAAACGCGTAGACAAGACTTTACAGACAAGATTTTAGGACGGAAAATCGAAAATGGCTGCCTTGACATTTACCCAGAATGCCAAAAAACAAATCAGATCTAGATTTTTATACTAAGAATCATCCCTGAAAATTTGAAATTGATCCACCAAACGGTTCACCTGAAAACATGTAGACAAGACTTCACAGACAAGATTTTAGGACGGAAAAATCCAAAATGGCCGACAATAAAAAAGTGATTATGTGTTTTTGCTGATTTCTTCTAACAAAATTATCACATATTACTACTGTTAACAATAACATAGGCTTTTACAACAAAGTAGATCTGAAATTATTTATAAAGCTACTAAATAGTTAAAGTATGAAAACTCAAAAACACCATTCAATATGATACAAAGTATTATCGTGCGCTAACTTTTCTTAAGACATTCAAAATGGCTGACATGACTGAGCTAACAGGTCCAAAACCTAATCAGATCTAGAATGAAGTGAGCTGAACAAGATGTTAAAGTTTTAAAAGCAACTGTGAAGCCGTTTTTCTTAAAGTTTGCAGACAAGGATTTTAGCATTTGACTTCAAAATGGCCGACAGGAAGTAGGTATTGAGTTAAAAATTTTTCATCCACATCTGTATGCACTCATAAGTTATCCCTGAAAATTTGAAGGTGATAACTGTAGCGGTTTTGGAGAAAACTCCCGGACGTACGGACAGACGGACGGACGGACGTACGGACGGACGCGCCTAGGCCGACAATATGGCCCCACACTATGTGGTGGGGACATAAAAAAGTATGCCAAATATACATGTTTGTATAGCTCGTTTAGCTAATACCTCATTTGCTTATTTTGCAATATTTGCATTTTGTAATCGTTAAAATGGCCAAAATGTGAATTGCCATACTGACATTATATTTCAATTTCAAACAAGGTGCTTACTTTAGCATTTCAGGTACAGAAAATAGTATTTGATGTCATTTCAAGACATGACAAGATGTAAAGATGAAAGTGAGATTTTGCAGAAAGGAAGCTCAATACACTGAACATGAACTGCTTGGAGAATGAGAAATTGGACACACTTGGCATGCTCATCATAATGCAGTACTCCAGTAAAACCGTTGTGAATATTCACAAATAAATGAAAACATTGCAATACAGAGTAAACCTAGTGTAATCAATAGCCACTGGTATGTAAAACAACATATCAAAAATCTAAGTAGTGGACAACCTTAAAATCACCATTTATACCCCTTGGGGTAATTTTATGAGGGGGTACTATTATAATCATTAATGATTTCTGTTTTATAACTCCAATCACTATAAAATCTTCGGGGATCATGCACCTATGTATAGTGAGTTGTCACAACAATTTTGACATTAATTGGTCAATTGGTTACCATAGCAACACAATTTAATTGCTCAAAATCTTTTATATTTCAGGTAAATCCGAAGCTTCTTATAATAACAGATGTTGCAATTTCTCTTCAAATCATTTGAAAATGAACATTAATGTACCCTAAAACATATTTGGGGGGTGTTTAACAAGATAACATGATAAATATGATGAATTATATTATATCTTTGACTCTGGACTCTACTCTATTAGCTCTCTATCTACTCAAAAGTGGGTGTGGCACTTTTCATTGATAATTTGCTAAAACAGTTATTTTTACAAATTCAGTCGCAGTTATATTTATAGAGCTCATGGATACTGATGTTATTCTTTAATATGGTGAGTCTGTACATGATTGGTCAAGGGGTTGCCATAGTGTAACAACCCTGGCTTATAAGTAACAGTGGAGTGGTCAATAAAATGTTGTTAAAGGAAGGAATACCTCTTGTGTTATGCCTAATTAATGAAAATACATAATAAGTATGGTAAAGTTAAAATAATGTATTTATTTCACATGTAGATTATTATTATTATATTAAAAGGTGTTAGCAATAATTGTATTTATTAATGTAAACAAATGGTTATCCTTTATGGATACCACCTGATGAAAAATAGTCCCTGTTATAAATGGCAAGTATCAAAAGTCATGGTCATACCAAATGAATAAAAGTACAAAATAAGTCATCCTTTATGGATAAACTTATATGGAAATGAATGGATCCAAGTTGAAATGATATCCTTTATGGATTTACATAACATAATCAAGTAGTTATAATTCGTAATAGATGTAAATAACTAGATCAAGTAATTGTCATCACTAATGGATGAACACAAATGAATGAAGTAGTTGTCATCCTTAACGGATGAATATAAAAAGGGCTAAGTTCGTGTCATCCTTAATGGATGAACAAAAGTGGACTAGGATTAAGTGTTTCTCGTCCTTGAAGGATGATTGTAAAATGACTAAGTAGTTATCATCCTTAATGGATGAGTGTAAAATGGTAAGTGCATGTCATCCTTAATGGATGAATGTAAAAGGGCTAAGTGCATGTCATCCTTAATGGATGAATGTAAAATTACTAAGTACATGTTACTCCTAATGGATGAGCATAAGTGGACTATGTACATGTCATCCTTAATGGATGATCATAAGTGGACTATGTACATGTCATCCTTAATGGATGATCTCTAATGAATGAACATAAGTACATGTGACATGAACGAACATAAGTACATGTGAAATGAACGAAGTAAAATAATCACTAGTGATAATAGCGGTTTAAAATATGTGTGTTCTACAGTATGATATGATCATGTTGAACTAAATATGTACAGAAATTGTTATGTTTGAGTAGAAACTAAACCATTTATATTGAAGTTTCTTAAAAGTAAAAGTTTTCTCAAAATGTGTCCAATAAGAAATTGTGGTAAAGGAGTGATATTAATTTTCCCAATAGATGTCCAGTAAAAATGGCCGAGAGAAATGTTGTAATAAATTATCCAAAAGATGGCCAGTAAAAATGGCGGGAATTTGAAATTATACCAAATATTTCCCTTGTTAAAGAGCTTATAGAAATGGCGGTAATTTGAAATGACACTAGATTTTACCCAATAAACGGCTAACAAAAATGGCGTGAACTTGAAATGGTCCCAGATTTTACCAAGTGAATGGCTTACAAAAATGGCGGGAACTTGAAATGGTCCCAGATTTTACCCAGTGAATGGCTTGCAAAAATGGCGGGAACTTGAAATGGTCCCAGATTTTACCCAGTAAATGGCTTACAAAAATGGCGGGAACTTGAAATGGTCCCAGATTTTACCCAGTAAATGGCTTACAAAAATGGCGGGAACTTGAAATGGTCCCAGATTTTACCCAGTAAATGGCTTACAAAAATGGCGGGAAAATGAAATGGTCCCAGATTTTACCCAGTAAATGGCTTACAAAAATGGCGGGAAAATGAAATGGTCCCAAATTTCCAAAGAATTAAAAATGCCATAATAATTCAGTTACCATAAAACGTGGCTGATGAAAGTGGTCAATAACACCTTAGGAATATGACATATTACCATCCCTGTTTACTCAATAACAATTGTAAATGTTAGATGAACGTTTTCCCTTTTCAAAAATATGAGTAATTTTCCATCCCAAAACGGTGAATTCCCATGTCTAATGTGAAAGGATTTCCAACCAAAACATGACCCAATTGAAAAATAAAACTAATTACCAACTTATTACCAACTAATTTACAACTAATTATCAACAATTCTGCTGGCAATTGGAATTAAAGTTAAGCGTTAATTAAATCAATGATAATTATGGCCTAATTATCAGTAGCAAGTTCAACGTAAATTAACTTACAATAATGCTGATTTATGATTTTTAGTTGATAATTAAGATATGAAATGTTTGAGGGTGATAGTTAGTGGTAAATTAAAACATTTTTGGTCTGAAGTAGATTATTGGTTGATAGTTAACATATAGGATGATTTTAATGATAATTAGTCGTAAATTAGGCCCATGATTTAGAAATACAAACCCCCTAAATTTAATTTCAAAATGGTGGAAAAAGAAAACATGTGAGAGATATTTCTCTCATAAAATTGAGAATTACAACGTGAATGGTGCGTATACTACCATGAAATTTGGTCAACATTATCATAAGGGTATGTAGAACATGAATACAATGTATGTTAAATCTTATTCACACTTCTGTCTAAATTGTTTATGAATTTAAAAATTTTTGAATCAGATCATATAATATTAATCCTAGAATGCAATTTAGGTACTAACATGGGTTATCTATATTTCACAAGTAATCCAAATGTGCTCTTCTAAATAATGATTGTTAGATCAAAGACATTTCAAAACATATTTTTGATTATATCTGTTACGTCCTTATTATGTAACATTATAGTCTAATGTTTGTGTTCTGATTTTAGTTATTGATGGCAATAATGATGTCTTCACATGCTTTTCATGAATCTTAAAAATTTGCAAAATAGAATTAAAAAAGAGGGGGAGAAACCCCAGGGTTCAAAGATGACATACGCTTATAATGTAAATCTGTATTGAGATGACATCGTCGCTGATTGGTTTAGCGAGTCGATCGTTGATTGGTTTAAATCTAGGTCAATTTGAAAACTTTAAAAACCAAGATGGAGGGTACGTTTTCGACAAAAGAAGGTGTGCGAAGGAGGAAATCTTATGTCATCAATTGAATCATGGGGTTTTCCCTCCTCTTGCTGTGAAATTTCAATAGTTCAAGTTGAATTAAGATGAATATTCCGTCACAAAATAGTTCAAGATGAAGCAAAAATCTCCGAGTGAAGGGAAGCAAAAAAGAAGCGATTCATTTTTGAGATGTCACAAATCTGACTTTAACCTAACTTTCAACTAATTATCAATAGTAAGTTAGGTGATAATTAGAGATTAACTTACATCAAACTTACAACTAACTTTCAACTAATTAACGTAAATAGCTCATTTGCATATTGATGGTAGTTAATCGTTAATTAAGTTGCAAATTAAGCGTTAATTAAGTTGATAATTAGCTCATTTGCATGTGAATTTTTACACCTAACTTTCAACTAATTATCAATAGTAAGTTAGGTGATAATTGGAGATGATTTTCCATAGGCTTTTTTCAATTGGGGAGGGTTTTATCTATAAAATGTACCCATAATGAAGGAATTTATCCACAAAAACACAACTCAACTCACTGCAAGGAATTTCTCCCCAAAAATTATAAGGCTTTTACCCATAAGCTTTTGAAATAATACGTCCATAAAAACAGTAAAGATTTGTACCCTCAAACATGGTTGACAAAGCAGGTAAAGTTTTCCCGCCAAAAAGGTGTAATTGCCCGCCAAAGGGTAGTATTTTCCCGCCAAAAACCATAATTACCCGCCAAAAGGCATAATTACCCGCCAGAAGGCATAATAAAACATAGGCTTGAAATATAACCTGGAAACCTAAAATGGTTTATCAATAGTGACTAAACATTGCCTAAACACCTGAACACTGCAGCCGAAAATGTATTCAAAGTTATAAATAACCTCCTATATAAGGTATACGAGTATAAATAGAAGGGGGAGTATACTTGCAACGTGGTATAATGAATTGAATAAAATACTGGGTTATAAAATTGTATGCAATTTGAAATGGTAGACTCCAAACGCTAGAAATTCCAATGATTTTCTAAATGAAGTTCACATTACGTAGATGACCATAAATAAATGAAGTAACTATGAAGCCACCGAATGTATGAAAGAATGTAATTATTTAGGCCTACCCAAGTTTCAGCTGTTGAAGTTGAAGCCATGATGGGAGCACGTCCGTCCCTCAGCAAGTTGCAAATATACTACCTCGAACTATGTTCGCGGGCTAATGATCATGTGATCTTCAATCTCGAGTCTCACGAGATTTGAAACGAGATTTTAAACGAGACCGGAAGTATTTTAACCAAGGATTTGTAAAAACACTATTTTCAGTAAGTAAAATATAATGAAGTACAATATCGACCAGGTCCCTTTGCCATACTGGCGATAAATTACAAATGTCGGGCCCCTGGTCGCTACAATAGTAACAGAGCATAATAAATGCAAATAGTGTAGTGCATACATGTATGTTCTGAAAAGACTTATTTTATAACAAGGAATATGATTCAACCCACAGCGTATATGGTGCGCTTCAATACCAGAACATATTATCCAATAGCCTAATATGGTAGAACCTGAGACCATAGAATAGTTCAGAAGAACCTAAGGTCCAGAGTATATAGATGGTTCAGCCTCCAGAGTATAAGATTTGTGCAGTCTCAAGAATCTAATTATATGATACAGCCTCTAGAGCGTAATATATATTCAGCATCCAGAGTCCAAGATGATACAACATTCAGAATCTAAGATTGCTATTCAGAGCCTAGAATGGGTACAGCCTCCATAAGTCTAAGATGGTACAGCCTCCAGACCCTTAGGTGGTAGGGCCTCCAGATATAACATGAGATCAGTCTCCAGAGTATAAGATGGCACAGCTTTCAGAGGCTATGATTGCTATAGCATTCAGAACCTAGGATGGGTACAGCCTCCATGAGTCTAAGATGGTACAGCCTCCATGAGTCTAAGATGGTACAGCCTCCATGAGTCTAAGATGGTACAGCCTCCATGAGTCTTAAGATGGCACAGCCTCCATGAGTCTTAAGATGGCACAGCCTCCAGACCCTTAGATGGTACGGCATACAGATATAACATAGGATCAGTCCCCAGAGTCTAAAATGATACAGCCTTCAGAGGCTATGATTGCTATAGCATCCAGAGGCTAAGATAGGCACGGTCTTCACGAGTCTAAGATGGTACAGCTTCCAGATATAGCATAGGGATCAGTCTCCAGAGTCCAAGATAGTAGATCCTTCAGATCATTTGATTGGTATAGCATTCAGAGCCTAGGATAAGTACAGCCTCCACGAGTCTAAGGTGGTACAGCCTCCATGAGTCTAAGCCGTACAGCCTCCGACCCTTAGATGGTACAGCCTCTCGATATAACATGGGATCAGTTTCAAGAGTCAAAGATGGTACAGTCTTCAGAGCCTAAGATGGTTCAGTCTCCAAAGTTGAAAATGGTATAGTCTACAACTAATATTAACAATTAGTAACAATTAGAGTCTAATATGGCCTCAAGAGTTTAATGGGTACATCTACTTCTATGATGGCTACAACCTTCAATTCAAAGAGTCTAAGATGGCCCAGCCTCTATAATTATATTGTAGCTAAAAGTAAACAATATCCATCTTAATCTACCAAGCATGTTTAAACTCAAATAGGTTGTAGATTTCCATACAGTGAAACAACTGAAAATTTCAAATCAGTTCAAGTTGTTTGTCTTGAAAAATGCAGATTAGAAAGTGACTGCCACTTCCTGCCCACTTTCCATACACCTGTCTGTGGAACTGATAACAATACCATACCTTTTATTGGGTACGATAATGAAATTGTATGTTTAAAAAGCTATATATGTGAGTTGTAAATTTTAAATACCCATTTTACTTGTAATCTCCAAATGTGGTGAAAATACATACATGTTAAGATAAGGCCTAACTTAAAGTAAAACAGGTGTTTTTCTCCCAAATTATTCTACTGACAAATTTGTCCTTACTTTTTATGTTAGTCTCAGTCTTACACATACAAGTGTCACTGGTACTCACCTAGTTACGATACGTCAGCGTAACAAGATGGAAGAACTTCCGGGCTTCGTTTTCAGTAAGACATCGTTCTCGATTCTATACCAATTATAAGTCAAGTTGTGGACAATAATTTAGCTCAAAGTTAAGGAAGATAGTCTAGTTTGAGAATATGCAGGCGGTTCTATGTTTGGTATATTAACGAAGACGCAATTTAAATATTTAGTCCCTCGCTTTTGTTACGTTGACGATATTCACGAATATTGCCAATGTGACAATATTCATGAAGATCGTCAACCTAACAAAAGCGAGGGACTAAATATGTGACAAATTCCTTCTTCTATATTCCAGAACCTTTTAAAAACAATGGTTCATAAACTATGTCCTCCTTAACTATTCGTGCTTGTGCAATTTATTCATAATTTGGTTTGGTCTATGGAAATAAAGTAGAAGCCCTCCTCAAAAATTGAGTACAAGAGCTAAGCTCTCAAAGATAAAGTATAGGGTTTGCAGCAAAAAAAGCCTATGGCTCGCATATATGGTTTACATTGTATTTCAATCACCATAAAGTAAAACCTGTGTATAGGGAACACTCTGGTGAAATTGTTCCTTGCATACAAAAGTTCCTTACAAAGAGGTTCATGAACATGTTAGTCAATAAAACTTGGTTCCTTTGAAATTTGTTCCATAATAGAGAATGTTTTACAGAATACACTTACCTGTTTCTATCATGAGCCTTTCACTTGGTATACTGCACATAGTATCAATATTTTCTTGAGTTTTTAATGAACTGTAAAAATAAAATAAATGCATATATAGCAATTTATTTATTTTTAGTGGTTTGATGAATTAAATTGAATCATAAAAACATCAAACAAATTTGCATGTAGCTTGATTTAAGAGTGTTTGTTCCTTTAATTTACAAGACAGTACTGGAGAATAGAAGACAATAATACACGGTGGTAAAAAAGGAGACCCTGATGCAATTTCCCTCAAATCTTTGTTACTTTAAGGAATTAATCCCTGATATTTGGTACATTTGTACATTGTTCAATTCTCTACCAGCCCACTATATTTCATGACCATCAGACTGATAGTCACAATGTTACAGCACTTTAAACAACATGCCCAGTGGCCAAAATGCATTTTAGGCAACCCTGCACATGTCGTCCAAAATGTCCCTACCCGACTTCTATCTGTGGCGATAAGCCAAATTATTGTTCAAGAATGACCCCAGGATAATTGCAAATGTCAAAAAGGAGATCATCCATGTCACTCATCCCATACCTGCTGAGGAATGCAGTCAGATCATTGACAACTTGTGCAGATTTGCCTATATCGTGATGATGGCCACACCTGACGCATGTTGTTCAAAGTACTGTAACATTGTAACCATCAGTCTGATGGTCATGAAATATGGTAGGCTGGTAAGAAATTGAATCATATACAAATGTATTAAATATCAGGGAAAATTTTTTAAAAATGACTAAGACATAAGGAAAATGCAGGGTTTCCGTTTTTTGCCACCCTGAAGTATTATCATATTGACAAAAATTTTCCTGAAAGCAATTAAACAAAATATAAGGCCCCATACTACTCTCCATTAAAGCTTATTACTATTCAAATGACATGTTACTTGTGTTCATTTTATTGTATGTACAATGTATTCCAGTGCCAGATATATTGTGAATTGTTTGCTATGTTTAAATACTTACCACCCATTGATACCAATGTACATCCCCAGTTCTACTAAGTCAGCTGCTTCCTCTTTACTGCCATCAAATGAGTGAACCTATACAATAGAAATGACAAATTAGTGAACCTATACAATAGCAATCACAACTGAGTGAACCTATACAACAGATATGACAAATTAGTGAACCTATACAACAGATATGACAAATTAGTGAACCTTTACAATAGAAATGACAAATTAGTGAAAATATACAACAGAAATGACAAATTACTGAACCTTTACAACAGAAATGACAATATGAAAAAACAAATGAATGATTTTTTATAGGAGACCATTCCAATGAGTGAATGTTTACAATAAAAATGAGTGAACTTATAGAAAGAAAGTACAAAAAACTATACAATGCAACAAATATTGTACAACTTTACTTGTGCAATAGTAAATACAAATCAGAGAACATGAAGACATGTTATTGAACTTGCACAGTATGACAGTGAACCTTTTCAATGACATTTGACACATCAATATCACACTAAACATAATGAACATGAACTGACACCCCCTGTCGGTGTCGGGTCAAAACATTGATGTCCATCAAAAAACTTACTAATTTAGTTAGGTCTGACCCCCCTCTCCCCCTTCAAACGAAAGTCAAATGTTGGTGAAATTTTTCTTTATGAAATTATCACTTATGATTTGCTTTGTTTGTTAACAGTTTACTTTAGGAATGCAAATTGTGTTACCTAGAATGTTTCCAAACAGATTCAGTTGGAGCTTTCACTATTTAATGGGCGACGCCATTGTGAAAATGCCCAGATGTATTCAATACAATGAATGAATAGTGGATGCAAAAGACAAAACCTGGGAAAACTGAAAATCGATGTTCATCATCTAATTAAATAGTGTTTAACCCCTCCCCTAAGATAATTAATTATGTTTTTTGACGGACATCAATGTTTTGACCCGGCCCCTTAAATATTAACCTACCACTGCATTGCTAAACCTTTCCCTATTTTTTCTGAGTAAGTCCAGCATATCCTGTCCTGAGTTGCGACTGTGTAAGAACATTGGCAATTTAGTTTGTTCAGCTATCTGGAACTGTTTCTCAAAATATCTGTAAATTCAAAAAATTGAAGTTTGACCAATGTTTTTTTAATTATACTGGATTGTGGTATTCCTTGATGGAAGAACATGTAAGGGGGGGGGTGCTAGACACTGTTTCTTAGTATGATAGAACAGTTCCAGAATGGGGGTTGTTTTAAAATCAGTCATAAGAAAATTCCTTATGACTCAGGATTTGCTCTTAGATGTATTCTTTTCTTGCTTTGTTTTGTAATACGCCTAGGTATTTCTCTTTTCATATTCCTATTTCTCTTTTCATATTCCTATAGTTATTAAAAGGGATTGCTTATGAAGCATATGGCATAATATAGCCATGTGTTTAAACAACAATTTCTAGAAGCATACCAAGTCAAAAATGAGAATACCCCCCATCCCATCTTGATGATAGATAAACTGCATCACTGACTTTTTTCTTTTTTTTAAAATATATATTGTATTTTAGTGATTTGATAGTTCATACACAAAACCATGCAACTTACTCGAGTTGAACTTCTTTTGGACAAAAGTGCAGTCTGTCATAATCTGAAATTACAAGATCAGAAAACAGTGCAGTACATCGCAGATATATTTTTTGGGATGTACACATATTTTTTTTATTTGTCTTACCCATTCAAAGACTTGAAATTGTTATGATATTAATAGAATCATTTTGCCTCATGGTACATCATCCTAAACTTGAACAGTAATTTCCCAAAAATGTAGTAAAATAATATACATCGAGACCAATAAGATCATTCACCAACACCATCAAAATCACTCAGAGACCAATAGGTTCACTCACGTATACCACACACCACTCATTGAGACCATCAAATCAATCAGTAAGACAACAATTAAGGTCACTCATCAAAACTAAAATGACTCACCAACACCATCAAAATCACTCACAAAGACCAATAGGATCAGTCACCTACAGTATATGACATACCACACATCGAGACCATCAAATCACTCACTAAGACAACAATCAAGGTCATTCACCAAAACTTAAATGACTCACCAAGACCATCAAAATCACTCACCAAGACCACATTCACCAACAGCTACAACCTTTTCCTTGTTGTCTGTTGCCAGGGTGATGAGCTCCTCTAAGTACTTTGCCTCTTCTCCCTCAGCCTCAAATTCCAGACATCGAGTAGGATGGCACCCTACTGTGCTGTATAAGTGCTCTAAATCAACATCACAAAAGAACTTGAACAGAAGTCTGGATTTTCATGAGGAATAAATGTCAATGCTTCCTGATCAAAAAGTTTATAAAATAATATGATGACCGAATGTTAAAATGCGTGCAAATATTTATTCAGAATATGTCAACACAGACCTATTTATGACGTGAAAAGAATATTTTCAAACATTTCCCCACCATGTGTATTAGCCATTTCTAAGGCCTCTCTGCTATCTTTGAGACTTCCCCCAGTGATAACCATCTGAAAAAGAACATATAAAAATATATTATAGTAATATATTAATTGAAAATAATCTAACTTGACTCAATGGTATAAAGCTAAATAACTTTATTTATGGATATTTTTAGTCATATTAAGTACAGTAATACAAGGTAGTCTTACCTTCTCAACTCCAATGTCAAAAGATCTTTTAAGCACATCTTTCAGATCATCTAAATAGACAGAGCATGGAAGATAACTGAACAATACAATATGAATATACAACTTGACCAAAAACTCTCTTAAAAGAGTAGAAGAACCAATCTTTTCAAAAATCATGCCAATTCTTTTCTTACAATTCTGATTTTATTTCTTGAAAATAGAATTGAGATATCTAATCAAAAATAGAAGTTAGAGAAATTCACTATGATTGAAAGATGACCTTAAAAATACCTGAAATAATTTTAACCCTATTGAACCTTTTAGAATATAGGCATGACATGGAATGACAAGAGCTAAAAATACTATCAAATTCTGACAATCTTTTCAAATCTTACTCTCAATTTGTCACTGTCCCTTCAAGTTCTACATTATTCCCTTTATAAACCATACAGTTCTTGTTGAAAAAATCAGGCAAGGCATTAACATGACAAAATGTCACCACCTTGGCTTATACTGTAAGTCATTGCAAATTGTTACAGATGCTGAATGCAAATTGTTATGGATGCTGAAATCTGAATGCTGACCACTGAACTCAGATAGCTGAACACTGTGCACAAAAAAGTGGGAGACTAATAACAATATCTCAACACTTCTGGTGGTGACCTCATAATTTGTTAATGTTTTACCTTCGTGTTTCCTGGATTCACGATAGATGCCTCTGAACACAGGATCTAAAAGATAAAACCATGGAATATTACTGAACTTTAACTTGGAACAAGGAAAATACACTAAAACCTGGAGAATCAGTGAAACACCTACAAAAGTGGAACACTTTAAAGTTCAGTTACCTATTACTTCATATGAAATAAAACTCTGTAAATGGAACATCGCCCAAGTAGAATACTATTTGAGGAACTATGGACTGAAGGTGATAGTCTTCATACTAATTTTATTGTTTTTACTCAGGCCCGTAGCCAGAGGGGGAGGGTTTGAACCCTGGCCAAAAAATCTCAAAATTGTGCAGTTTTTCACCATTTGGGCCCCCTTGGCCAATCCTGGCTACGGTTCTGGTACTTAAGGTCCATTGAGTACTTGTAAATTATATAAACAAAGTAACATAGTAAAACATATATCTGTATATAAGTTAGCCCAAATATTTTCTCTATTGGAAATACATGGAACAGCCCACTGACTACAAATTTCATCATATAATAATACAATACAGTTACAGAAACATGTAATTTTAGTAAGAAAGAACATGCAATGAACTTTAAACCTTCAGATGAATTTTATTCTTTATCTGACAAATTATATCTAAGGCCTAATTTAATTATTAATTTATTAATTTACCTGTCAAATTTACTCCGATATCTGAAAATATAAAATAAATAATAGATTGAAACATACATGATTAAAGGTCAGATTTAAGCCCGAGACTCAATGCTTTCTGTGCAGAATTATTCCTCTTGGAGGTGTTGTTTTCAAATCTTTGCATGATGCTGCAATGGGAATGCAAAGTTTAGGAAACAACGCCTGTGTGGAATGAATTAGCCACAAAAATGCAAAATATTTTATACAATATCACTAATATATTTTCAAGGAAACTTTTTGCAAGGGTCAATTTGACCTGCACAAGCATGCAGCTTGTTATTTCCTATGATATTATTTATAGATTTTTACTCAACTATGAAATTGATCAGTTTATCTGTTTCATTAGTTTTACTAGAATCTAAAACAAAAAAGAAAATTGACCCTGGATGCAGTTGTTGATTATATAATGCAGTGCAGTTATATAAAATACTGTGTTCTGGTTGGCTAGAATTGTACACACCTTACCTTGCTATGTGTGAAAATAAATTTCAAACATAGCTAGCTAGGCAAGGTGTATCTGATTCCAGCCAATCCAATCACAGTATTTCATATAACTGCACTTCATTATATAACCAGCAAAGCATCAAAGGTCATTCATTGAATAGTTGTCAAGGTGACAACTTGACTGTACAGATTGAAATTGATGCTTGGCAAACTTGACCCTTGCAAAAAGTTTCATTGAAAATAATTTTTCTCTTGGTGATTTCTGATCTTTTAGGTGATTTTGTAGAAAATATTTTGCAATGTGTGAAAAGAATTTAAGCCCAAGGCTTGATGCATTGTCGGATTCAATCTTATAGTAAAATTGTAAATCTTTGTGAGTACTTTGAATTTAAAAAACCAGAACAACGGCAACGCCAAAGCGTAGCGAATCCCATCGAACAGAAATGGCTGGCATTTTTACAAACGAAATATATAGCAAATATCATAAAACAACACACCAGAAAGGCCACCATTTTCAAAATGGTTGCTCACTAGCCAAGTTGTCATCAGAAGAAATAATATGCTTTTAAGAAGCCACCTATAAAATTTTTGAAAAATCGCACAAATGTACTTGTAAAATAACACACATAAAAATGGTGGCCATTTTTCAAAATGGCCGACTACTCCCCAAAGTTTTATTAGACAATGTGCCATGCTTAGAGTATTCACATATCAAATATGAACAAAATCACTCCACTACTTTTCGAGTTATAGTAAAAAATGTAAAATGACAGCCATTTTTTAAAATGGCCGCCTACTATCCGAAGTGTCATGAGACAGTGTGCAAGGCTCATGAGTATTCACAAATCAAATATGAACAAAATCAATTCACTACTTTTCAAGTTATAGTAAATTACATTAAAATGGGGCCATTTTTAAAAATGGTCACCTTCTACCAAAAGTGTCATAAGACAGTGTGCCATGCTTTTAGTATTCACATACCAAATATAAACAAAATCGCTCCACTACTTTTCGAGTTATAGTAAAATACGTTAAAATGGTGGCCATTTTTCAAAATGGCCACCTTCTACCAAAAGTGTCATTAGACAGTGTGCCATGCTTTTAGTATTCACATACCAAATATAAACAAAATCGCTCCACTACTTTTCGAGTTATAGTAAAATACGTTAAAATGGTGGCCATTTTTCAAAATGGCCACCTTCTACCAAAAGTGTCTTTAGACAGTGTGCCATGCTTATAGTATTCACATGCCAAATATGAACAAAATCGCTTCACTACTTTTCGAGTTATAGTAAAATATGTTAAAATGGCAGCCATTTTTCAAATTTTTTTTCAAAATGGCCGCCTTCTACCAAAAGTGTCATAGGACAGTGTGCCATGCTTATAGTATTCACATACCAAATATGAACAAAATCGCTCCACTACTTTTCGAGTTTTAGTAAAAAACGTTAATATGGCGGCCATTTTTCAAAATGGCCACCTTCTACCAAAAGTGTCTTTAAACAGTGTGCAATGTTTATAGTATTCACATACCAAATATGAACAAAATCACTCCACTACTTTTCGAGTTACAGCAAAAATCGTAAAATAACGAGTAAAGGCCGCCATTTTTCAAGATGGCTGCCATGTGCTTTTTTAATATCTACATTTGTAGCTTTATTAATGTCCTTTATAATTTTTTTACATTTAAAACATATTGCTATTACAGTTTTACATATTGCACCTAAATTACTGTAAAATCGGCACTAAAATGGCCGCCATTTTGAAATGAGTGGCCATTTTGAAAATCGGCTTTCGATCAGAACTTCTACCCCCATAGGGTATATGTGTACAAAGTATGAACAAAATCGGGCCAACGGTATTTGAGTTATTGCCCGGACGGACGTACGTACAGACGGACGGACGGACTTACGTACGCATGGACGTACGTACAGACGGTTGACGGACGTACGTACGTACGTATGGACGGAGGCGTTCCCTTTATCCCTCTGAACTTCGTTCGATGGGATAATAAGCAATCAAATGACCAAATTGAAACAATTCATGTAAAAATAGAAACATTTATATTTATCCTAACTTTTGTATATTTCAGATAGTAATGTATAATGTGAGGCAAAGCTGTGGCCTTTTGTAATTTAGGGAGTTTCAGCCATGTAAACTTTTCTGAAAATAACATGGCAGAAAAGTATCAAAACATAAGAGAACACAGATATGATAGCTAAACTACAAAACAAACTAAAATATACAAAAGTTAGGATAAATATAAATGTTTCCATTTTTACATAAACTGTTTCAATTTGGTCATTTGATTGCTTATTTTTTAAATTCAAAGTACTCCCAAACATTACTGTTTTGACTTATCCCGTGTCCTGGTACGGGATAAGTTTTGACTAGTCACAAACATTTCTGTTTTGACTCTCTCAAGATGTAGACGCATATGGAATTTATTTTGTATCAAAATTGGACATTACATGATGTATGGGAAAAATCGAACTATATGATGCGATACTCGAACCATATGATTCGCGAAACTCGCATCATACTATGCGAAATACGCATCATTATATGCGAAACTCGCATCATCGTATGCCATTTTCAATCCATGTTATACCAACAGTTAATTTTCTTACATGACTCATTTTCATTCACACAGGCACTGGTAATATCAAGTGTCACACAAAGAGTTAGCACTAACTCCAATTATTTTTCAAAAATCCAAAAGCAATGTTGAAATGTCACACGTATTGTGGTTATAAGTTGCATAAAATACTACAAGAATTACACATGGATCAAAGTAAATTTCGAACGAACGTGTCAATTTTACACACGCATTGAGTTCAAACTCGCATAGGATGGTTCCTGCTCGCATAGGCTGTCATAAACACGTTGCACTTCACATAGGGTGCGAAATTTGAAGTCACGTGATATTTACATCCTGGTTTCTATAATATGGCGCCCTCCGTTGAAATGTTATAAAATGTAAATTTTAAATTAACTCCGTCATGCCTAATCGATCATATATGATCGATTTGACGGGTTTATGACGTCACCCGATAAAGAAAAATCTTACCAAAATATAATTGCATCTTTCCACGCTATTTCCCTATAATTGTTATATAAAGTTGTGAATAAATATAAATACATTCATAGAATACTGCTTTGTTCACTTATTTTGACCAATTTTGTTGTTATTGACCAAAAAATAATGCAAAAGAACAAATTTAAATATTTTTGAAATTATTGATTTCCGGTTCGACCAAGAGGCTGAACCGCGAAATTTAAAATATAATTATTGAAATATCAAGCCATCTAGGGGCAACAGATGCACTTTCTGAAACTAGTTTCAAGTATTATAATACTAGGGGTATCAGCGAACGTAGAAAAGATGAGCTAGATTGATGAAAAAGGTAAGAATATGTTCGTTTTCATTCAAGTCAATCAAGGCCCGATTTCTGAGAAAAATTCAATTTTCAATCTAAAAATATTTTCTCAATATCCATGCTTTGTGAGATCAGTTCATCAATATTTCCAATTGAAACACATATAAAGGGTGTAAAGGGTTACTATATTGTTAATTTTACTACCTTTATGCGCCTACAAAACCTTGAATGGCAGATGAATTCACTCTGTTAATTTTTATGGCCGATTTTATAGTGGGCGATAATAGGTGAATAGCTTTATTTTTTCACTATTTTTCGTCTTTCCTCACTCTTATAGCTACTGTAAGATGTCATGGCACATTAAAATCTTGTTGCAAGGTGTGTAGGACAATCAACACAAATATATTTTGAAAAATGTTGAGTAGTATAGGGAGGGGGGCATAGGAATTCAGGGGGGAGCATAGGGATTCAGGGGGGGGGTGTATCAGAAGCCTTTGTTGGGGAAACCCATGAAAGGCCAAGCAGTTTGAGGATTACTTGCATGTTCATGATCTATCTGGTTTATTAGCAATCAAACATAATGAGTACATGAACAAACAGACATTCACAAGCAGAAATTTGCTTTTAACACATCTTTATACATCTATTATTTCTTCAAAACATTGTAGAGTCATGATTTTCATCGATTTGTCAAATATCAGTACCTTATCGCAGATCGTCTGGTTTATTCTAGTGAGTCGTGACAGTATATTATTTTTCTATGCTTCATGTAGTTTATCATTTTAAAGCTGTTATGAAACAGAACTGGGTTATTAAACATTTATCAACTGAATCGGCTCGGGTAATAAAAATTATTTATTCCTGAATATGGAATTTAGTTGACGGAACAAACCGTTCTTGCGTCATCTTATGACATCGCTATATTTTCATAATATATGCAAATTAGGCAAAAACAGTATATGAGCAATCCCCCTTAGTATGGCCTATAATATATAATAAAAATTATTCAAGTTAAAAGTTTATTTGTTATAGATTACATATTTCAATTAAACATTTCGACATAATTTTCCGAGATTTTCCACGATTCCTGGAATTTTTGGCTCGGCATCGCAAACTTTAGCATAATCTAGTTACACCAAATCTTCCTTATACCCATCATGTAATATACCATTTTAAAGCTTAAATCAAGGAGAACAAATACATGTTTTCCAAAATTGCAATAATTGAACAGTATTTGAGAAAAACTGTATTGACTGTAGAGATATGACTCAATTTAATGAAATAAAATGCTCAATTTCAGCCTTGTGACGTCACAATGACATCATTATTTTTGCATAATTTATGCAAATTAGGTAAAAATGAGAAATATGGGTAATTCTCTTCATTTTGATATATGACAGTCATATATTTGTATAATATTGAATAAAAAGCATTTAAATTAATATTTAATGCACATTTCACCAATTTTAACCACTATAGGGATCAGGCGTTAAGGAGTTAAGAATATACAATAGAATACCCTAGGCCCTAGGCTAGGGAGACGTCCAGTGGCCATTTATTGAGAAATTACAAACTAGATCTTTTTATCTTTTTGCCTCGCCAATGTGTTATTTCGTTCAGTGCAACAGTAACGCGAGATTTAGAACAAAATCTCGAACATCTCTAGAAAGCAATTTATGTTACATCAAGGTGTGTGATCGGTACATCAAGGTTTGTGATCGGCACATCATGGTTTGTGAAGAGAAAAACGTTTGTGCGAGCCGCATAAGCATTTGTATACCCTGTTCCACTTGTGTACCCTGTTTGATGTCATTTTTAAACAATGCATACACAAATACCACATGCTATCTATTGCAAGACTTACGCCTGCCACAACCGTCACCATGTTAATCAGTGTTTTTAAGTAGCGCAAGGATCCTGCCATGACCGTGGTAGTGTTATCGTGTAAGCCTGGTATAACCGTGACAGGCTGGTATAACCGTGACAATGCTGTATTATATTGCAAGGCCTGTCATGACCCCGGAAGTGTTATCGTGGAAGCCTGGCGCGACCGTAGCCTTTATTGTGGTTTATAAGCGAATGTGAATATTAATGTATAGTAGTAATTTTGATTTTGACATGATTAAGGTAGTTAAACACCATGATCATAGTATTAAACTGTTAATTGTAATGACGATCACTTAAAATTGTTAAGGATATTCCTGGCATTAATGTCATACATATTTACTAGTCATTGCAATACATTATAACGGTCGTAGTAGGACTAAGCCTACATTTCTACATTACCACCCTCATACCTGGCCTTGCAATACTATATTACATTGCCATGGTCATGCCAGGCTTTGCAATACACATTGTCACGGTTATGGCAGTCCTAATCGTAAATTTCTACATTACCACTCTCATACCTGAACTTGCAATACTATATTACATTGTCACGGTCATGCCAGGCCTTGCAGTACTATATTACATTGTCACGGTCATACCAAGCCTTGCAGAACTATATTACATTGTCGCGGTTATACCAGGCTTTCATGATAACATTACCACGGTCATGGCAGGATCCTTGCGCTACTTAAAAAACACTTAATAACATAGTGACGGTTACGCCAGGCGTTAGTCTTGCAACAGATAGGGTCTCACAAATACGCATGTACAAGTGTGATTTTACAAACATAAAGTGTGCAAACTCGAACAAACTGTGTATGAAATCACACACTTGTGTATGTATTCTGCTAAACGCTATTCTATGTGTTAGAGATATCACATAAATATAAGATGTCCAATTTTGATACAGTTTTAACACCATAGACGCACACCCCCCACCTGTGGAAAATTTCGAGGACGACCCTGTAAATATACATATTAGATGAAAAATAGCTGAGTAAAAACTTTGTTCTGTTGATGAAGTATTGCGAGACCTTATCTGTTGCAAGACTAACGCCTGGCGTAACCGTCACCATGTTATTCAGTGTTTTTTAAGTAGCGCAAGGATCCTGCCATGACCGTGGTAATGTTATCGTGAAAGCCTGGTATAACCGCGACAATGCTGTATTATATTGCAATGCCTGGTATGACCGTGACAATGTAATATAGTTCTGCAAGGCTTGGTATGACCGTAACAATGTAATATAGTACTGCAAGGCCTGGCATGACCGTGACAATGTAATATAGTATTGCAAGTTCAGGTATGAGAGTGGTAATATAGAAATTTACGATTTGGACTGCTATAACCGTGACAATGTGTATTGCAAAGCCTGGCATGACCATGGCAATGTAATATAGTATTGCAAGGCTTGGTATGACCGCCATGGCAATGTGATATAGTATTCCAAGTTCGGGTATGAGAGTGGTAATGTAGAAATTTATGATTGCTAATTGACCGTGATAATGTGTATTTGAAAACCTGGCATGACCATGACAATGTATTATGGGATCGCAAAGCCTGGTATGACCGTGACAATGTAATATAGTATTGCAAGGCCAGGTTTGAGGGTGGTAATGTAGAGATTTAGGCTTGTTCTACTATGACCGTTATAATGTATTGCAATGACTAGTAAATATGTATGACATTAATGCCAGGAATATCCTTAACAATTTTAAGTGATCCTCATTACAATTAAACAGTTTAATACTATGATCACGGTGTTTAACTACCTTAATCATGTCAAAATCAAAATTACTACTATACAAAATATTCACATTCGCTTATAAGCCACAATAAAGGCTACGGTCGCGCCAGGCTTCCACGATAACACTTCCAGGGTCATGACAGGCCTTGCAATAGAATACAGCATTGTCACGGTTATATCAGCCTGTCACGGTTATACCAGGGTTACACGATAACACTACCACGGTCATGGCAGGATCCTTGCGCTACTTAAAAAACACTGATTAACATGGTGACGGTTGTGGCAGGCGTAAGTCTTGCAATAGATAGCATGTGAGTATTGCAAGCAACGTTGCATTCTGAAATATGAAAAGGGCAAAAATGAAAATCTACAGGAATTCATTTGACTTGCAATTAACATACTATAACATCAAAAACTGATGTTCAAAGTAGTAACCGAGTGTTATTGCTTAGTTTGTAGCATATCATTACCTATGAACCTTCCCATTTTAGAGATAATTCCTTTTGAAACAGCTGCACACATTTTTAATTTTTTTCTAAAAGGAAATGCGTAATCCGGCAGAACCAGGAAGTAAAAATCAGGAAAACATTTAATGAAATTGTTTCATTATTCATTGTTTCCTCCTTATTCGGAGGCTGCATATGCATAATAACTATAATCTTAGCTAAATCTCATGATTCGATCATTGCGATGACATCAACATTTTGGATATAAAACTTGTGAAAATGTCTAAATTTCACGAGAAAATAAGAAATGTTCTTCAAGGTAGGGAAACATTTTCCTCACAAATGACAAATAGTAAAATTGAAACTGTTTTTACAGAAAAACATATAAATAAATAGTCTAGAAGTTTTATTCCTGTATTTAGATATGAAAAGATATTACGTAGATGCAAATTTTACATTTTCAGATGTGGAAAAGTTTCTCATAATTTCTCTCAAATCTGAACATCTGTGCAAGCCAAACATAGAAGAACGTGACAGTATTGTTGAGGCAATTGGTGTTATCCGTGATGAATTCCCTCAACTTCACCTCGAACATGTTGTCGACCCAAACCCAAGCAAGAAACCGATAGTGACATCCTCTGGCACTCAACTTTTTGACGCTGGTAAGATTTTAAGGCCAGGGTGCATGTTCGGAATTTTGCTGCATTCCTCAATTGAGTCGCATGTTATTTTTCAAACAACAATCACTCCTTCCCCACATTGTCTACATCTTCCAGTTTTGCACAAAGAGTGCACTTGTGTGCCTAGAAAAGACTGGTGAGAAGATTTGTTTTTTTAAATGTATAAAAAACGAGAAAATGTTCTTCTTTTTTATACATTTTATCAAAACATTCTTCTCTACATTCTTTTGAAGGTGCAATAGTGCACTCGTTGCACAAAAGTGAGAGATGTAGACATTGTGGGGAAGGAGTGATTCAAATTTGAAAATAACATGTGACCCTATTGAGGGTTGCAGCAAAATTCCGAACCTGCACCCTGATCTTAACCAGTCTGGCAAATCCTACAGAAGGATCGCCATTTGCATAAACCATCAAACCTGTCTTATATGAACACTCAGCTGGGGCTGACTTAATGACTTAATTGAGGGATGTTCACATTTAAAAGTTCTAATAACACAGTTGTCAATAGAATATACTCAACGCAAATGGAATAGACCAAGTGCCACATTTCTAAGTGCTCACTTTTAAGAGGTGTTTGCGTGAATCCATTCTGCTAAATGAAACTTTTTTCGATGTAATATTTTTCTCCAGGTGATTATGTCTACACTGATACTAGTGCTGTATCACCATCAGGAGTAGATGGAAAAATACCACCTAACACTGATGAAGTTTACGATGAGTGCCAGTCCCTCTCCGATAAAAGCTTAAGTTCAAATGCTCAGTCTAAGAGTAGCACCACAATAGACAGAATTGATGAGGAGAGTGTCGCCTCAGATGAATATGGAGACAGTGAGTAGCTTCTTAAAATTAGGGATGAATTGATTGGCTTAGATTTTGACACATGACCTTGACCTAGTTAAAGAATAATTTCCTGGTAAGTCCAACTTACAAAGTTAATATTTTCTAAATTCCCTTAAATATCCACTTATAACAGTATTGTTTGATAATCTTTGAGAAATAAAAGTATCTTTACCATGTTTTGAATGGTACTGTCTCAGATTTAAAATTTTGCTTGTACTATTTTTGCCCTGGTTAATTTCTTGCTAATTTTCCATGGATAGATACACTAATACAGTTCTCCCATCAGATGAGCTTAAAATAAAAATCAAGATCACAATATCAGACCATGTTGCAAGTTGAAAAGCAATGTAATGGCATCAACAGGGTTGAATTTAAAAAACTTCCAAAACTAAGTCTCTTTGTACATTTAGATCATTGTGAGATGCTAAGAAGATGTTATTAAACCTGCACATCGCTCCAAAACGCAATATGTTGACATTTATTGTTTTTACATTTTCAAGCTCTAATATAAAGTTTATGTTTTGCGAGCATTCTACCACAAGGCTACCAATTTGTTATGAAGGGTTATTAAAAGCCACTAATGTTAAATGCTATAACAGTGACGTCACGTTCTTAATTTAGAAACCTTCCAAAAATCATATCGCCATCGACAATCGAAGCAATTCAATGAACAATCTTTGTAATGACACATTTATCGTAAGTATTTGTACACAAGATTTGCCCCATTTGTTCATCATTCTATAATCTTTCATTAAGCTCAAAATGATAAAGTTCACCCCCGAAACAACCCAAGATTGCGTTTCGGGGCAAACAGCAGCTTTAAAAGATGAATTAATTTACAAAGTAACTCAGAATTGATGTGGATTTAATATTTTATTTGTGTGTCAGTCAGAAATTAATTAGAGATTGTACAGTCCAGATTTTATCAAAAATCATCACTTTCTGTCAAAGATAGATCAGAAAGAGTGTCACGCTTAATTCTGTCAAAACTACTATCAATGAAATAAGATGTAACTTTTAAATGTTTAAATAGAAATCAAAACAACATACTTTGCATATTACTTGTATAACTGTTTACATATTCATTCTGTCTGTAAATTATTAATTGTTACAACTGATGTTTTATGAAATTAAGAATTATGATGTCTACTTAGTAAAAGTTCAAGTACCAACTGGTACATGTCCAACATTTATTAGTAACAACCTGACATTTGTTAAAAATGATAATTAAGGGTTACCAAGGGCTTAAGAAATAATTTAGGGATAATTACTTCCTTCTAACGAAAGGGTCAAATGTTATCAAAGTCAGTATACATGCAGCATAAGTATTTTGCAATAGATGTTATTGGCATATAAATGTTCATTTGGCCAAATTAGGTTCAAGTGAGGCTTTGGATGATATGAAAGGGAACTAATTCCTGTATAAATAATTCCTGTATAAATGATGTTAACTGAATTGTAGTTCATAATGAGGAAAAGTTTCAATTATGATTTTTCAGTGGTGCCAGGGTCTAATGTTGTCTCTGCAGAGATTGCTACTATGGGGGCTATCAAGACAGGATGGCTGGATAAACGACGAAAAAAAGGTAATAGATTTTACCTGTTTGATAGAAAAATCAGCGTTTTTATGTTATCATCCAATATATGTAAAGCAGAATTGTGGGCAAGTTTTTTTAAAAACAATTATGAATCCATTGACATCAACGTCATAAATCTTTCGAAAACCTGATATACAGTGTACCCAAGTATATCCAAATTTGTAATTTTATTTATTTATTTGCTAAAACACTTTTAGAACAGTGGCACATACAAACTTGTAGTGCAGCATTTTTACAGTTACATCTATGTAGTAAAACATACATATTAAAGATATACATACGCATAAAAAGTGATTACATGTCATACAATCTTCCTTTAATGGCAGTGTATAATTTGACTAAAAATCGCTTTGACCAAGCATCAAATTTTCTGGCTAGGTCGTGACCCCAAATATCTCTGTTACATGAACCCAGTACCCATTTAGTTTTTTCCTGCAGTGACAATTGCAAGAAATATGAGAACATTTCACTATTACAAGCATTTTTAAAGTCAAGCATGAGTTCATGTCTAATAAAGTGGTCGGCTGGACATTCAAACAGTCTATGATCAATTGTATCGCGGTAGTTGAAGTCACATAAAGTACATATATCTTTGCATTTGCCTTGTCTACTTAGATCAACATTAGTGCTAAAACAGCCACGACGAGCCTTAAGTTTAATCTTCTAGCCATAAAAGTCAGAGGTGGAGCACAAATAGTCCTCCCTGCCAAGTGCACTAGGCTGAAGGTCACGATAAGTGGTCAAAGATGATTTCTCACTTATTGCCTTCAAGAATTTGTTCTGATGCTCTTCCTTAGATATTGAGAGAAAGGATGAATACCTGAGTCTCTGTCATTCCTTAACATAACACCATCTAACCCATTCTTTGTGAAAATTGATTGAATATTAGAGAAAAATTTCCATGAGATTTCATTATTATTATGATAGAGGTTAGATAACTCATTTAAGATGTCTTTGTGCAGACCTTTTGGCATATCATACTTTAAATAGGCATAACTAGAAAAACAGCAACTCCACGGAGTAGCAAATCCTACGGAACAAAACATATTTAGATTATTAGTGGCCATCTTGTAAATTCCTTCTTGAGCAGAGCTTGTTTGTCCCTAAGCATCAACATATAAAATGTAAACCATATCCATAAATTAAAATTTGAGTTATCAAAGATTACATTCTTTTTTGCTAAAAATGGCGCCAATTCTGCAGTCATTTTGAAAATCTTTCTCGAACAGAGCTATAGTGTCCCTAGGTATCAGCATATAAAATTTGAATTAAGAAAAATGGCAACCATTTTGAAATTCAGCTGCCATTTTGAAAATTCTTCCTCGAACAGAGCTACTGTGTCCCTACTGTGTTCGCTGGTATTAGAGTTATCAAAATTTTATGTTTTTTTAATGAAAAATGGCCACCATTTTTAAATTCAGTGGCCATCTTGAAAATTCATTTTTGAACAAAGCAACTGTGTCCCTAGCCATCATCATATAAAATTTGAGCCAAATCCGTTCACTGGTATTTGAGTTATCAAAGATTACGTTTTTTTTAACGAAAAATTGCCGTCATTTTGAAATAAAGCGGCCATCTTGAAAATTCTTTGTCGATCATAGCAACTGTGTCCCTAGGCATCATCATATAAAATTTGAACCAAATCCTTTCACTGGTATATGAGTAATCAAAGATTACGTTTTTTACGAAAATTGGCCGCCATCTTGAAATTCAGCCGCCATCTTGAAAATTATTTCTTGAACAGAGCTACTGTGTCCCTAGGCATAATCATATAAAATTTCAACCAAATCTGTTCACTGGTATTTGAGTTATCAAAGATTACGTTTTTTACGAAAAATTGCCGCCATTTTGAAATTAAGTGGCCATCTTGAAAATTTTTTGTCGAACATAGCTACTGTGTCCCTAAGCATCATCATATAAAATTTGAACCAAATCCGTTCACTGGTATTTGAGTTATTATTGAGTTATTTCTTGCAATTGTAACTCTGAGTCAGCAGTAAGGACTATATCGTCTGCAAAAAGGAGGGCGGGTACTTTTTCACGGATTAATTTCCAAGAGAACCTTTTTTATACGGACATAATTGAAAAAATAATTACGTTGCATTTATTCATCAGTAACCAAATTGTGAATGTTATTCCAGATGTGAATAAATTGATAGCAAGACTTCAGCCCTATCAGAAAAGATGGTGTGTCTTGAAGGATACCACATTTTACTATTTCACCAGTGCATCAGACTTGAAGCAGTGTGGGCATTTCAGTATAGCAGGTACACATTTTCATCTTAAATTTTATTGAAAGTGTTTTAATTGAAAACTTTTTATTTAAATTAATAATATTGTACTATTACATAATTTAAAAATCTCTTTGTTGTTAGGGAATGAATGTACAATTTATTCTAATTTAAGCAATTTCAAGTAATGCATTAACTGCAGTCATTGAAATGGTTATCTCCTCAACTACAATAAAATTTGTACACATCATGGTAATTTTTCATCCTCCACATTTGGAATAATCTAACCTCAAACATTTTAATCAAATTAAACATTTTTATCTGATTGAATATTAATTTCTACTAATTACTAGCTATCATGAACACATTACAGAGGCCATGAATGTAGCCATGTATGAGAAGGGGGGGGGGGTCAATTGCCTCACCAAAATATCACAGATGTGAGACATTGAATATTAAAGCAGACATTTTTCATCCTATATAAATCCCTACTTTAGTTTTAGATCATGACTTATGCCCCTGTAGGCTTTAAACTACCTTTTAAAGACATTTCTTCATGAATTTTGATAAAAATGTGTATTTTTAGGTTATGAGGCAAGAGCTGGAGGTGGGAAAAGAGATAACAGTTTTGGTCTAGTCAAGCCTGGAGAGAGAACATACCAGGTAAAACATTTACTATAAACAATGTTGACAAAATTGAGCTCTTGGCTTGGTTTGAAATATGGCTTTAAAACCTTGAGATACTGAGATACATAGCACCATCTGAGTTTTGCTACTTGTCTAAAAACGAGGCTGACAGTAACAATGGCAAGTCAGTCGTTTTAATTAGAGATTAAGAGCATGACAAGCACCCTTTAACCATGGAATAAATAGAACATCCTATAATTTACTCATGATATGATTTTTATTCACTCTGCTTCTGTTTCTCTTTTAGTTTGTTGCTCATAGTAAGGATGAGCTAAATGACTGGTTGGAGAGTTTCAGTAAATCCTCTGGTATACCAAGCTTACCCCACTCTCCAAGCAGAGATAAACTATCAGGTAGGTTAACAGTAAATGATGTTGGATATTATAAGTTCCTCCTGTCCAATACATAGAGGTTCATTTAACATTAAGTCAGTTGGTCTTGGGACTCTAAAAAGTTTTCCACTTACAGAGGTTTTTCACGTCAAGGGGTGTTCCACTTTACAGGTTTTACTGCATTAAAAAATCAAAGCAAAAAGCTGAACATGTAGGAATTTAAGATACAAAGTTTCACAGATTTGTAAAATTTAGAAGAGTTAGCTCTTCCTTCCAAAAGATTTTTCCAATGAAGTTATTTGTAGAATTCAGGAAGAATTTTGAAATGTGAGTAATCAGTAGTATTATATGAATTGTATTAGTATTCTATGTTACAGTAAGTGACGATGAGGAATCTACAAACACAGATGATCAAACAATCAACAAAAAAGTGATGGTTTCACCTATCCCCCCTGCCAACATTACGCCAGAGCCAGTTGAGGCTGGTGATGATATTTACGAAGACACTGATAATCCCAGCCCTTTTAATACTGATGATTTTTACGCAGACACAGAAGCTCCACCACTTCCATCAGCTAATGAAGTGGACAAAGTGGATAACAAAGTAGAAATTATAGTCACAGAGGATGTATATGATGATACAGATGAGGTCAGTGTACCAACCGAAGATGCAACAGCTGATGATATTTATGAGGAATGCTCTTCAATGCCTACTGTGAAAGCACCGCCTGTGCCTTCTCCAGATTTAATCCCGACAGATAGCCTTGAAAGAGGTGTTGAACCCCCACACTCATCAACACCAATAACACCTGATGCCTACTTAAAACCCCTTCCAAGTTTCAGGCTACCTGGCCAAAAGGGCATCATGGGAGATATTGACTTTGAGAATGTCTATATGGGACTATGGGACTGTAAGGCTGATGGGAAGGATGAACTTGAGTTCAAAAGAGGAGATTTAATCTACATAATGAACAAGGATTATGATGATTATAGCTGGTGGGTGGGGCAGCTTTCTTGTGGCAAGTTTGGATTGGTCCCTGCTGACTTTCTTATGCAAGCATATGAGGAGATACCCTAGCTATTTGTGTAATAGGTTCATAAGAGGAAATGTTTTGACCAATTTTGCTACTCATCTATATGCTTCTGTGTATTTTTCGAGGAACTATTGTGATATATTTACTGTATTAAGGTCAGTGTATATTTAGGGCCATTTTGTTGCAATCCTCAGTGGCACATGTTACTTTTAAATATGAACTCATCCTTTCCCCACAAAAGGTACAAGAAGTAGTTCATTGAATTGTCCATACATTTTATTAAAAAAAATCTTCTCTAGACTCTTTTCAAGGTACATCGGTGCACTCTTTGTAACAAGGCACAGACATGAACAATATCGTACCTAAAACACAGCAGTGTGACAGTGAAGAATTTGGGACGGAAAATCCAAAATGGCCACCTTAAAATTTACCCAGAATGCCCAAAAACTAATCAGTTCTTAACTTTGATACGTAGAAACATCCCTGAAAATTTCAGATGAATCCATCAAATGGTTTGGCTGGAAACCTGTAGACAAGTCTTGAAAGTGAAGATTTTAGGACGGAAAATCCAAAATGTCCACCTTAAAATTAACCAAGAATGCCCAAAAACTAATCAGTTGTTAACTTTGATATGTAGAAACATCCCTGTAAATTTCAAATGAATCCGTCAAATGGTTTGGCTGGAAACCTGTAGACAAGTCTTGAAAGTGAAGATTTTAGGACAGAAAATCCAAAATGGCCACCTTAAAATTTACCCAGAATGCCAAAAAACTAATCAGTTCTTAACTTTGATACGTAGAAACATCCCTGAAAATTTCAGATGAATCCATCAAATGGTTTGGCTGGAAACCTGTAGACAAGTCTTGAAAGTGAAGATTTTAGGACGGAAAATCCAAAATGGCCACCTTAAAATTTACCCAGTATGCCCAAAAACTAATCAGTTCTTAACTTTGATACGTAGAAACATTCCTGAAAATTTCAAATGAATCTGTCAAATTGTTTGGCTGGAAACCTGTGGACAAGCTGAAAAGTGAGAATAATACCTTTATTAGGTACAATAAAAATTGAAACATGTAGACAATGTGGGGAAAGAGGAGTTCACATTTGAAAATAACATGTGACTCCAATGAAGATTGCATCAAAATTCCAAACAATATTGTACTTAAAAGTCAAACCTATTATTCTGGCTTGTCAATTCATTGTAAAGCTTGTAAATCATGTATTATTCACAGGCTTGCAATTTTCAATAGCCCAGATGCGAGTAGAAATAATCTTGATTTACATTAATAGATATTCAAAATCCGATAGCATATTTGAAATCTGCATGTAAAATACATCTAGAAATATGGTTTCAATCAACTTTGAAAATTCAATTTTCTTTAGAAATGTGAGTTCTAGGTTGGGGAAATTCCCCATAGACCTCACGTTATAAAATCACAAAAAGTGAAATATCTTTTCTTTTATTGGACAAATAATATTTTGTGGATCCATTCAGATTCATTTTTAGTCATGAAATTAATTTACTGACATTAAAATATTAGTAGTAGATTGCTTAATGTATAAAAGATAATATTAGTGCCTTTTATACACAGTATACATGGGGATATTTGTGAAATTTGAAAAACATTGTAACATTGTTTGATGCATTAGACACTGCAGTTATACCAAATAACATCAATCCTAGACCCCAGTTAGAGAGCTCCTACTTTACAGGCCAGAGCTACACTCATGATAACACAAAAATGTGATACAATTTTGATACAAGTAATGATATTTACCTTCCATTACGCTATAAACGATACAAGCAATGTAAGCAAGAAGTGGGAGACTATATATTTTATAATATATCGTATTTTAATGTAATAAAGTCTTAAGTTGAAATGTAATACATAATAAAGTACTGTTTTTTTTCACCTGTGCTTGGTGAAATAAATAGAAATTATAAATGATTTTATTGTTTAGGGAGGTGTGGCTATGAATATTGTACAAATATTTCTGGTACTGTATTTCACGGTCATATTTGAATTTGAATTCATGATATTTTCTTAACTACGTAAGCCATGTTGCATATTCATTTATATCATTTTTCATATTTCTTTATTGCAGATGATACCTAATAAATAGGAAATTGTGTAAATAGTTGTGTGTTTCATTCTACAACGATGCGAAAGGTATTAAACCTTCATTTCACACTTCTGGCCCTTTGATGAAACCCTTACTTTGCTGTGATCCAAGTCCATTCCTCATACAAGATATCATGATATCATCAAATTATAAAGTTCCCTGTGTATTGACGTTATCATCGGGCTACATGGAATATCACTTGTGAAAGATGCACAAGTATTCACCTCAATACAATTAAATATTTGTATAATACGCTATTCTATCACTCCTTTTACATAATATATATACAGAATATCAGATCATTTTGAGTGATATCATTTTTATCGCCGAGTTGATATCAAATATCAACACGAGTGAGCGAAGCGAGTGAGTGTTGATATTTGATATCTACGAGGCGATAAAATGATATCACGAGAAATTATGTGATATTGGGTTTATCCCATGATTACAATCACCTTGTGATATAGTTCGTCATAAATACAATTTTTAATCGTTATTTAGCAGCCTTCTAATCAAATTATATACACAATCGTAATTTAATACACCAATGAAACTTAAAGAGAATAAATTAACGGACCTTTTTTCTCAAAAGAGAATAAATTATCTGACCTAATTTCCAACAATATTGTGGCGCGAAATGCAAATGTGATATCACACGGATATGCGTGAGATAAACGATATCACACGCATATGAGTTTGATAAACGATTTGTTTTGGAAAATATTACACGGATTTCAATGATATCAGAAATATCAATAGCTGTTATTGTACAGATAACACATTAATCGTGGGATAAATACAGAATATCACATCATTTTGAGTGATATCATTTTTATCGCCGAGTTGATATCTCTACGAGAAATTATGTGATATTGGGTTTATCCCATGATTACAATCACCTTGTGATGTTCTGATCCAATTTCCAGGACACTGGCAGACCTATTTTCTCAAAAGAGAGTAAATTATCTGACCTAATTTCCAACAATATTGTGGCGCGAAATGCAAATGTGATATCACATGGATATGCGTGAGATAAACGATATCACACGCATATGAGTTTGATAAATGATTTTCTGGAAAATATCACACGGATTTCAATAATATCAGAAATATCAATAGCTGTTAGTGTACAGATAACACATTAATCATGGGATAAAAGAGGATATCCTGATTTTAAGGAATCACTTTTATTAATATATATTATTTATGAAAATAATTATAAAAATATGGTACATATTTTGATGACTACTTCCTGTTCACTATTTGTACACCTGTCATTGGAACTGGGTCAAAATCTCAATGTTTTTATGAAAGTAATATATCAAAGGATTAAACTGGCTCATATTTCAGCATTGGAATAAAATGTCCAATGTCTTTTTATTTCAGTTCTGTTTCTGGGCCCTCCCATATAAAAAAATTACTTTCACAGAAAAAAGATGCTTAGACCCTGCCCTTTCCATACAAGAATGTATGATATATATGTACTCTTGTTTTTTCATGAGTACAAAGTAGATCCTATATCATTTGGTCACATGCTTTCTTGTCATACACATGACTAGTTTCATGTTTTCCTTACTTTGCCTTCTTCACTGCTACCCACCTAATTACACAGACGTATCGTCGGTGTATCATGGCGGAACTTCCTCCGGGACTAGGTTTCGGTAAGATTTTTTTATTTCCCGATTTATACCTACTTATAAGTCACGTTGTGGATAATAATTTGGCTCGAAGTTAAGGAAGATAGTCTAGTTTGAGAATGTGTCGATGGTTTTAGGTTTTATATGTTAACAAAGACACAATTCACGTATTTAGTCCCTCGCTTTTCTTACACTGACGATCGGCATTAATATTGCCAATATTACACTGATATTGGTCGTTCGTCAGTGTAAGAAAAGCGAGGGACTAAATACGTGAATTGTGTTTTTGTTAACATATAAAACCTAAAACCATCGACACATTCTCAAACTAGACTATCTTCCTTAACTTCGAGCCAAATTATTATCCACAAAGTGACTTATAAGTAGGTGTAAATCGGGAAATAAAAAAATCTTACCGAAACCTAGTCCCGGAGGAAGTTCCGCCATGATACACCGACGATACGTCTGTGTAATTAGGTGGGTAGCAGTGTTCTTCTTATGCTGGAAAATGTCAAACATGACCAATAGTGTTGGCCTTGTCAGATGCCTGTTCTGGGGGTAGTGTCACATGGTCTTGTCACACACCCTAATGATGTCACATGGCCTTGTCATATACCCCAATAGTGTCACCTGGCTCTGTCAGACTAGTATAGTGAATAGTGCCACATGGGCCTGCACCCCAATAATGTCACATGGCCATACTATACACCTGATTATTGTCAATTGGCCTTGTCATACACCTGGACAGTTCATGTTGCCTTGTTATAGATCTGCATAATGTCAAATGGCCTTGTCATAACCCCATAAGTGTCAATTGGCCTTGAGATACACCTTGATAGTGTCAATTGGCATTGTCATAAACCATATATCTGGATAGTGTCACATGATCTTGCCACAAGTCTGGATAATGTCACATGGCCTTGTCATACACACAGATTGTCACTCCAATAATCACGAGTAGCATACCTAGGTAGGTTTCTGAAAACAAAGGAAAATGCTTCAACAACAATTTTTGTTTATTGAAGAGGACAGTTTTCAGAATGGGGTAACATACATTTACAAGACACATTTGCAGTTATGCATGCTTCATAGTATTAGGCCAGAATAGAAAAGGAAGCCTGATAGATGGATCTACAATTTGAAATCCTGGACTGAAAACAAGAATTAGCATTAAAAGTAGATTTCTGTTGTAATTCTTATCAATTGACAACACACTGGTCTGGGTCAATAGTCTTGAGCCTTCTCCATCCATTATATAAATTATATCATTCAAATAGAGGATGTTTTTTAAAGAAATTTGTCAGAATATTGACACATTACAAAAACCGATAGATTTCATACCTTTTGAGCCAATCTCTTCACCCAGCAATTTTCCACTCAGCATGGTGAACAGGAATGTCAGAGAATTTGTTATAGGGACAGCAAGGGACAGGTCTGGAAATGAAAAATATGCATACATTACATTTAAATTGTAAATCGCAATAGGAGGAATTTAGGAGAAAACTAAAGGTTAATCCAATTGGCAAAATGTTTAATAATGAAGTCAGAATATAAGACTACATGTAGTAATGAATATTTTAAAATGCACAACATTGACAAGGGCAAGATCATATATAATATAATGAGTACACAGTAGTTTTAATTCACAATTCTTGTAACAATATGGTTGGTACCTGCAGATCCCAGAGTGATGTAGTACAGCAAGGATCCACTCTGGTTGATGAGGAATGGCACAATATACTGAAATGGACAAGTTTAATGACACTATATTTCAAAGATAAACAATACACAATTACAGTGAAATAATAATATGACAAGACCTCACCACCTGGTGAAGCGTAACAATTGTTACAGATGTACGAATCACAAAGAAACTTCTTGATGGTAACTACATGTAGAAAATAGCTATTGGGTATAAAGTAGAAATATAGTGCTATGTTGTTTTGTGATTTAACTCTTTAAAACTTTTCATTTGAAAGGGATGCAAGAAAGTAGAACAAATCAGATTTGATCAATTTTAGACAAAAATAAGTGGCGGGCTGATTGATCAACAAAGAGAGGTGTTATATGAAGACATGAAGGTACTGTAGCTAGAGTAAAGTTTAATATACTTCAACACAGATGCCCTCTCTTTTGTTACCATTACAAATAAAAAGAGGGCATCAACATTGATAATGGGTACATTAGTAAATACACTTGATGGGATCCTCACCTTAACATTACACACCATAAAGACCAGTTCTGCAAGGAACTGTGATACAGCAGATTTTTTCTTGATGTTTTCTATACCTTCACCACCTCTCTTTAACAGTGGATTTGTACATCCCCAGAGCATGGCTACCACTGTAAGCCACAGTGCATCTGGAAAACAAATTTCAAACTGGTTGGTAAAAATTAACTAAAAATGACATTAGGGATGACAATAATAGTGTACTTATAATAATTATATAGCGTGCTCAAAGTGTGGTTAGCCTTTACATCATGAGGATAAAATGCATGTATCATCGTTGTTCTTTAAAATCACACTGTCATATTTTAAAGTATAATATTTGATTTTTCAATTGTTAGAACACCAATTTCATTCTGGTAAAAAGACATTAAACATGACAATGGTAAAAGCCCAGGCATACATGTACAAGTCATTATAGTCCGGCGCCTAATTTAGCCAGTTTGGTATGAGATCCATACCCACATATTAGTAAATACAATGACATGATGCAGCAAGAACAGAGAGGAGCAGTCAGGTTTATAACCAATGTCACTCAAGGAAACCAGCTGGTTGTTACACCAAAGCTCTCCAAGACCTACAATGGGTGTCACTCAAACAGCTTAAGAAAGGTGGCTAAACCTTTCCTTTCTACAACAGAAGGCAGAATCTACTGTACTGTAGCAGCCATCCGCATACCTCCATACTGATTTAAACTGATCAAAATGGATCCATAGAAATTTAACTACAGTGCAGTGTATTTCCCAAGGACAATAGCTAAATGGAACACTCTTCCTGATGACATCTTAGATAGCAACAGTCTGTAAGCTCTATAAGTAGTTTTAAATCATCATACTCTGTCATGCAACATTAATGTATAACTGCAACTACATGTATAGCAGTGTGTTCTAATGTAGAATGCACTCAGTACACAGCAGCTACCCCGCACTACTCGCAAAAGGGGGTAATATCAATGTGGTGGACTGACAGTCAGTCGCATCATCTTCAGAGTATCTTGAACACTGAGGGACTCCCCCACCCCAGGGTACATGTGCCAATTGGGAAGATTCCTTCAAAATGACTTCTCACAGAAGTCACTGGTATTGTATTGTATTTTGTTTACCACTAATGAAGGTGAGCAATACTTCTTGGGTATATCCCGCATATATGGTCGTAATTAAAGGATGTTTATAACTATCTCGGCCTTAGAAAACTTTAAAAACAACTTTTTGAGGATAATCCTCTTTTTGATTCCTTTTCAGTAACTAAATCTGATAAATGCACTTTCGATTTCACTTTCAACTGAAAGTGTTTGGTCATTGTCAGGAATCCCCCAAAACAAATGTCACAATGAATGTTTCCATATCACCCAACGTATATTGATGACGTTATCCTCGAAGCCCGCTCTTGTGGAAATCCAATGTAATGTGATGTCATTTCCGTAACAACGATATATTTGGAGAAAACTCTCAACTCTTAGTGGATTCCCCAAATTATTTTACATTTATATACAAAATGAACCCTAACTAGGGTATAATAAGCATCCATATTGCAATCGATTCGTCATGTTAATATATGATAATAACAATGCATTATGATTTTAAGTAATAAGCCCAAAAGCGGCAATGTTATTGTATTTGAATTAAAGCATCCCTCATTAAATACACTGGATGAAACGTTCTAAAAATTGCCTAAAGTAGGGGTCATTGTAACAGCTCCAACTGGTCAAGATTTTATCAATTTCTGTTTTCTTTACATGGAATGAAAGATGAGTATTCACTACAAATGTTGAAGTAAGGATCCATATGGTTTATAAACAGCAACATGCTGTATTAAGGCTTTGAAAAGGGGTGAAAATCACTTTGATAGTTACATTGTATATTCAACTTTAACATACAAATGTAATTAGCCTGGAAGATAGACCCAGAATCCCTTTTCCAAGGAGCCCTGTGTTCTTTTATGTGCACCTATACATAGACATTTATCCCGTGCCAGGACTATAGTCCTGCAAGCGTCTTATTCTTTTGCCTGTACGATTACAACATGGGAGAATTTTCTACGCTTCTTACACTTAAGATACCTACTTCAATAGATTCCTTGGTATTTTAGCATTCTTTTCGTGAAGTTGAATCCACAATTGTCTTGGTTTATCGGCAGAACAAAGAAATTTTCGTTCTTGATCGCAACATTTGCGTGTAATATTTAACTTATTTCAACTGTCAAATTCTTCCATTTATTGGTTATCCGGGCCACTTCCGGGTCAGTCAAACGGGGAATCCCCTTTTAAATTCAACCGCCATCTTGGAAAGTGATGGAATATCTCTCGATGAAAAACAAAAATGTTCCCATTCTGCCGATATACCCAAACAATTGTGGATTCAACTAGTGTTGTCGCGATGTGCCATAATCGTACATCGATGCATTGGCAATTTTCAGTAGTAAACATCTATGCACATCGCGATGTACATCGAGAAAAAGTCTGAGATAAGTGCACTGAAATACCGAACGCTAATGCACTAAAATACCGAACAGAACAAATTAGTAAGAGTACGCTGGTACATCCGGGAACCTTGAAATGAAAGTAAAGTAATTTTTTTTAGATTAATGGTTCATTTCGACTAACTAAACTAGAGTTAAAGCTCAAGTTTATCAAAAAAAATTGGAAAATGAAGTAAGACATGAGAAAGGTAAGCGCCTTGCGTCAAAATAAGATAAGAAAGGGTGATTTTTATCAAATTAATTTTTTTAAAAACATCGATGTTTTGTTTCAGACATCGATGCATCGCCAGAATCAGCTTTGGCGATGTATATTGCGATGTATCGATTAATCGCGACAACACTAGATTCAACTACACGAAAAGAATGCTAAAGTACCCAGGAATCTATTGAAGCAGGTATCTTAAGTGTAAGGGGCGTAGATAATTCTCCCAAGTTGTAATCGTACAGGCAAAAGAATGCGCTCGTTACAGGACTATAGTCCTGTTATGGGATAAATAGACAGTATACAAGTACACACCACAGCCTTTTGTACGAGTTGTGGACCACTCAGTGAAACACCCTGAAGTACTTTACGCAAACAAGCAAATTAGTCTTGCCTGAACCTTACTCTAACGAGCTGACAGAAGGCTTTTGAGCCAGCTGTGTTCAGTTACCTGAACCAGGGATCGAATCCGGGACCTGTACCTACATGTATTGCGTAAGAGGTACATGCGCTACAGCTGAGCTATACAGGTGTTCTCTTCTTATAATGAGTTGAAACCAAACCATACTCAGATTAGATCAATTCTAACATGTCTAAGTAAATACCTTACTGTGTGAGTGTTAGAAGTCCATGCATGGTACGCTGATTTTGAAGCCATGGTATAATTTAGCTCTCTGGCTCAGTTCAGGGTGTAAAACACATTCACTCTAGAGCAAAATAAACTGGTTATCACTTTAATAGTTTGATGAGGATATCATTCAACCGTTAATAAAGATTTTACCTCTACTGTTGTTGGCCAAAAACGAATTTGAAGTTGAATTCTGCATCTTTTTACAACTTTTTTCAAATTTATCTTCGCTGCAGCGAGTTATAATACTTTCTATGGAAAACCTAACAAGAGTTTTGATTGGTCATATCTTTTTAGAATTAAAGAGTAGACCAATCAAGACAGTCATAACAAAACAGTTTGGTACGAGTTGAATTCTTAGATAAAAAATGTCACAGATTTTGTGATAAATTCAAGGAAGTGGGAGTTAATAACCTTATGCTAATTCCTGAATTCTATGTATCTAGTTTCTCACTATGAATGCGGATATAGAAGCCTACATCAAACAGAACTATCCATGGAGTAAATTGCCTAATAGTACAAAACAGGTGAGAAACATTTTTCTGATTGACAATGGGCCATTCCATTTAAAAAATGTACGTGGGGTATGGATGCAAAATTCTGGGGGGGGGGGGGGTGTTGACCGAAAAATTCTGGGGGGGGGGTAGGAGACCAAAAAATTCTGGGGGGGGGGGTGTTGACCAAAAAATTCTGGGGGGGGGGTAGGAACCGAAAAAATTCTGGGGGGGTATTGACCATGGAATATTCTGGGGGGGGGGTATTTGCAAAGGCATTATGACGGGGGGGGGGTGTTAATAATAGGGGGGTGGTGGTGGTAGTCTGTGGGGGAGTATTCTATAGGGGTATAAGGGTGGAGTGTCTTTCAGTCTTTTAAAAGGCGGTAATAAGTCAGTTAATGTACATGTATTTCTTGAGTATTTTGTGTATGGACTTGTCTGACACCAAATCTCGGTCATGTTTATTATTTCGAAATTTAATCCCAGCCAACAGAACAAAGTATGCTACAGCTAGCTGTATACAGGTTTTTCTGACTTTCATATTTGCAATGTATTTGTGATCCTATATAATGCTTAATGCTAAGATAAGGAAAACTTTGGTATGCTCTTGTTAAGGGTATAACTTTCTCTACAGTGTCATGGCTTTCATAGAACTCCTCTTCATTTCTGGAACAGTAAAACATGATTTCCCCAAAAACATGAAGAATCATTAAAATTAACAAATATGACATTTTTCTCTGAAACAGTTACTGCATATTATTTAAACATTTTTAAATTCAGACAATGAGAATTAGAATATCTTCATTCTCAAGTGAATCAGTACATTTTCTAATTTATATCATACATCCTATATACTGGGGATCCACTTGATTACACTGGTTAGCGAAAAGGTTTGTCGGAACGTCGAAGGTACGATTTTTCTTTTTCCTTATTTCACGCGTTGTAGGCAGATTCCCCACGACATTCTTTCTCACAAACGTGTATCAGTATCATATGTTTTTGAAAATGTACATGTTTGCGAAAAAATAGCTCAGAGTACAACAGAATCGTTACCCTTTGCATTTGTTTGACTTCACTTCTTAAAAGAGAGCTTCGTCTTCACTCTTTCAAACTAAAATAAACCTGTGAACTCACCGCGCCAATCAGTGTTCGTTGGCCAAATTTGACTGACGTTCTATATATGGTCATTCCTTCTGACGTCATCGTTGAGCCCGGAATTGTGTAATTTATGTTGAAGAAGTAATAAATAATGAAAAAATATTGTAGTTACCAATGGAAACATTACATTTTAATTTTGATTGTGTGAAGTGAACAATGGTAGCGAGTTCAACTAACTAATTATGAAATATTCAGTTTTTATTTTTGCTTTTCATAATCATTTAGTCTGTTGAGAAAGTACCGGATTTTCTCGCATATACGCCCCCCTAAATTAAGGCCCATGGGCCAAAAATCGAATGTAGTACGCCTATACGCCCATGGGCCTATAAAAAATGACTATTTTTTGATTTTTTCAATAAATTCAAGAGTATTTTGTCACTGGCAGATCGTTCTGTCGTTACTTTGTTTCAACATTAAGTTCAACGCTGTGCCGTTAGTGGCAGTGGTGGATCGTTCTGATGTTACTTTGTTTCAACATTAAGTCCAAGGTTGTAGGTGACATTTCGTTTATAATTCTTACAAAACATGCGGTAGGACTACAACAGTAGGTACGGTAGTATATTGCATTCATCAGCTCTTCTCACCTTTACGCCCACTTGGCCAAAAATCGAAAGTAGTACACTTATACGCCCATGGGCGAAAAATAATAGGTAAAATAACAGACGAAATTACCCCTTCTTTCAGTTATACGCCCAGGGCTTATATGCGAGAAAATCCGGTACACAGGTCATCTGAATATATCAGGATAAAACTATTACAACCTCAATATAACAAATTAGTGAACTTGTCTAGAGATCAGGATACATTACACTAGTAGGCCTTACTCTGAATTGAGAGCTACAAGCAGTATATAGTACACTAGATCCAAACAAAAAAGAGTGTATGTGACAGTGACCTACATGTAAACTGCAATGTTGGAACCAATATATAGGTTCCAATCTGGCAATTACTTCCTTGTTCTTGACTTTTAGACAATTTGGTCAAATTATGCAACATGTGTAGCCTTCAAATATAACTTTATTCAAGTAGATGAGAGTATCTAGAACACTTTTGTTATAAGTTCATAGTATTATTTTCTGTCATGTCTGTTCCACATTTTGGACATCTAATTTCAGTCATAAACTATGTGGTCACTTGCTTCACATATTGAACTTTTCATGTGTTTTTGAAGATATAGGACAGTAGTTTGAAAAGTAAACCACTGAATATTCTGGTTATTCATACATTCTAAAGAATTGTGAACCGTTAATAGGTACACTAATTTCTGGTAGTCAAAATTACTTCACTCATTTTGTCTACATTATTGAGGAAGGTTACTTCAAACTACCAGCATTATTTTCAGACTAATTCAATCAGATTGTATCTTTGATACTATATACATACACTTTTTGTGCTAACTAGTACGTGAAAATATACTGTTGAGACTAGATGTCATCAAAACCACCATAGCTAAGGCAAAAAAAGTTGACCTAGAAATATCCTGTTACAGTAATATAAGCAATAATTCATTCTGAGCGTATGACTTACTGACATTCTGTTAAAGGCACGTGTATATGGAAATATTTTGAAAATTTCTGGTACGAAATATAGTATGAAGGCATGTGTTTTATTTCTTTGTTTTTTTTTCAGGAAATTATCTTTGCATTGCCTTCTTTAAGTAACTGAGTAAGCCTGGTAATTATCTCTTACTTCAATTTAATCTAAAGACCAGCCTAAGTGTTCTCTCAAAGCCCAAAAGTTGCGGCTGTCTCAAATCGCAGATTTTTTAAATCGACCAGTATTTCAAAAGACAGCTGTAGCTTTGAGAGAATGTTCAAGCTAGTGTATAGAATCAATTGAGTAGACTACAACTAGACGGTATTTTTTGAAATTTAGTTGGAAATACTCAGACTGTAAATGGCCTATGTTAAATGTTGTTGTTCAAACATATCTTTTTAATGTAAATTATAATTCAAAGTGACTGATGTAGTAAATTAATTTGCATATTTAAATTATTTTTAAGTTCCACTACATGTAACTTTATCTCTTAGACTAGACAATATGCTGTGTTACTTTTTATGTCATTTAATTGTACCTTACTACCTAATTGAATTTTCATAATGTTTATTCTATTGAAGTAATGCTTCCTCTAATGAATTGATAATTTTGTGCAATACAATTCACCGCAATAACCACACGACAGAAAATAAGGATAACAAACTGAGTTCACACTCAGTCTGTTGGATACTAATCAATAACACGGTGTTATAGCATGACAGTTACGACAAGGCGATTTGCAAAATTTTGCGGTAACGATAACAAAAAATGGCGGATGGGAAAGACAACATGTCCTCTTTCTCGCCTGTAGGCAAGATTCACAGATAAGATTTTCTTTTTAACTAGTTCCATTCGGTGACGTATATATGGATGGTTATAAAGACTGGGTCAAATCTGCCAGGTGGTTTACTAGAAGCGGAATATAAGGTGTAAACTTACCGACTGAGATGTCCAAGTTCATATTTTTTAGTGATTTCTCAGCATATATGCCTCAGAGCCTCTCAACTTATTAACAGTAAGTAAACTGTGTATAAACAAGCCATAAAATTACAAATCCAGAACAGGAACGTGGTCATAATGTAAATAATAAGGTTTCAAACGCAATGTCGTTAGACGAGTATGTATGAATTCTATAGACAGTAACGTATTGTATTAGATGTACATTAGATATTTAGCGGACGGTTACTAGTGCATGCACATCTTTCAAGTTAATGTTGCTAGTTCTGATAGCCTCTTTCCATGTAATTGTTATAATGGGTAAGAAATGGAATATTGAATTGCTATATATTTGTTTTCACGACTCCCCGAGGTCGTTAGGCAATGTAGACCATGCCCCAACGACAAAAATAAACAAATTACTAAATTTTGTGTAGTTTTGAATTTCAAACTCAACAGTTTTTCGCTTATTTCTTGTTATCCCCGGGCATCAATTTGCAAAGAATACGTTCAAAATATACATTATTAAATGTATCACCGAATGCGATGTCTACAATAATCGTTCATCCTTTCATTGATACACAGTAGAAGAAAATACTGCACCAACCTTAGTTTTCTGTTCCATCGCGGCCATTTTATTGGATAAATCAGTGATCGTACTCGTCTAATCTCGTTTTCAGAGGTGTCGTAACTGTCATGCTATAACACCGTGAATAATGAGGTAAGAAATATGTGCATAGCTGGTGCAGATATTTTTGGACTTGTGAAATATAACATGTGGTTCCATTGTATACACACCGATAACGTGGGTATTTCCATGAACATGTGCCTTTAACACTAATTTGTAAATTCTGTGAAACTGATTGCCTATTTCAATGGTAGGAGCAACTTATAACCTTTATATTGTTTCTCAAGGGGGGATTTCGCGTGTTTCAGGGGGTATGGATGCAATTTTCCAGGGGAGAGGGGTATGGATGCAAATTTCTGGGGGGGGGTATGGATGCAAATTTCCGGGGGGGGGGGGTGGTATGGATGCAATTTTCTGGGGGGGGGGGGGTAGCAAGAAAAAAATTCTGGGGGGGGGGTGTCTCAACCTGTGCATCCATACCCCCCCCCGTACATTTTTTAAATGGAATGGCCCAATGTTGATAAATACAGTTGGGGACATAAATAAATGACAGGTGGATTTGCTGAAGTGAGGATTTCCCATGTTAAAAATAAGAGAATTTACAAGAGGCCATAAATCAGTGGATGAGATTATACAAAATGTAAAATATACAAATTTTAAGGGATATGTATCTAGACAATATTGGAGATTATGGGCTTTCAGACCACCATAATTAGGAAATGGTGATCGAAAATCGACCTGTCATTTATTTTTGTCCCCAACTGTAGATCTA